CCTGCACAGGAGTCCCCGCCTCCAGAACCAGCTGAGCCGCTGGGGCATGAGCCTGAAGGGTCCTCACCTGTGCTGGATCCTCAGGTGCAGGCACCAGCTGAGTCTGCTCTGGCTCCTGAGGTGATGGAGGACCCATTGCCTGCAGGTGCTCCACTCTCAGCCCCGTCAGGGGAGGCTGAGGTTGCCTCTGGGTCCGGTAACCCTCCAGCCTCTCCTGAGCTGCAGAGGCTCAGGGCAGAGAGGCGGAGGGAACTAAGTTCCCGCAGGAGGAGTGCTCGCCTCCAGGCCAGGAGAGGCGAGTCACCTGTGGACCGGGGCCGCCCTATGCCTCAGGGCAGATAAAAGCCAGCCAGCCCCAGTCCCAAGTTGCGGGAGCAACGTTGTTGGTAGCCTGTTCCTGCCTGCACCCTGTCCTGTTCTTCTGCCAGAGTTCCTGACCTCACCCGGCTACCTGTCTTGGACCCTGCTTCAGCCTTGACGGACAGCCTCCATACCGCACCCTCAACCTCGGACTGGACTCGGACCTCGGGACCAGCACAAATTATTATTATTATTATTATCAATGATTGTCAAACTACTCTGGGAACTCTGTGAGGATAATAAAGGCCTCCTAAAAACTCTCAGCTCTCAGCACCTTTAACAAATTCCATTTCCCAGGAATCTGTTGGGAAAGCCACGACTGTATAAAGTGGGGCTATAGCGCTTTAAATGTATGGTGCGGATGTGGCCCAAGACATTTCACCTCACCTTGTTCACCTGAGTCACAACAGCATCCACCACTTCGCCCTTGAAAGGCCGGAAGACGATGGCCTTGTATTTGACCGGGTAAAGGACAAAGCCGCGCCCAGGCTGGATCACACCCGCCCCAATGTTGTCAATGGTAGTGACAGCGATTACAAAACCATATCTGGGTAGGAGGAGAAATAATTAACAATCATTTTATTATTTATATGCCACCCACCTGACTGGGCTTCCCCAGCCACTCTGGGCGGCTCCCAACAGAATATTAAAAATATGATAAAACATTAAAAACTTCCCAATACAGGGCTGCCTTCAGATGTCCTCTAAAAGTCAAATAGTTGTTTATTCCCTTGACATCTGATGGGAGGGCGTTCCACAGGGCGGGTGCCACTACTGAGAAGACCCTCTGCCTGGTTCCCTGTAACTTCCACTTCTCGCAGTGAGGGAACCGCCAGAAGGCCCTCGGAGCTGGGCCTCAGTGTCCGGACAGAATGATGGGGGTGGAGATGCTCCTTCAGGTATACTGGGCCAAGGCCATTTAGGGTTTTAAAGGTGAGCACCAACACTTTTAAATGTGCTTGGAAAAGCACTGGGAGCCTATGATGATCCTTTAGGACCAGTGTTATATGGTCCCAGTGGCCATTCCCAGTCGCTAGTCTAGCTGCCGCATTCTGGATTAGTTATAGTTTCCGAGTCACCTTCAAAGGTAGCCCCACATAGAGCGCATTGCAGAAATCCAATCCTGCTTCTCAGGGGGCAGTGGTGCAACAATGTGGGATGGGGGGGGTCAAAGACCCATTACTATTTCTGCAGCAGAGTCCTTCTTTCCAGAACCTTACAGCTGCCAAAATGCTCGCCCACTGAGTTATGAACCTTCACCTAAAAACGAAGTAAGATATCAGTCCTCATTGTTCCACATAAAGATTTAAGCTACAGTTCCCAGGATTTTTGGAGGGAAGACCAGGGATGAAACTGGTTTAAATGTGCAGTGCTTTATGGGCACTCATCCAGGCCATTGCTGATCTACGCCGCCAAGTATCACGGGGAAAGAGGATCCCAATCTGCTCTTTCACTTACTTGCCCGTGCAGGTCCCCTCCACCTCGGTAAACAGCTTCTGTTTAACAGTGTTGAGAAGGTTGGGCCCAAAGTAACGAGGGTGCAGCAGGATTTCGTGCTCCAATGAGATCTGGAGGCAAAACAGGTGTGGAGCAGCAGAGACATTAGTGCAGGGGTCCCCAAACTAAGGCCCATGGGCAGGATAAGGCCCAAGGGACTCGTTTATCCAGCCCATGGCGACCCCCGCCGCCCGCTCTTACCGGAACTGCACTTCCGGGTTGGAGGAGCACTGGAAATAGCTTGTGCGCATGCGCAAGTGTTGTGCACATGTGCAATCGTTATTTCTGGTGCACATCCGGGTCAGAGGCCCGTGCACATGCGCACAAGCTATTTCCGGTGCTCCTCCGACCCGGAAGTGCGCCGGAAATAGCGTGTGCACACGCGAATGGGCACGCGCTCCCTTCACGCGATCGGTACTGGAGACACTGGCCCAAGGCACGATACGTTTGCTGACCCCTGCATTAGTGCAACAGCCACTAAGCAGATAGCAACATTAGATCTTATTCCCACTGCACTGTGACAGCTGGTCTACGCAGCCAAAGGAAGGCAAGTGGAGGGAGAAGGCCCTGTTGCAGAATGGGGACTCATTGCAGCACCTAGTCAGAAGCTTAATTCCAGAAACACACTTGGCTACTTTTTAAAAAGCACTAACTTACTACTGGGACGCAGGTGGCGCTGTGGGTTAAACCACAGAGCCTAGGACTTGCCGATCAGAAGGTCGGCGGTTCGAATCCCCACGACGGGGTGAGCTCCTGTTGCTCAGTCCCTGCTCCTGCCAACCTAGCAGTTCGAAAGCACGTCAAAGTGCAAGTAGATAAATAGGTACCACTCTGGCAGGAAGGTAAACAGCATTTCCGTGTGCTGCTCTGGTTCACCAGAAGCGGCTTAGTCATGCTGGCCACATGACCTGGAAGCTGTACGCCAGCTCCTTCGGCCAATAAAGCGAAATGAGGGCCGCAACCCTAGAGTCGGCCACGACTGGACCTAATGGTCAGGGGTCCCTTTACCTTACTACTGATTGCTTGCCTGTTATGTCCCACTTTTCATATCCCAGAGGCTCAAGGTGCTGGACATGGTTCTCCCCCTCATTTAATCCCCACAACAGCCCTGCTGCAAAGTAGGTAGAGAGACAATGGTTGGCCCAAGGTCACACGGTGAGTGTCATGGCTGAGCAAGGAGATTCGAACCCAGGTCTCCCAGGTCCAACAATTAACCACTGCACTACACTGGCTTCTCAAGGAAGCTCCATCACCTGGTGGTGCCAGGGGTTGAGCATGGGAGTTTCTGCATGCAATGCTCTGAGCTGTGACCCTTCCCCAGTATTTTCAATGAGGTCTACTAACAGGCAAGCAGGTTTAGGATTGCAATAGAGAACTGCTGGTCCATCCAAAGATCTGACTCTAGCCCAGCATCCAGATGTCAACAGGGAGCCAGCCAGATGCAACTGCCACCTGATGTGTGTCCACAGCAGCTACTTCAGATATAATGTCTGTGGGCAAGGGAGACTCCATTTGCCATCATAGTCAATGGAGTGACAGATCCGTTTCTGATGATCCAGGCTGATTTGAGAGCAAGAGTGGTGTCGTGGTTAGACTGTCGGATCACTACCTGGGAGACCAGGGGTTAAATCCCCACTTGGCCATGGACCTCAGTGCTTCTCAACCTAAGGGAATTAAATAAGATGGGGGAGAGTCACGTATGCCACCTTGTTCTGGAGGGGATAATATAATAATAATAATAATACCACCTCACCCATTTGGCTGGGTCTACCCAGCCACTCTGGGCAGCTCCCAACATAATAATAATAATAATAATAATAATAATAATAATAATAAGCGATAAAACATCAAACATTAAAAACTTCTCTAAACAGGGCTGCCTTCAGATGTCTTCTAAAGGTTGTTTATTTTCTTGACAGTGAGGGAACCACCAGAAGGCCCTTGGAGCTGGACCTCAGTGTCCGGGCTGAACGATGGGGGTGGGATATAACTGCAATAAATAAATAAAATCCTATACATTTAAAAAAAAACCCTTTAAGGCTAACTGTCACAAAACAGTGCTGGGCTGCGCTGGGGTAGTCAAGGTTCTGTTCAGGGCAGACTTGCTGAAATCCACGAACAAGACTAGGTTAGGGCCATTCATTTCAACAGGTCTACCCTGAGTAAAACTCGGCTGCATAGCACCTGATGAGGGCGGCAAGTAGCAGCGCTGCGTTTGATCTCCCTTGTCCACGATCTCCTCCTCTTCCAGCTGGGTGCCACCGAAATTTGAGAGAACTCCTCAGATTGCAACAGAAACGTAGAATCCTAGAACTGGAAAGCTGGAAAGGGACCACGGGGATCATCTAGTCCAACCCCCTGCGATGCAGGAATCTTTTGCCCAAGTGGGGCTCAAACCTACAGCCCTGGAATTAAGAGTCTCCCGCTCTCCCGACTGAGTTATTCTAAGACTACATAACGACGGGAGGGCCAGAATATCACCTTGACGTTGCACATCATTCATTTGCCCCCCGCGACCACATCTTCCACGTTCCACGTGGGGTGCCTGGGCAGCAAAGGAACTAAAACCTCAGACTCCCCAGTAATAAAAAAAATACTCACATGGTAAAACATCCTGGTGCCCGCCTGCGCGCGCGTCCGCACCTCTCTTTTCTTTTCGAGACCGGAAGGAACGCAGAGGCACCGCGCGTTCTAAATGTTGCAAGGCAGCTTCGTCCTGATTGGCTGCGCGGCGATAGGATTCCATTGCCGCCTAACGAAGCAAACAGGAAGCTGCCGGGACAGAGGAAGGGAACGTTGCTCATCTGCGCGTGCGCCTCAGCGGTCGATGCCAGTGCCTATAGTGTCATGGCGGGTGCACAGAGCTCTCCCAAAGTGGGATGTGTATAGGTGTACGGGAGAGGGGGCGGCGGCTCTTTCCATAGACGTTTGCTACACATTAGAACATAAGAAGGGTCTTACAGCTGAATCAGGCCAGTGGGCCAGCTAGCCTGGTATTCAGAGACATATGCTGCCTCTGACCCTGGAGGGATAACAGCCAGTACTGTATGGTTAGTAGCCACTCACAGTCCCCATCATCTCTTGCCTTGGGTCATGTTTACTGGGGGTGATGGGAGAGCCATAGGTTCCCCATCCCTTGCTTAGGGGGTGGCGGGCTATGGCTCAGCGACAGAGCACCTGCTTTTCATGCAGAGGGTCCCAGGTTCAAATCCTGCCATCTCTAGGTAGGGCTAGGAGAGATTCCTTGTCTGAAACCCTGGAAGGCTGCTGCCAGTCAGTGCTTGTAACACTGAACACCTAGATGGACCAGTCATCTGACTCAGCAGCGTCCTATGAGAGCTACCTGTAATTTCCTTGTGCTTTGAGGGAGGCTCTCTGCACGTCACCCGAAGCTGTGTATTCAAGGTTTTTTTTAAAATGGATTGCTTTTAACTTGCAGGAAACAATGAGCAACAAATTGGTTTTAGCAGCTGCTTTTACTCACTTTTTATTTTGTGTGTGTGCTTTTATTTGTCATAGAATTGTAGAATCGGAAAGGACCATGAGGGTCATATAATCCAACCCCTTGCAATGAAATAATATTTTGCCCAACATGGGGCAAAACCCTGAGATTTAGAGTGTCTTGCTCTACTGACTAAGCTATGTCATCATACTGTTGTTTTCATATTATCGCTGTTCATTATTACATCTTGTCAGGGGTTCAGGGAGAGAGGCACAGGGTAGGCAGGAGATGGAGAGCGATGGGGAGGAATTCCAAGCCAGCGAGGAAGAGGATGACAATGACTCAAGAGATTCCATGAGTCTTTCCAGCGAATCAGAGGATTCCCAGAAGGGGCGCCGGTGGTCAAGGCCAGGGAGCCCCAGGGGGGAAGTGTCAGGAGCAGGGTGCCAGCGGAGGATCCCAAAGTGGCAGCTGGGCGTCAGGACCAGCCTCCCCACCAGAGTGCAGCGAAGGGGGTGGAGTTTCCAGTGTGTCAGAGGAAGCAGCTCCAGCAGCAGAGAAAGGAGGGGGTCAGAGCAAGCCGCCCTCCCGGAAGGGGAGGAGCAGTGAAGGGAGTAGTGTAACTGTCAAAAGGAAAGTTAGAGGTTTGGCGCGCGCGCCTAGTTCAAATGTAGAGGCGCGCGGAAGTGCAGGGAGCCCGGAGGAGGGGCCAGGTCCCAAAGCCCGCAGGAGGGGGGAAGAGCAGTCTGATTCCGCGTCAGAGGAATCCAGGAGGGGCGAAACCCCAGCGGGCAGAAGGACCCTGCGCAATCGGAAGGAGGTCCAGAGGTTCGTCGGCTTCGCCAACTTTTACCGCAAGTTCATCAGGGGTTTCGCGAAAGAGACGGCAGCTATCACGGACACCCTCAGTTCCAAGAAGAAAAAGTTCACCTGGACGGACCAGGCGGAGCAGTCCTTCAGGAGACTTAAGAGTCTCTTCGCGTCCGAAGACCAGCTGCTACACGTGAATCCCGGCAGGCCCATGCGGGTTGAGACTGACGCATCTGACAGAGCAGAGCCGGCCGACCACTATCAGGACGATTCGCACGCGACCTGGACGCCCGGCGCGGTCTATTCCCGGAAGCTCAGCAAGTCGGAACAGAACTACCCCCCCGCGGACAGGGAGTTGCTGGCCATCCACGCGGCTTTCAAGGCGTGGCGGCACTTCCTCATCGGAGCCAAGCACACCGTGCAGGTCCGCACGGACCACAAGAACCTAGAGTATTGGCGCACGGCGAAGCTCCAGAGCCAGAGGCACATGAGATGGGCGGAGTTCTTTGCGGATTTCGATTTCCGGATAGAGTATATCCCGGGAGACAACAACGTCATAGCGGATGCGCTCTCCAGGAAACCGCAGTATCTTGAGGAAGCGGCACCAGTGGCAGCCAGGCACATTTTTGCACCGCAAGCGTGGGCGTGCGCTTCTGCCGCCGTGGACCTGGACGCGGTACGACGCGCGCTACAGACGGATCCGTTTGCACAATCCAAGATGGAGGAGGTGCGAAGAGGGACAGCAAAGGACGGCGAATTCCAGATACGCGACGGCCTGCTGACCCGCAAAGGTGCTCTCTACGTCCCGGGAGACGATCTCCGAGCGAAGGTTTTACAGCAGTTACACGACGCCCCCAGCGCGGGTCACTTCGGCAAGGAGAAGACGGCGGACTTAGTAGCCAGGGACTTTTGGTGGCCCCAGATGCGGGGAGAAGTCGCGGATTACGTCGCCAGGTGTGACACTTGTCAGAGGTCCAAGCCAGTGCACAAGAAGCCAGCGGGATTGCTGGAACCGTTGGAGACGCCACTGCAGCCGTGGGAAAGGGTGGCGCTGGACTTTGTCACTGATCTGCCCAGTTCGCGGGGCAAGACGGCGGTGCTTGTGGTTGTAGATCTGTTCACCAAGATGGCGCATTTCATTCCTTGCGCGAAGGTGGCAACAGCGGAGCAGACCGCCAGGCTATTCATAGACCACGTGTTCCGGGTGCACGGCTTACCACGGTCCATTTTGTCCGACCGGGGTCGCCAATTCATTTCCAGTTTCTGGCAGAAGCTCCTGGGCATCCTGAATGTCAAGATCAACTTAGCGTCGGCGAGACACCCGCAAACCAACGGCCAAGCGGAGAGGGTCAACGCCATCATGCAGCAGTACCTGCGCTGTTACGCCAATCAGAAGCCGGCAACTTGGGTGGACTACTTACCGATGGCCGAGTTTGCCTACAACAACACGAAGCACGCGTCAACGGGGGTGACACCGTTCTTCGCCAACAATGGGCGACATCCCAGAACATTCCCGGCGTTGGAGACGACGACGCAGGGGGAGTCGCAGGGAGCGGAACATTTAGCAGCAGAATTGCAGGAGGTCCACGAGGAGCTACGACGGCACTTGGAACTGGCTAAACACGCCTACAAAGTGCAGGCAGACAGGCACAGGAGGGCAGGAGAAGACATCCAGGTGGGGGACTGGGTATGGTTAGCAGCCCAGGCGGTGCCGGCCAAGTCGTTAGCTAAGAAGAAGCTAGGACACAAACAGCTAGGGCCATACCAAGTTGAGGGCAGGATCAATCCCGTAGCTTTTCGGTTGACCCTCCCAGAGGATTCCCGAATGCACCCGGTCTTTCATAGGTCGGTGCTTACACCCTACAAGGCCCCACACAGATTTCAGGAGCCAGGGACGGCACCAGACCCACGTAGGAAGTCACCAGGGGGGGGGACGTCACCGAGGACCCCGACACTCAACGAGGTCACGGAAATTCTGGACTCGAGATGGGGGGAGGAGGGAGTGGAATACCTCCTCGCCAGGGAAGGTACCCCGGCCAGCGCCAACAGTTGGGTGCCAGATTATGCTCTGGAGGAACCTTTGCTTAAGGACGAGTTCCATGCACTCTTCCCACACAGGCCCATGCCAGAGGAGTATTTTGACGACTGGCTTTTACCCCACACTTTCAGGCAGCACCTTCCGGGGGTTCTCCTCCGCAGAGGAGACCACGCCGCAATCGAGCCCTCCAAGGGGATCGTGCTCGGGGTGGACACGGACCGCTCTTATTGGTGGGACGATCAACCAGAAGTGGGGTGGCGAAGGGGGCCTTGGCAAGACGCTACCCTGAACATCTAACAGGGGGAGGGAAGGGTTTGGAGGTGTTTGGGGAGGACCCCGGTTTCGAGCACTCCTACACTGAACTGGAAGCAGAGGAGATCGACGTCGACGAACTGTATCCAGCATCTACCCCCGCTACAACGAAGCTCCCGGAACCTGCGCCCGAGCAGCGGGAGGCGCCACTGGGGGGCGTCGACGGGGGGAAGGATGTCAGGGGTTCAGGGAGAGAGGCACAGGGTAGGCAGGAGATGGAGAGCGATGGGGAGGAATTCCAAGCCAGCGAGGAAGAGGATGACAATGACTCAAGAGATTCCATGAGTCTTTCCAGCGAATCAGAGGATTCCCAGAAGGGGGCGCCGGTGGTCAAGGCCAGGAGCCCCAGGGGGGAAGTGTCAGGAGCAGGGTGCCAGCGGAGGATCCCAAAGTGGCAGCTGGGCGTCAGGACCAGCCTCCCCACCAGAGTGCAGCGAAGGGGGTGGAGTTTCCAGTGTGTCAGAGGAAGCAGCTCCAGCAGCAGAGAAAGGAGGGGGTCAGAGCAAGCCGCCCTCCCGGAAGGGGAAGGGAGCAGTGAAGGGAGTAGTGTAACTGTCAAAAGGAAAGTTAGAGGTTTGGCGCGCGCGCCTAGTTCAAATGTAGAGGCGCGCGGAAGTGCAGGGAGCCCGGAGGAGGGGCCAGGTCCCAAAGCCCGCAGGAGGGGGGGAAGAGCAGTCTGATTCCGCGTCAGAGGAATCCAGGAGGGGCGAAACCCCAGCGGGCAGAAGGACCCTGCGGAAAAGGAAGGAGAGAAAGAGGTGGAGCAGCGCAAGTCTCTTAAATTGGTGCAGGGGAGGGACTGACTCAGAGGGGACTTCAGCGGTCTAGCGTAAGAGACGTAAGGCTGCGCGCCTAGGATGTCAAGCAAACCATGAACTGCAATAAACACCTTTGTATATAAGAAGACATAGGCGTTGGTCTTTTGTGAGCTAAGACTTGAGGCAGCCTTGACACATCTATATTCTGCTTTTCCTCCACGAAGCTCAAGACAGCATAGATGCTTTCCTCCTTTCCCTGTTCTATCCTCACACAACCCTGTGAGGTAGTTTAAACTCAGAGATTATTACCATCTGGAAGTACTCTTTTCTCCATATGTCTGAAACTCCCCAAATGCCCATGAGATACCTCCTGTATTAATAATAATAATAATACAATTTATTACCCGCCCTTCATCATACCATCCCAGGACAGGTTAGAACAATTTAAAACAAAATGTTAAACACAGTTTAAAACAAACTGCAATCCTACAAGAATAGGGTGGGTCTTAGCAATATACATCTCAACTGGCGAAAGACCAAAGCACTTCCTTCAAATTCCTCCTCAAAACCCACCTTTTCTATGAAGCTTTGGCACAATCCCCTAAACTCCCCGTGCCCTGTTTTTATACCACCTTCTGTCAGCAAATCAGAATGTCTAGCCTCCTTGCAAATGCATCAGGATGAATGTTCAATAAACAGGTCACTGCATATTATTTATTACATTTGTATCCTGCCCTTCCTCCCAAAGGAGTCCGGGGCAGCAGGTACAGTATCAGAAACTCTGGTCCTCCAGATGTTGCTAGACTACAACTCCCATCATCTCTGGCCATTGGCCATGCTTGCTGGGGCTGATGGGAGCTGTAGTTCAGCAATGCTTGGAGGGCCCAAATGTTCTCCACCCCCAGCATACCGCTTCCCTATTTATTCCTGCCTCCACTTCCGTCCCTTACCTCTGCCTCACATTTTATACTGTAAGCTCCCCAGGGCAGAGACCTGCCTTCTTGTACTCCATAAAGAACCAGAAGCATGGCTTGCACTCTTTAGATTATATTGAGAATTTAAAAACTGGTTGGGTGTGCAGTCAATGAAAAGACACAAACAAAATTTGACTTCTTTATTAAAAACACTTGTAATATCAAAAATAAATTCTGCTAAGAATGCAACTCCAGCCCCAACCCAACCCAAGCCCAAGCATTTCCCTATCCCCAAAGAGGGTGAACTGTCTCACTCACTGCTTAAAGCTCATATACGTTTAGGCTGCAATTCCACAGCAATTTTCATGGGAGTTCTATTGAACTCAGTGGGACTTCTGAGTAGACATACACAAGATTGCAGCTTAAGGCACATAACTCCCCAACTCAAACATGCTCCCTGAGTTAATTTCCCCCCAAAATAAACCTACCTGAGGACCCTTTCCCTGTCATACTGATTTCTAATTTCCAGCTGATTTCCCTGCATCTTCATTTATTTCCAGCTGATACCTGATCTCCAGCTGATATCTGACTTCTGGCTGATTTACCCATTTTCTGATTTTTAGTTGATTTCCCTGCATCGATTCCCTGCTGATCATCTTCCCTTATAGGGGATATACAACGTAAAAAAAGCAACATCATCACCCCTTTAGCAAACCTGTACATAGCTGCAAAGATATATCTTTGAAAGATGCACACACATACATATACACACAGCCATGCCCCTAGAATAAAAACACCTGCAGGAAGGCAGCTAATCTTCTTACTTGAGTCCCAGCAGCCCCCTCCCTTCAGAGCTTATCTACACCCATTTCAAATGCTCCAGTACATTCCAGGGTACTCTCACACCGCTTTAACAGGTATGCCTCCCGCAAAGAATCTTGGGAAGTGTAGTTCATAAAGTGTTCTAAGAGCTGATAAGCGAAACCTAATAAACCACAATTTCCAGGATTCTGTGGGGGAAGCCACGACTAAGAGAATGCTTTAGACCAGGCATAGGCAAACTCAGCCCTCCAGATGTTTTGGGACTACAACTCCCACCATCCCTAGCTAACAGGACCAGTGGTCAGGGATGATGGGAATTGTAGTCCCAAAACATCTGGAGGGCCGAGTTTGCCTACGCCTGCTTTAGACGGAGGGTACAGATGTGACCTTGTTCGGGTCAAGCAGCAAGGAGAGAGCGAGGCAGAAGGCAGCGCCATTCTCTGCCAACTGGGCAACTGGAAAACTTTGGCAAGCTAGCAAGCAAACGAAAAGAAATACTGGAATGTAAACATCCGTCTCTGTAAAGCCAGGCTGGTGGGGCAGCATTTACACATTGCCTTCTTGGGGCCACGGGCCAATGGTGAATGGGGGGGGGGCTGTAAAAAACGTGGTTGGAGAGACAGATGTGGCTCTTAGCTTTGTCCACAGCGGTGGCTGGTGCCCATTGGGACTGGGGAGGTGGAAGGCAAAGGAGCCCAACAGTGAAGCCAGAACCAATGTCACAGCTTGAACCCACCAATCCAGTTTAGTCATATCCTCGTCTTCCTCCCTGCTGAGTTTTACAACACTGAGACTACACAGGAGGAAGATGATAGGCAGGGCCGTTCCCTGGACTGGCCGTAAGTAAGAAGGCAGGCAGGAAGGTGAGGGTAAGTTGAAGTTGCCCCATTTGCTGTAATGAGCCAGCCTCTGATATTCGTAGCTAGGCTGTGTTCCAGGCACATGCCTCTCCATATACCACCCAGGCCAGCAAGACGCATTATCACCGTGGAGCCGCAATTCCTGGGGGAAAGGCCTGAGAGTAGGGCCAGGGAGGGATGCCACCTGGGGAGCGGATGTCCAGAGATGTCCAGAGGGTCGCATTTGGCCCCCAGGACCAAGGTCCCCCCCCCACTCCTCCTGTAAAGCAAGGGTGGCCAACTGGTGGCCCTCCAGGTTTTGCTGGACTCCAACTCCCATCGGCGCGGCCAATGGTCAGGGATGATGGGTGGTGAAGTCCATCAACATGGGAGGTGGGCAGCTGCAGGCTCCCCCATCCTTGGTGTAAACAGGGAGCTGGGAGGCGGCTACAACCCCCTTCCTGCCCTACTCCTCTCACCCCGAGTTCACATTTCTGTTGTTAGCTGCAGCTCGTCCCACCCTAGTGGGGAAGTGAGAAACCTGTCGAGATGCTGCTGGACTCCAACTCCCATCATCCCTTGCAGTGAGTTGGGTGTGCTGAGGCTGATGGGAGTTAAGCAACATATGGAAGGCCGCAGGTTCCCTAGGCATGCGCTAGAGCGCTCCAGCTCTGGTGGCCAAGCAGCTGTAGCTGTTCCTCACTTGCACCAACTGAATGAGCGGCTGCTTAGGAGTTTCAGAAGCAGCCGCTCTGGGTCGGACGGATGACCCAAAGAGTCCAGCTTCCTTTCCCCCCACCCCCAACAACACCTGCTGGCCAGATTCCTCCGGGACACAAGCGCAGGAGCAGGGGCACCAAGGAAAGAGCTTCTAAACGGCAGGATGTTGAAAGGAGTGCTTCCAGGTCAAGGGGTCAGAGCGAGGCTGAGCCCTGAACCTGTTTCCAGGCAGGGAGTGGAATGGTCCACCCTCTGCCGTCACTTTCTCGAACATTCCCAGTGTTTGCTGAGTGGCTGAACGTAGGGAGAGTCCCAGTCCCGGATAAACACTTTCTCCAGCTGCTGGCGCAGGGTTTGTCCCGGGGTTCCTGCAGAGGCCTCGCTCTGGTTGACGACCAGACCCACGCCTGCAGTGCGGGTGAAGTAATCTTCAGACCAGTTGGAGGTACCTGGCGAAGAGGGAAACACACACAAATGCACAGCAGATTAGGGACTTCCTGGGCGCTTGGGTGGCTGAAAAATCCAAAGGGGAGGAGTCAGGCTAGGAGGTGGCTTTGGGGACATTCATGGGCTGGGTCAAGTTGCCTTTGGCTGATTGACATCCAGTGTCCTTTTAAAATGTATTAGGGGGGTGGGATTATTGGGTTGTTTGTGTTTTTATTATGTATTTTGTGATTTTATATTGTGATTTTATCACAATATAAGAGACCTGCAGGTATAGGGTGGTATACAAATTTAATAAACAACAATAATGGTAATGATTGGAGACCCTCGGGAAGAAGAAACTAATAAATCTAATTCATAATAACAGTGGACATTGGGGTCCACAGATCTGAACTTCTACAGCCTTGAGGTAGAGCAACAGTTTGCCACCAAAGGCACCTTTAAACTCTCTGACAAGGAAGTGGACCTTCTAAAACTGCCCCTTTGACTTCCTCCTACTCAGGGAAGCAGAGAAGGGCAAGGATGGGGGTCCAGAGAGGCAGAACAGCAGAGCAAGGCGAGCAACCCGGTCTATGCCACAGAAGGAGGATCAAACTTCACATTATGCCAAATGCATCTTTGCTTTCATGGCACTAAGGTGAGATACTCCAGCCCCTCCCTGCCCTGCCCCCAAAGCAAAATAGATACAGTGGCACCTCGGTTCTTGAACGTAATCCTTTCTGGAAGACCGTTTGAGTTCCGAAACATTTGAAAACCAAGGTGCAAAGGGCGGTCTGCAAATTTGATTGAGAAAATTGAGAAACACGCAGCAGAAGTCATTCAACTTCCGAGGCATGTTCGAAAATGGAAGCATTCATTTCCGGGTTTTTGCTGTTCGATTTCTGAAACGTTTGTCAACAGAGACGTTTGAAAACCGAGGGACCACTGTACTAGCTTAGAATCATCACAGCTGGAAGGGACTTCAAAGGACATCTAAGCGGAAGCCCTGGCCGCCCCATCACGGAACTGTTAGGGCCAGAGCCATAAAACGCAGACAAGGTCTACTTACCAATGTACGCGATTCTGTCGGTCACCATGTACTTGTTGTGATTGACGTGCGCATAAGGGATCGGTGGCTGCTCTCCCTCCGAGGGAACGACAAAGAGTTTCTGAAAGGAGAAAAAAGTTGCCTACTGCTACCACTAATGGGAGATGCCTCCTCTGGTTCTGCACCCCACTAGGAGCCAGAGGTAAGGCCTGTTCACTTCTTTGCAAACTGGCCTAATTGGGCAGGTCCTGTTTGGTGCATTGAGCCTTCTGAGCCTCTGGATGCTGCTGAACTACAACGCCCATCAGTTCCAGCAAACAAGGCCAATTTGCCAGGAATGATGGGAGTTGTAGTTCAGCAGCATCCGGAGGGCCAAAGGTTCCTCACACCTAGTGCAGAGGTTAGAGCATTGGGCTAAGCCCAAGAGCATGGGTAGGCAAACTAAGGCCCAGGGGCCGGATCCAGCCCAATCACCTTCTAAATCCGGCCCATGGACGGTCCGGGAATCAGCGTATTTTTACATGAGTAGAGTGTGTGCTTTTATTTAAAATGCATCTCTGGGTTATTTGTGGGGCATAGGAATTCATTCATTCCCCCCCCCCAAAAAATAGTCTGGCCCCCACAAGGTCTGAGGGACAGTGGACCGGCCCCCTGCTGAAAAAGTTTGCTGACCCCTGCCTTAGAGGCTTGAGTTCAAACCTTCACTTCCCAAGTTCTACGTTCCTATAATTCTGGCACTCCAGATTCTGAAGGTATTCCTGCAGCTTCCTGAACCTGACTAACACCGTTAAGAGAGTGGAGCCCATTGCGGTGTAGTGGTTAGAACAGAATTTCCACAAACTTGGGGCTCCAGCTGTTGCTGGACTACAACTCCCATCATCTCTAGCTAGCAGGACCAGTGGTCAAGGATGATGGGAACTGTAGTCCAAAAACAGCTGGAAACCCAGCTGTTTGGCAAGCTCTGGGTTAGAGCTTCGGACTAGGACCTAACCCAGGGCTCCTCCAGGCAACCTTTTTATTCTCACAGCGGCCGACCAGATGCCTGCAGGAAGCCCACAAGCAAGATCTGAGCCCAACAGCCACTCTCCCCTCCTGCAGTTCCCAGTCACTGTCATTTGCAAGCTTGCCGGCTCTGACAGTGGAGGAAGCACCTAAGGGCGCCAAAGAGCTTGCATCCAAGCAGGCCTGTCTGCTTGTTCTCTCTAGTTCCCAGACTCACCACTTCAATGGGGCAATGCAGAGGTTCGTAGCTGAGGACTCTGAGCGAATCCAGGAAGACGAACATGGCGGGATGCGAGTGTTTCCAGCAGCTGATGAGGAGACGCACCTTCACCCGCCTTTCGCAGGCAGCAGTGCGCAGAGCGTCATCAATGACCGGCCAGAACCTGGGGGTGCCAAGCCAAGCGCAACAGCATTATTATATAGGGAACGGGGAGTCCTTTAGTCCCTGGAAACCCAAAGCTGGTGGTGGCCCTACAAAGCGGCTAAGGCTGCATACGCACCATACATTGAAAGCCCATGATTCCCCCCCCCCAAGAATTCATTGTAAACTATAGTTTACCCCACAGAGAGCTACAATTCCCAGCACCCTTAACAATCTACAGTTCCCAGGATTCTTGGGGACAGAGAATGGGCTTTAGATGTATGATGTGTGAACACAGTCCTAATGGGCCATTTTCCATTAACATCTGAATTCCAGAGCAGATATATGCCACTCTAAGGCATAATAATAATAATAATAATAATAATAATAATAATAATTTATTTATACCCCGCTCATCTGGCTGGGTTTCCCCAGCCACTCTGGACGGCTTCCAACAAAATACTAAAATACAATAAGCTTGTGTCCAGGGCAAGTTCCACTCAGGGTAGACCCATTGAAGGGAATAGGCATGACGAACTTTAGCTTTAGGAAAACAGGAAGATGCCTTATAAGGGGTCAGACCAAACTGGTCCATCTAGCTCAGTATTGTCTACACTGACTGGTAGCAGCTCTGTAGGTTCTCAGGCCGGGGATGCTCCCAGCCTGCCTGGAGATATTATCAACTGGATAGCTCATTTCATTACAGAATGGCGCTGATAATGCCAATGATGCAGGTTCGATCCCCATATAGGGCAGCTGCATATTCCTGCATTCCAGGGGGTTGGACTAGATGATCCTCAGGGTCCCTTCCAAGTTGACAGTTCTATGAATCTGTGGCATTCTGCATTAAAAGCAGGTGCTCCACCGCTGAGCTGTGGCCCCTTCCCCTTATGCCTTTATCACTTATTAGGTTCAGGTTTTTATGTGCCTTTTCGGTCCCTTTTCGCCCTACCTCTTTGGTTTGCAGAATGTGCACTGGGGCTCATAGTCCATCACAGCAATGTAGACAAAGTCTTCAGCATCCTCGATGGTGCTCAAAATGGCGGTGAGATCAGAGGTTCTGCCTGAGGAGCAGAGGGCCGGTGGAGAGCTCTGGAACCACAAAATCAGAGAGCTTTGAAGGGGGCAGAAGAGGAGGAGAGGGCAAATCAAGGCGGCTGAGTTTAGTTTCGGAAAAATCAAGTAAGGGACAGCAGAACCTGGCAGAAGTGTTAAAATGATACATGGTGTGAAGAAAATGGATAGGGAGTTGTTCTCGTAATACTCTCACCTGGTGGTGTGGTGTAATGGTTAGAGTTGTCCGACTAGGACCCGGGAGACTTGGGTTCAAATCTAACCCTCAGCCATGAAGCTCACTGGATTAACTTGGGCCGGTCAGTGCCTCTTGGCCTAACTTTACCTCACAGGGAAATTGTGAGGATAAAACCATGCATGCTGCCTCGGGCTCCTTTGTGGAGAGGTGTATAAATGCAATAATATAAGTAATTCTAACCTCTGACTTAACTGTAAAAAGAGGCAGTTGGAGAGGGAAGGTATGGAAGTAATTGGCTTGTGTGGAAGACCAGGAAATTTTGCTTGAGGGGAAAAGCCACCTGGAGGTTTGTGTTAGTTGCAGAGGCTCTCAAGTCTACAGAAACTGCCAACCTCCACCTCTGAGGGCCCTGTATGTAGGTCAGTTTTAATAATAAACCCAGTTCAAGTTCATCCTGTCTCTGAAGGCTCCAAGGCTAACGCTACTAGGAAGTTTCAAAGCATTTGGGGATAACTGGTGGCAGAAAAAGAAGAAAGAAATAGAGACACCGCTACTTTGTGGGTGTAGGCCAGTGAAGCTGAGGGTCCTGGGATTCCCAATAGGCTGGAATGTAGCCTACCGTGCAAAGGGAAGAGCCACATCTGTCATCCACCCAGTGCGGAAATCCAGCCCGTGGGCCGAAAAATATTCCCCACCCCGACCCAACTTACAGAAAGATACAGCTGACCGCCGGTGTCATTCAGCTGCAGCTTCAGGGGATGAGTCAGGCCAGACTTGGCAGCCAGGTCTGCCGGCCACTTGGGCGGGATGGAGGCCCCGTCTTTCCCCAGGATGCGATATATGGCAAAGATTCGGTGTAGGTCCCTAGCTAGGCAGCTGCAGTTGTACAGCACGGCGCCCAGCTCTTTAACCTGTAAGATAGAAGGAACCAGGTGAGCAGGACCTTAGGAGATTTGTCTGTCTGTCTAGGCTAAGCCCCAAGGTATGGGGAGACTTGGGCTTAAGGACAAAACACAGCCCCTCTGCCTGGCCCTCAGGGTACACCCCTCACCGGCCCCACATTGCACCTTGAACATTTTTTATTTTCTCAAGTTGCATCGACCTGCACCTGTTTGACAAAAATGCTCTATGAACTGTAGAGCCAGCATCAGCCCTAGAAATCAGGTGGGGCTCTTCGCAGAAACCTGCCCTCTTTAAATCGCCCCCTTTGTGGACTGATGCTCTGAGAAGTCCCAAGCAGCTGAATCCAGCGGCCATTTTAATTACCCACTATGCCCCTGCTGCAGTATTGCTCTGGGGCATTGTAGCAATTTAAAATGTTAATCATCGTTGTTATATTTCAATGATTTATGTACTATATGACACCGCAGTCTCTCAAATTAACAAACAATACAACAAAGAACCTGTTAAACTTAACCATAAAGCAGGCACCTTCACTGTGCCCTTTTTGGCACTTGCTAAAATATATTTTCGTTTAGGCAAGCCTATCCAGACAGTTAGAATGTTAATTTTCATTTTCTAACTGTTTCTAATTGTTATTATTAGCTGTTTTGTACTGACAATTTTATTCTTTTCTTATTTTTGTTAATGGCTTTGTGGTTTTATTATAATAGAGTGGTACAGTATATAAATTTGTGAAATTGATACAATAAAAAATAAAATCAGAATACATATTTCTAATACCTGCGGAGAGGTGTTTTTTTAAAAAAGTCTTCTCACCAAGCGCCTGAAGTTCAACAGGGAGAAAGGACCTGCCTGATCTCAGCCAGGAAAGAGTTGCACAGAATTGGGTCCATAGCTCCCGGGGGTCTTGAAGCACCCCCAGCATTGCTCAGGAACTGTTGATGGCTTCTGCCACTGCTAGCAAGAAAGCCAGCCTGCCCCCCCCCCCCAGGTCCGATGGGCAAAAGCATGGGCCCAACAGAGTGCCTGACCCTGACAATTGTTTTGTGGGTTGTGAGAGTCTCCACCCCATTGACAATCCCCAGAGCGCATCCTCAGATGCTTCCAATGCGCAGCCGTCCCCTGCCCATGCTCTTGAACCTGTTCCACCCACGACGCCCAGAGGTACCTGAGTGAGGGAGCGCCAGTCCATGTTGGCGCTGCCCACAAAGATGTGCTTCCGATCCACCACCCATAGCTTGGTGTGCAAGATGCCTCCTGTCAGGTTCTTCATGTCCACGTACCTCACATCTGCACCTGCGGGAGGAAGGGGCAAGGATTTAACACCGACCCGCCTTCTGTTTCCCCATTGGAATGATCCTAATGATGTTAAGAGGCCATTGTGTCATCATCGCTTATATGGTGTGTCACGTGCATTCAGCTTTTTGTAATCCTTACGACAGCCCTGCGAGGTTGCATTATTGAAACATAGGAATGGTGCATTACACTGTATCATGACACTGGTCCACCTAATTCAGCAGTGTGTACACCAGGCGTCAGCAAGGTTTACCGGCCATGGGCCAGATCACTCCCATGGAGATTATCCGCGGGCTGGACTGGCGCAGTGCAACGCCAGAAATCGCTTCTGCGCATGTCCAGACTCTTAAAATCGCATCTGCATGACGTGATTTCCAGCACCGCTTGGCAGATGTTGTAAACAAAAACTGCCCTTTTCCCTTATGGGGTATCCAAGAGCCCATATAGAGTCCTTACATAGGTTCCCTATTGGTAGGAGAGAATAACAGAGGCCAACCAGAGAATATTGAGAAGCAAAGCAGCTAGTAAGCTTGATCTTTATTGATCTGTTGCAACAGGGTGCTCTCCTCACCCGCAAGAGAGAGGAGGAACCCAGAAAAATGGTGTGCAAGGCCTTATAAAGACTTTTGAAATTGCCACCCTGTAGATCAAGACCACCCCCAGAAACATCATACATACATCACAGAAGGGGTGTAACCTAAGACCACCCCTCAGATACATCACACCTACATCACAGAAAAGGTGGTCTAAACAGAAATTTGAATGTTGTTTTTCTCCTGTCCTTGTTTATCTCCTGTCTGGCAGGTTACTTGATTGGATTGCCTGGGGAGCCCACCAATCTTTTGTAATGATAAATACTTAGTTCCTGGGCCAGGTCACAGGCTCACACTCTATTCAAACACAGACATACCCTTAAGACAGGATTTGTGAAGGAAAAGACAATGGGGAGGCTTTTCCACTTTGACCATGCAGAGAAAACATTTGCTCAGTTTAGGAATCAAAATGGTTCCAGGTCGGTCTTCCTGTGCTGATCTATGTATGTGCTTGGTTGATACAGTTATGAACATTTAACATATATCTAAGACCTCAAAATTCCTATCACAGCAGGTCCCTGCACCGTACTGCGCTGGTTTAGCGCAGTGCCTGGGGGACTCGCTGAGCGGGTGGCTTGGTTCAGGGGCAGTTCGTGGGCTGGTAAAATGGTCTTCGTGGGCTGCTTCTGGCCCATGGGCCTCACGTTGCCAACCCCTGGTGTACACTGACCAACTTACTGGGATTTCAGGCAGGGAGACTCTCCCAGTCACCTCCATACCTGGGGAAGCTGAGGATTGAACCTAGGACCTTCTGCATGCAAAGCAGATGCTCTACCACTGAGCCTTTGGAATGATCTCCCCCTGGATTTGCCTCTGTCCCCTTCATTGCAACCCCAGTGTTACTCCCATACTGGAAATACTGAAGATGAGGGAGAATGGCTCATTTAAGTCTATGTAGCCTGGTGGCAGAAGTGAGGTTCGAACGAAGGACTATTTTACTTGTAGCTCAGTCCCTGTGCTACTCCAGTTACCAAAAGCAAACCCACTGAGCCGATGCCATTACAGACCACATGCATCCATAATCTATGTATATTCTGCCACCAAGGGCAGAACTCAGTGTTCAGAATTCAACAAGCTTCTAGCCTTCACGCTTGTGAATACAGATTCTCTCCCTTTCAGATTTAGCAGAGTGTTAAAATACAGGCCCCAGCAGCTTCCTGTGTTCAGGAAATCACCTGGGAGATCAACCATTAACCAAAGACAAAGGGAAGGCAGTGCTTTTTTCTGGGGGTACTCAAGGATATGAAGTATCGGCACCCCCCCCCCGAAGTGATACGGAAGGGGGGGGCATGTCTTCTTCTTCGCCTTCTTCGCTACAATATATCCATTTATTTCCAATTGCCAATGTCAAAAGGGACTAAAATCTATAAAATTCATAGAAAATCAACTTGCCAATTTGCTCAATTTCTCTAGGACTCCATGACACCTCCCCTGCCCTCCATAATCCCTCAAGCAAGGTGTCAAGACCCTAATCCTGTCAAATCGCTCTGCCAAGCCCTTCCTCCGGGCGATGCCAGGTGACAGACTATGCATACATGGACCATTGTCTTCTCAGGATGTGCTTATCTGCGCATATCTCCAGCTCTGCATATTCCCCCCTCCCTCCTCCATATGTTAATCCGGTGTAACCCAACCTCTTCTTAATGTATTCATGATGTAACTGGGATGTATTTTGCACTGTATTCTGGGACATGGAGGGAAATTTCAAAAGTTCATGTCACCCCTTTCTCGTTGTTCAATCTCGCCTTGAACCTGTTGCGCAATAAACTCGGATCTCCTGGAACTTGCTCCTGTCTCCGGCTGACCTCATTTTCTTCCGCAGGGACCCGCGGACTTAGTCCGACGAGCTGGGTGGCAGAGTAACCCTGCACCCAGATTTTACCGTAACAGAAGAAAAGCATTGGGGAAGATAATGTGCTATCAGGAAGGCCAGAGAGAGAGGGGACTCTGCCAGATGGCCCTCCGGAGGGACCCTTCTTACAGCTCTGAATATATACACGTACACACCTAACTCCAACATAAAACATATTCAAAGTACAGTAAGCCCACAATTTACATGGGGGTTCTGGGGATTGCACCGAAAGCCAAAATCGCATATACAGTGGTACCTCGGGTTAAGTACTTAATTCGTTCCAGAGGTCCATTCTTAACCTGAAACTGTTCTTAACCTGAAGCACCACTTTAGCTAATGGGGCCTCCCGCTGCCGCCGCACCGCTGGAGCAAAATTTCTGTTCTCATCCTGAAACAAAGTTCTTAACCTGAGGTAATATTTCTGGGTTAGCGGAGTCTGTAACCTGAAGCATCTGTAACCTGAAGCGTATGTAACCCGAGGTACCACTGCAGTAAAAACACACTTGGTTCAATAGTGGGTGGGATTGCCAAAATCTTTTCTCCTGGATGCCTGTCTGCCTTATTTTTAATTATTATGATTATGATTATCATTATCATTATTATTTTGGTCAAGAGCATAAAGCTGAATGTGCACAAGTTCAATGAGCAGAAGTTGCGGGCTTACTGTACATTCTCCCCTCAAAGAATTCTGGGCACTCTACTTTACTCCTCACAAGAGTTACAATCCCCATTGACCCTTGCCCAGAATTCTTTGAGGGAATGAGTGTGCTTTAATGGTATAATAATGCATACAACAGCCTTAGCTGGCTAACAGTTGAATGTTGAAAGGTTTCCAAGCAGTACAAAAAACCCTGCTCTACGTGACACCTTACCATGGCGGGCCAATTCATCTGTGTCGTACTGGGAAAACTGGGGGCTGTTCACAGAGATGCTGAGCTTCACCCCGCGAGAAGGCAAGGACCGCAGAGACTCAAACACCGCCTTGCCCTGCAAGAACGACAAGCACAACGCTTACTACAGTATTGCTATGCATGGAACCTAGAGATGCTCACATCTCCATCTCAAATAGATTTGCGGGTTCATTTCTATGTGCGTGAAGAAAAAGGGAATTAATTTGGGGGGCAGAGATACCTGCAATTTATTTAATTAAGGAAAGTCAGTAAAAGGATGGTATTAAACACTCATGACAAAGTTGTATGTGCATTTCGTGCTCAAATCAAAGTTGAAAGAGCAGAAGGAAGTAAATCTTCAGGTAAACTTAAAGGATTTGGCTCTGCTAGGAAATAGCATCTGCAGAACCAGATAGATTTTCTCCAGTCATTACACGCCAAGAATTCCTTTTACAGCGTTTCAATGTTTTAAGGGGAAAATTTATTCTGCAGCACTGCTTTGCTCGGCTTGCACAGCTGTTTTTGCAGGATGTTCTCGAATGAACAGCAAGCTGTCAAAGGGAAACCTTTGCGACCTCTGCTGGTTAACAGTTACGCAGCACCTAACAGGTAAGTGGGCGGGTTTATGCAGATTGCACACCAATGGCCATCAAGCAACCGGGCAGACGGCTGAGAAATTGACAAGATCGAAAGAATGATCTAGTTTTGGGGTTAAATTGTCCATGAAGAGGCTGCTGAGTTGGAAAACAGGTAGAAATGTTGTCAGAGTGTATTTTGTGGAATTGGAAATGGTGCTGATTCTGATGGGGTGGTGAGAGCTTTGCGGCACCAAGTACCCACCATCACCTCAAAAGCCATCGGAAAAGGAGACCTGCTTAATTTTTGCTCAGTTTGGTATCGCTTCTCGGCCTTTTGGCTAAGATCAAGTGTAGTATCTGTTCTTATCAGTTTAATATCTGATATGTCCTCTATTTGAGGACTATATATTAAATGGATTTTTGGAGCTGGGAGATGGAATAGGGGCTTGCTCCATCCACTCCATGCATCGACCTGGTATTGCAGTACCTCCAGGAACGGTGCACCTCCCTTTGGGGGGGAATATTGCTGGTGCAAAAAATAGATGAAAACTTTCACTTCCCTACAATGTTATGTCTTGAAACAATGGGATTGTATACTCCCACCACAGACCCCCTACATGATGGCTCTGTATGTCTCTGCTTCCCAAAAGATTGCACAGCTGTCTATTGCAGCAGTCCTGGCTATAAGATCTGCAGGTGAATGGTGAAGGGAAGCTCAGAGACCAGGGGCTGCTGCCCAGAGGACTCCCAAGGAGAGAGAGAGGAGAGGAGGCTGAGGGAACTGTTCACAGGGGAGGGTGTTCAAAAAAAAGGATGAGAGGCTGCCAGCTCTGCAGGCAAGGGGTGACATAACTGGGCTCCTGAGACCCACAGGGGTGTCAAGAAATAATGTAGTTGGTCAAGGGAACCGTGGACTCAAAAAAAGGTTGAAAACTTCTGCCCTACCTAATTTAGTAAAGATGCATAATTTTCTCTGTAAAGATTGTATGCATCCTTGCATTGTTCTACCTCTCAAGCACTAGCTGCCCAGGACTAACACATGAGGGATAAAATGGATTCACCTTGCTTTTAAAGGCATATCCAGCTAATTCACACAAACTGCATTACACAAACACACAGCTCTCCAAATTTTGCGATGCAGTTTTCCAATCAAGTAATACGTGCAAAAAATAATGTTCTGGGGTAAAGGGTGCATAACAAGGCACCTATAAGAGAAAATAACATACAAAATGCATTCTATTGGGAGAAACTGATTTGCAAAAATGTGTGCGTTAGGCAAAACTGCATACAGTAAAATGCTGGTTGATTTTCACGTGGCTTTTTTAAAAAAAATGCAAACAGATGTGGAAATGTACAGGACTGAAGCTTGGAAAAAGGAGAAACAGAAAAACTGGAACAGAGATTGTCCCATCCTAGTGACTGACCTGTTTCGAAGAGGGATCCTCCACATGAACATCGGAGTCTCGTAGGGTGAAGTAGAAAGCTGCTATCTCCACACTGCTGTTGGCTCCATCCAAGAGGTCCATCCAAGCCTGGTAGATGCTTGGGTGGTGAGGAGTCAGCGTTTCGTAATCCAAAGTGGACGGGATGCTCTCCACCAACACCAGGCTAAAGCCAGGAAGAAGAGAGGGGAGCAGGTGAAGGCTAAAGAAATGCAGTGGTGCTGTTTTCTATGTTGGACAGGTTGGCAACCCCATGGATTCTGGTTTCTTTTCAGAATCTCTTCCATCTCACATGCCGTGCTATGGTGAGAGGGGTGCGGCCTGAGAAAAGTGCCAAGGGCCAGACCAAGAGGCTTGGAGGGCGAGGCTCTGCCCTGGTTCCCCCCAACCTTGGACTACAACACCCCCAGCTGAAAGCCCTTTTTTCCTTTTTTCAGTGTTTCCTTTTTAAATATAGTTTTATTGATTTCTAATACATAACAATTAAGGGACGCGGGTGGCGCTGTGGGTTAAACCACAGAGCCTAGGACTTGCCGATCAGAAGGTCGGCGGTTCGAATCCCCGCGACGGGGTGAGCTCCCGTTGCTCGGTCCCTGCTCCTGCCAACCTAGCAGTTCGAAAGCACATCAAAGTGCAAGTAGATAAATAGGTACCACTCCGGCGGGAAGGTAAACAGCGTTTCCGTGCACTGCTCTGGTTTGCCAGAAGCAGCTTAGTCATGCTGGCCACATGACCCGGAAGCTGTACGCCGGCTCCCTCGGCCAATAAAGCGAGATGAGCGCCGCAACCCCAGAGTCGGCCACGACTGGACCTAATGGTCAGGGGTCCCTTTACCTTTCCCACATAACAATTACAAAAGAGAGAAAGAGAATGATACAAAAACAACCTGCCCTGCTCCTCTCTCCAGGACAGATCAATCTAGTTAAGTTTGTCAAAGTCCAGCCTGTGATTTCGGTAGTTGCTGTTCTTCAGGATTATCAGTAAAGTGTTTTATAAAAGGCTGTCATATTTCAACAAAATTTTCTACAACATTTGTGTTATGCAGTGTGTGGAATCTCTTTGTTAATTGTTCTGCAGTGTGTTTTTAATGCTGTACGCCGCACCCTGGGATCTTCTGATAATAGGCGGTACCTAAATTGAATTAATAATAAAAATAATAGCTGGTAGCCCTTACATGTGCATGCCCCTTACTTGCCTGCACTGACTACTGCACTCCTCCACCGCATTCCACAGTTTTGGGAAGCTGCTCCATCTCCATGCTTCGTATCCCACCAGCCCCAGGAAGGAGCCGGGGTTTCCGTGTTCCCATGCGAACCAGCAAACAAAGCCCAGGATAAGCAAGAAGAGAAGGAAACAGAGAACAGACCGATATGGGAGACGCTGAGAAGACAAAAGGGGTTGAGAGGAAGAAGGACATTATTTAGTGCCATCTCCAGACTAAGCCCAATGTACATTTTGCTCTAGGAGGCTTAGTTTGGTCAGAATCGAGTATACACTTTTGGAGTTAACACTAAATAAATTACTTTTGGTAAATGAGCCACCATAGCTGCTGGAGGGCCGTGAAAATTTGTGTCCTGGGCTTTTTAGACCCGTCTACCTATGCACTATCTGAAACCAAAGGGCGCATGGGTTGCCAGATGTGCAATAAATATATTGGCATTTTTTCCAGCTCTCCTACCCCACTATCAGCATTTCAGACAGGGAATGTCTTCCTGCCCATCTGCCTGGGTTTCCCTGCCCATCAAATATTAAAAACTTTCCTAAATAGGGCTGCCTTCAGATGTCTTCTAAAAGTCGTTTAGTTGTTTATTACCTTGACATCTGACGGAAGGGCGTTCCACAGGGAGGGTGCCACTACTGAGAAGGCCCTCTGCCTGGTTCGCTGTAGCTTCACTTCTCGCAGTGAGGAAACCGCCAGAAGGCCCTCAGAGCTAGACTTCAGTGTCCAGGCTGAACAAAGGGGGTGGAGGTGCTCCTTCAGATATACTGGGCTGAGGCTCTACCACTGAGTCATTTATGCACCTTCATAGAATGAGCATTCATTCTGATTTGTTTGCGGAGAGGTTTGATAGCGTGTCAAAGTAAATGTAATCCCACACATTTCCACTATTGCTTTCCTTGTCGCCAAAAGTCAGATCTTTTGAGGAAGTGGGTTTGTTGCACAAGCGCTCCAAAGCAACTAGAATTGCACAGCCAGAATTTGCCGATAGGTGACTGAATTTCACTCAAAAATAGCGAGTCTGGGGGTGTCCTCTGTCACCCCACTGAGAAAGCAACTATCTCATACATTTCAAACTCTGTGTGTTTTTGCCTCCATGTTAATTTTTTTATTAAACCGGATTTATATACCGCTTAATCAGCAAGAAACCTTAAGTGGTTGGCACAAAACAATATGAAATATTTAGAAGAAAATATCAACACAATCACACTTTAAAAAGTAGTAGACTTAAAATTTACCAAAATATAGATAAAACCCATAAGTTTCAAAACAAATGTGTGTAACAGTTTCTGGCAACCTTGCAATTATCAGCTGTGGGAGCCTGCGACTGTTCTGTACATTTTTAGATTTTGCTAAAGACTGCTTTGTAGATGTTTCGAAACCTGTTTCAGTTTTACCATATTTTTAATTGCATTGCCTCACCATTGTGGCAGTTCTTGCCCTGCCTTTGTGTGGAACGACAGGCTTGTCTTTGTGCGGAATGTTTAGACGTGCCCAAACAACAATAAAAAGTTTTAAGCAAGCACCAAAAACAGTACAACGAAGATGCTTGCCAATCAGCAGGGAGTTCCAGAGACTAAGCGCTGCCACACTAAAAGGATTGTTTCCTTGCCAGGGTAGAATAAACATTACGTGGCACTTGTGAAAGTACCTGTTCCGCAGATTAAAGCAGTTTAGTGAGAATATATGGGGTATGTTGGAGCATGCTTTGGGATTCTCTAATATACCTTGGCCCACTTTTGGGGGGCTCCTGCCTGTGACTTAGAGGAGTCGGCCTTCTTCATGGTTGGCGCCTTGGACCTGGCAGTGATTCCTGTCCTGCTCTGCTGCCCAAGGGCAAGCGTCTCGTTTTCCACCCTGCCTTGTGAGCTGGCCGTTGTCCTCCTCTCCATCTGGGGCCTGGCCTTGGTGCTTCGCAGCTGAGAGGTCTCCAGAACCTGCAGCCGGGCCCTCTTGTCTTTCACCACTTCCCACTCAATGTTTGGTTGAGGCAGCTGGCAAGAGAGGAAAAAGCTCATGTTGTGAAAATCGTATCTCGGCTTCACGTGCCGAGATCCGAATGAGTCTTTTGATCACATACACGCTGTCCCTCTGAGCAAGCAAGCTACCAAACAAGGAAGTCTTCCATTTTTCAGACCAAGGGCCGATTTAATATCTAAGTAACTTTCCAGAGGCCACATGGCAGTGGTAGGTGGGGCCAGAAGAAGAAGTGGGTGGGGCTACAAATGTAAATATTAACTCCACAGCATGGAGAGAGGGTATGTGTGGCTGGGGAGAGTTCCAAGGGCCTGACAGAGGGGCCTGGAGGGCCGCATCCAGTCCCGAGGTTCTCCACTCAACCTGTAGTTTCACATTTCATCCAAATGGGAAAACAAAAAGTAACAGCCTGGAAACAAGCCAGGATATTAGGCCATGGTTGTAAGCTGGTTTAACATTCTTTCCCCCCCCCGGTTCGGACAAAATTGGAAACACAGTTAAATGGAAGAGTTTCTGGTTTGCTTGCTCCTGCGGTACAAGATGCTGACAGTCCCCTGTCCAGTCCTCCAGGTATGGCTGGGAGAGATTCCCTGCCTGAAATCCTGGAGAGCTGCTGCCAATCAGTGCAGACGATACTGAGCTAAATGGATCGATGGTCTCAGTATAAGGCAGCTTCCAATGTCCCTACTGGGATATGGAGGAAGATGGCAGCCATTTCCTCAGATGGCTCTGCTTAAAAAAAGACCCCTGTTCTTGTTACGCCTCCCTTGTTACCTCCTTTGCCCCATTTTGGGGTGGGGAAGGCTCCTCTTCCTGTGGCACATCCAGTCTCCTCAGCCTGACAAAGGGGGACTGAAAAGGAAAATGGAGGGATGTCTTTTTATGTTCAGTGAGCCCAGCTGTGGCAGCCATCTTGGTTGTCGTCCTCTTACTATTAATGGACTCTGCCTGTGAACCAAATCCTGACTGACAGAAGAAACAAGGCAGCTCACCTTCCGAATGGTACTTTCCCCATTTATTTATTTATTTGTTAGCAGTGAATGCCCCCACCCCACCCTGGACTCCAGCTCCCATCATCTCTGACTGTTGGCTGGCTGAGGCTGATGGGAGCTGGAGTCTAACAACAGCTTGAGGTCTGACAAAGAGTTCCTGTATCCCTGCGCCTATTATTCTAGCCCTTTCAACACTCCCTGTTTCACATTGCCACCTGACTTGGCAATCTTGCGCTTCCTTACACAGAAGTAAGTCACGCCGGATTCAAGGAAGGCCGCATCCACGCCACACATTTAATTCACATGACTTCCCCCCAAAGACTCCTGGGGACTGTAGTCCATCCCTCAAAGAGCTACAATGCCCAATTGTAAAACCACATTTGCCAGGATTATTTGGGGGAAGCAATGTGCTACAAATAAATGATGCGCCTGTGTGACCTAGGTCAGTTTTGGCGTGTGGCCCTCGAAACGCTGCCTAGAAAGAAAGCGGCCCTCGGACCGGAAAATTTTCCCCACTTGTGCAATAGATAAGTAAGTACAGTGGTACCCCGCAAGACGAACGCCTCGCAAGACGGAAAACCCGCTAGACGAAAGGGTTTTCCGTTTTGGAGGCGCTTCGCAAAACGAATTTCCCTATGGGCTTGCTTCGCAAGACGACAGCCCATAGGGAAATCTCAGGGACAGCGGGAAGCGCAGCGCGTCTTCCCCACTGTCCTCGGACCTCCTCCGAAGCCTGGCGGCGGGGCGGGGACACCTCCTCCCGCCGCCGCCGGGCTCGGAAGGCTCCTCCGGCCGGGCGGGGGAGGGAACACCTGCCGCCGCCGCCCGGCTTCGGAACGGTGCTCCGGCCGGGCGGGGGGAGGGAACACCTGCCGCCGCCGCCCGGCCCGGAACGGTGCTCCGAGCCGGGCGGGGGAGGGAAGACCTCCCCGCCGCCCGGCTCGGAACGGTGCTCCGAGCCGGGCGGGGAGGGAAGACCTCCGCCGCCGCCCGGCTCGGAACGGTGCTCCGGCCGGGCGGGGGAGGGAAGACCTCCCGCCGCCGCCCGGCTCGGAACGGTGCTCCGAGCCGGGCGGGGGAGGGAAGACCTCCGCCGCCGCCCGGCTTCGGAACGGTGCTCCGGGCCGGGCGGGGAGGGAACACCTCCGCCGCCGCCCGGCTCGGGAACGGTGCTCCGGCCGGGCGGGGAGGGAAGACCTCCGCCGCCGCCCGGCTCGGAACGGTGCTCCGGGCCGGGCGGGGGAGGGAAGACCTCCGCCGCCGCCCGGCTCGGAACGGTGCTCCGGCCGGGCGGGGGGAGGGAAGACCTCCCGCCGCCGCCCGGCTTCGGAACGGTGCTCCGACCCGGGCGGGGGGAGGAAGACCTTCTGAAGGCGGGCGGGGGCGAAAGTCTTTGCTCCCCCTGCCTGCCTGTCCCGGGAGGGCTTTTGAAGGCGGGGAGCAAGACTTTCGCCCCGCCCGCCTTCAGAAGAGGTCCAGGACCTCTTCTGAAGGCGGGCGGGGGCAAAGTCTTTGTCCCCCTGCCTGCCTTCCCAGGGGCTTTTAATTGCCCCGGACAGCGGAGAAGTCCTCCGCTGTCCCGGGTGATTTTAAATGCCGCCCGCCAGCATTTTAAGATCGCCCGGACAGCGGAGAAGTCCTCCGCTGTCCCGGGGTTTTTTAAAATGCTGGGGGTGGGAAGAAAAGCCCTTGCCCCCCCCCCCAGCCTTCAGAAGAGGTCCGGGGACAGACTGTCCCCGGACCTGGTCTGAAGGCGGTTTCCCTAGGAACGCATTAATTGATTTTCAATGCATTCCTATGGGAAACCGTGCATCGCAAGACGAAAAACTCGCAAGACGAAGAGACTTGCGGAACGAATTAATTTCGTCTTGCGAGGCACCACTGTATATCTCCCTATGGTACAGTTAGTTTGGTCCTGAATTTGGAAAGAGAAGGGTTTGGATTGTACACCCCCAACCCTAAGAGTGACCCTATCTGTGTTGCACAGCTATGGCCAAAGTCCATAGCTGTCAACTTACAGATTTGAAAATAAGGGACTAGCAGCCTCAAAAATAAGGGATCAGCAGCCAAAATAAGGGATTTTAGTCAACCAGCAGCCAAACAAAGCCTCAAGCGGTGGTTCCCACAGCGCAGCAACCCGGCAAAGGGGATGCAGCAAGGAAAACCACCGTCACCTCTCCGCTGGGAAGCGCTGAGCAAAGGCGAGTCCCCAGGCAACGAGGCCAATTTGATCGGCACAAGGCATGCAAGCTCCACCCCCCAGTCGTTCTTAGACTCCTTATTGGGTGAGCAACGCAGCCAAGAACACAGTTGGAGCCTCCCTCCTCCCTGGCCAGCAGGCAGGGAGGGAGGGAGGGGAGCTGCTTCCTTTGAAACCCGGGAAATTTAAGGGACATCATCAATAAGGGACAGCAGCGGGACACAGCACTGGGATAAGGGACTTTCCCACCAAATAAGGGACGGTTGACAGCTTTGCCAAAGTCCAGCTGCCTCAACTAGCTGAAAGAGACTCACCAAGGTAGTGTCTCTTTCCAACACGGTTTGCCGGCTGTCTTCATGAGCTTCTGCTTCTTCCGACGATTGCGAAGGACCTCTGGGGGGACTGGGCGATGGGTCCTTGGCTGGCTCGGCCTGCTTCCTGTGAGCTCTGATGCTCTCCCTGGGCGAAAGGATGTCAGTGACATGACTTCCTCTGAAGCCTTGCGGTTCCCTTGAAACCTGCGTTTGAGAAACAGGGCAGAGTCGTGTTGATTGGCAGCTGGTGCCTTATAGTATATTGGGGCACTTCCTCTTAGCAGTGGGTTTTTGTTTTGTTATTGTACAGAAAGAGGGTTGATGAGGACTGCGTATGCACTATACACCTAACGCACTTTTAAAGCACATCCTCTCCCCCCCCCCCCAACAATCCTGGGAATAATCCTGGTGCCTTCCGAAATTAAAAAACATGTTTCAAGGAGCCATCAGAACTGATCACCCTTGATGTTTTTAATCAGAGAAAAACCATTGTCGACATTTACTAAAGGGTGGAAACCCCTTATAGACTTTTTGCATGAATAAGAAAATGAACATGACACAGTGTTCAAACGGCTTGGCTCCCAAACAAATCGGCTCCCAAACGCCGCAAACCCGGAAGTAAGTGTTCCGGTTTGCAAATGTTCTTCAGAAGCCGAACGTCCGACGCGGCTTCCGCTTGAGTGCAGGAAGCTCCCGCAGCCAATCAGAAGCCGCGCCTTGGCTTTCGAACGGTTTTGGGAGTCAAACGGATTAAGTTTGAGAACCAAGGTATCACTGTATCTGGGTTTGGGGACTGAAGGTAAGAGAGTGGTACCTCAGGTTAAGTACTTAATTTGTTCTGGAGGTCCGTTCTTAACCTGAATCTTTCTTAACCTGAAGCACCACTTTAGCTAATGGGGCCTCCCGCTGCCGCCGCCGCGCCACCGGAGCACAATTTCTGTTCATCCTGAAGCAAAGTTCTTAACCTGAAGCACTATTTCTGGGTTAGCGGAGTCTGTAACCTGAAGCGTATGTAACCTGAGGTACCACTGTAATAGTTTATAGAAAGTGGATTTGTTGGGTGTTATCTTGGAGTGGCTGTGTTGAATAATTTTCTACATATAGCTGACAGATGAGGAATTGGAATTTTTTCTTTCTTAGTTTTTTTTTATCCTTGATGAAAAGCTCTCTGATATTAACCTTCAAATTATTTTTTAAACTTTAATAAAATCTATTTAAAAAATAAGGGAAAAGAACCGATCACCCTGTCATCATCCAAAAGCGACTTGAGGGAGTATTGGTGCTCTGATGGATTGTGCGAGAGAAAGCACACGTGTGTGCAAAGGCTCCGACCAAAGGGGTGCCTTCCGCAACCGTTACTTGCAATTAGCGCAAGGCAGCTCCCCTGGGAGTTTCCTCTTGCTGCACAGATGTTTTTACAGTCACAAAGAGATAGGAGCTCTCTGCCCGCCTCCTCTGCCCGCCACTCACACAGAAAACTTCCTGCCCTTTGAAAGGAGCCTGCGCTGCAAGAGCTGCCTTTGCCCAAGTCAGGCCTCTGAGTGATCTAACCCCAGCATTGCTGTCAAGGCTGCCATCTGGCTTTCTGGTTTCTCAGCTGGAGAGTCTTTCACAGCCCAGCAGCCTGTGATCTTTAAGAAGAAGAAGAAGAAGAAGAAGAAGAAGAAGAAGAAGAAGAGTAGTTTGGATTTGATATCCTGCTTTATCACTACCCTAAGGAGTCTCAAAGTGGCTAACAATCTCCTTTCCCTTCCTCCCCCACAACAAACACTCTGTGGGGTGAGTGGGGCTGAGAGACTTCAAAGAAGTGTGACTAGCCCAAGGTCACCCAGCAGCTGCATGTGGAGGAGCGGAGACACGAACCCGGTTCACCAGATTACGAGTCTACCGCTCTTAACCACTACACCACACTGGCTCTCTGAAGAGAGAGGTGCCACGAATTGCAACTTTAATCTCCTGCATGCTCTGCCCTATTGGACCAGCCACCACGGATGGGTAAACCTGCAGCCATTCAAAAGTTACTGGACTCCAGCTCCCACAGCCAGTATGGCCAGTGCCCGTTCCAGTTTGTGGGGGCAGGATGGGCTTTGGGCATGATGCCCTTAGTGTACCCAACTTCTCTGAGATCTCCCCTTCTCCTCCTCACCGAGACACCAAAGCCCACTTGTCTGCATGGGTGAATGCAGGGTCAATGAAGGGTGCTGCTGTAAACTTTCATTTGTGTCATTCCTTGCAAGCTCAGGGGCTTCAGAAGACATCTGAAGGCAGCCCTGTATAGGGAAGTTTAATGTTTACTGCTTTATTATGTTTTTGTATATGCTGGAAGCTGCCCAGTGTGGCTGGGGCAACACAGACAGATGGGTAGGGTACAAATAAAGTCGTCATCGTCGTCATCATCCAAGAGTTCCTTTTAAACTGGAGGCGCCAAGAGGTGAAGCAGGAACCTTCTACAGAGCAAAGTCTGTGCTCTGCTCCCCTTCCAAAAGTGGTGTTCAAAATCCAGCTATCGATTCAAGATTCACTCCTCCATCAAATATGAAGTTTAAAGGCCAGTTTAGGGAACCTGTGGCCTTCCAGATGTTGCCAGGCTCCGGGTTCCATCATTCCCAGCCAATGGTCATATGCTGGCTGATGGGACTTGTAGTCCAACAACCTGTGGAGGGCCAGATATTTCCCATTCCTGGTTCAAGCATTTGACACGTTAGTGTGGCACAGAGGCAATTTCCTTCAGCACCAGAGGGAGGGAGGCAGACCCCTCAGGAATGTTTCAGGCCCCTTTCCCGAATTATCAGCTTTTTAAGATGATCTAAGGGGAAATTTTGTTCCTGTCCTGCAAGTATTCTGGCCAAAGAGAGCAAATACTCTGAAACCACTTAGGAACCTGCCTGTTAATTAGATATAGAGATACAGATATACATATAGATATATTTTTAAAAATTAAGATTTACTTTAATTAAAATGTATCAATTGACTATAAAGGCCATGAAATGAGACATATCAGACATCTTACATTGACACTTTTGCTGTTTCACCTTGGCTTAGACTCATACACAGACATATACTGAAAATATCATTTTAAGTCCAGCAATTTTTTGCTGCTGGGGATGGTTGCTCACCTGTTCAATCAACTCACACCACACCAAAAGATACATATTTATGCATGATTTCAGCTTTTACTGTGGTGGTTGTCTTTTAGTTTTGATTTAACTGTCTTGGCAAAGTCACCTTGAGACTTTTGGTATAATGCAACCAAGTAATGCTACTAACAACAGCAATAGGATTCCCTATTGCTGTGGGCTGACAAAATCCATCAGCATTATTGCCAGTTCTGGGACGGAGTCGGGAGAAACATTGTCAATTGCACCCAGATATCTGAATTTTGCTTCATTAACAATCTGCAATAATAGTTGCTTTGCTGGTAACTAGAAATCAGGAGAAGTACAGTGGTACCTCGGGTTACATACACTTCAGGTTACAGACTCCGCTAACCCAGAAATAGTACCTTGGGTTAAGAACTTTGCTTCAGGATGAGAACAGAAATTGTGCTCCGGCGGCACGGCAGCAGCAGGAGGCCCCATTAGTTAAAGTGGTGCTTCAGATTAAGAACAGTTTCAGGTTAAGAACGGACCTCCGGAACGAATTAGGTACTTAACCCGAGGTACCACTGTATTGTTCTAGCCCGGGGATTCCCAAATTGTGTCTGTGAGTCATCTGTGAGCTTCGTTTAGGTGCTTTGTGGTAGGTCTGTGGATTAGTGGTTGAAGATCAGAAACAGCACATCCATCAGATTAAGCATTCATATTGATTTTTGATTGTATTTTTAATGCTTAATGTAAGGACATAAGAAGAGCATGCTGGGTCAATGGCTCATCTGGTCCAGCACCCTGTTCTCACAGCGGCCAGCCCGATCCTTGTTGGAAACCCACAAGCATGGCATGAGTGAAAGAGCAACTCTTCCCACTTGTGATTGCCAGCAACTGGTATTCACAGTCATAGAGCTGGAAGAGACCCCAAGGGTCATCTAGTCCAACCCCCTGCAATGCAGGAATCTCAGCTAAAGCATCCCTGACAGATGGCCATCCAACCTCCAAGGAAGGAGAGTCCACAATCTCTCATGGAAGTCAGTTCCACGGTCGAACAGCTCGTACGGTCAGAACATTCTTCCTGATGTTTAATCGGAATCTCCTTTCTTGTAAGCTGAAGCCATTGGTTTGAGTCCTACCCTCCAGAGCAGGAGAAAACAAGCTTGCTCCACCTTCCATGTGGCAGCCCTTTAGATATTTGAAGAGGGCTATTCAGAGGCATACTACCTCTGAGAAGGGAGGTAAAGCGTCTTTCGTTATATTGTGTTTTACTGCATTACAATTTGCATTCTGTGCTGTTGAAACAGTAATACAGTCGTACCTTGGAAGTCAAACGGAATCCATTTCACAAGTCGGTTCAACTTCCAAAACGTTCAGAAACCAAAGCTCCTGCAGGCAATCAGAAGCAGCAGAAGCCGCGCTGGACATTCAGCTTCCAAAAATCTTTCAAAAACCGGAGCACTCATGTCCGACTCAGGGGTTGCGCGCTCATCTCGCTCTATAGGCCGAGGGAGCCGGCGTTTGTCCACAGGCAGCTTCCAGGTCATGTGGCCAGCATGACTAAGCCGCTTCTGGCGAACCAGAGCAGCGCACGGAAACACTGTTTACCTTCCCGCTGGAGCGGTACCTATTTATCTACTTGCACTTTGACATGCTTTCGAACTGCTAGGTGAGCCAAGGTATGACTGTACAATTAAATACAATATGTAAGAAATAAAAGCAGCAACAAGAATGCAGTTAGAAATTATGTAGCGTTTAGCACAGGCATAGGCAAATTCGGCCCTCCAGATGTTTTTGAGACTACAATTCCCATCATCCCTGACCACTGGTCCTGTTAGCTAGGGATGATGGGAGTTGTAGTCCCAAACATCTGGAGGGCTGAGTTTGCCTATGCCTGGTCTAGCACAGCACCGCACAACTGCTACAGCAGGCAGAAAAAATAATAATTCAGTGGTGCGCCGAGACCCTCAGCAATTTTCAAGTGGTGCAAGAAGTGGTGGAAATTAGGGAACCACTATTTTAGATTTCTTCACTGTTGGAAAGGCAGGTTGTTCCCACTGAGGAGCTGTCCAGCTGGTACAGGAAGCAGCTTGGCGCTCGGACTGATTGGTCCATCTAGCTGCCTAACTCTGGCAGCGCAAGGGTCTTCCCCAGCCCTGGAACCTAACTCCCTTTCAATGGATATGCTGGGATCTGAGCATGCATCCTGCAAACTTTTCCACGCCTCACCTGTTCTCCAACTCTGTCCGGTTGCAAGCGACTCGACCTTCTCACCGGGGTGTCCCTGGACCTGCCTGATGTGGGTTCTTTCCTCCTCATGTCGTGTCAGGTCGGAGAAGGAAGGGATCTTCAGCGGGTAGGAAAGATCTCCCACCACCAGCAGCCCCCTCCGAAGATTTCCACTGCCGGGCGCCCTGTTCGAAAGCGCAAGCGATCTGTCAGGAAGGCTCTGACTCACAGAGACGTTAACAATTCAAAAAGAAACCCACTGGATGGATTTGAAATGACAGGAGGCGGCAATTGGCTGGCGGGTTGTTTACATATACAGGCTTCGCTTCTGACAGCTGACTCCTAGTGGCCGCTGTGGAAAGGAGAGAAAGAGGAACATCAGCCGGTGCAACAGCAGGAAGGCGAGCAGTCAAAGACACAAAAACAAAGCATGAGACATTGTTGTATCTGTTTTTCCAGCCTAGGCGAAGGATGTTTGATTGGCCTTCTAAGCCTGCTGGTGCCACCAGGTGTAGGGCTTTGGCAAAGATGTTCGGGGCAGAGCTAGCTTATCATGGATTACCATGCTTTGAAGTGAATTAATACAGTGGTACCTCGGGTTAAGTACTTAATTCGTTCCGGAGGTCCGTACTTAACCTGAAACTGTTCTTAACCTGAAGCACCACTTTAGCTAATGGGGCCTCCTGCTGCCGCTGCGCCGCCGGAGCACAATTTCTGTTCTCATCCTGAAGCAAAGTTCTTAACCTGAAGCACTATTTCTGGGTTAGCAGAGTCTGAAACCTGAAGCGTATGTAACCTGAAGAGTATGTAACCTGAGGTACCACTGTACACACAGTGAAGGATCATCCATTAGGGAAAATGAGACGCTGCCCCAACAGCCTCTGTCTGCGCTAAGCCAGCACTTACCCATGCCACTCACTCCTCCATCCCTCTAACGGTGGAGGCAGAACATATCCATCTATTTTCACATCTATGAGTCTACCTACACCTGATTTCAGAGGTTTTTGAACACTGTTAATTTTTTGCATTTCCCTTCTTTCATCATTTGTTGCTAGCTATCTACAGTAGGGCTATTGAATGGTTTAAAGTAGAAAAGCAGGATATAAATATGCCTAATATATTAAATAATGTTACATATAATCATAAATATGATATATTCTAAATATTTTAAATGCAATTGATCTATACAGTTGTACCTTGGAACCTGAATGCCCTGGAACTCGGATGTTTTGGCTCCTGAATGCCACAAACTCAGAAGTGATTGTCTGCGAATGTTCTTTTGGAACCTGAATGTCCGACGTGGCTTCCGTGGCTTCTGATTGGCTGCAGGAGCTTCAGAAGCCACAAATTGGTTTTCAAATGTTTTGGAAGTCAAACGGACTTCCGGAACAGATTCCATTCGACTTCCAAGGTATGACTGTACTACTGGAAATATCCTTCCCATGAATAAGGAAGTGAACTACATTATACATTCCACCTGATCAATAATAATTAAAAAGCCATACCCAACTAAATTATATTCATAGACCTGCTGAAATTAAAGGACCTAAGACTTGCCTATTAATTTAAATGGGCCTACTCTAAGCAGGAGTAATGTTGAATAAAGCCCAATACAGTCATACCTTGGGTTGAAGTCACTTCAGGTTAAGCCTTTTCGGGTTGCGCTCTGCGGCGACCTGGAAATAACGGAGCGTGTTACTTCCGGGTTTTGCCGCTCGCGCATGTGCAGACGCTCAAAATGATGTCACACGCATGCGCGGAAGTGGCAAATCACTACACGCGCAGACACAGGTTGCGTTTGCTTCAGGATGCGAACAGGGCTCCGGAACGGATCCCGTTCGCATCCAGAGGTACCACTGTACTATAATAATAATTTTGTAGCATCCAAGTAAAACTTAAGTCAGGTAAAAGTGACAAATAAGTGTGCAATGTCTTATTGATTGTGAGAATGGAAGGTGCCAGGTGAGGGTAGCCAATGGGTTTCAAACTCTTGGTGAGTTAGGGATTTCCCCTGAATGCAAAGACGGGCTCTGGCAGATTGAGCGGATAAGACCAATAGTGGGTCCAACGCTCAAGAAGGCGGTTATTGTAAGTGCTGTAGAGGGAAATGAGGGGCAGATGGGGCTCGTCTACCTGGGAAGGTAGCCCATCCACTATACTCTTTCATGAGAATGTCTTCAGGAGTAAACCCTAAGGCAGGTATGTCAAAAGTCTGTTTTGGGGGCCAGTCAGTTTAATCTGGCCCCTGTGATAGTTTATTTCATGAGGTAAAATCCTAAGAAAAGCTCAACAACTTTGGTCGGCCCTTACGCATGTTCACTTCATCAAATTTGGCCCTCTTTAAAAAAAATATGGACACCCCTGCTAAGGAAAAATCCATGTACTGTACTCACTGCCTTGAAGGACATCTTCAGGAGAACAAAAGGCTAAGGAGTAAACCCTAATCAAGAGCAGAGTCCTTAAGGTGGTTGGATGGTGTCTTGTATGCCTCCTTCCGGCAACTCCTGCAGCCAAGCTGGTGTCATATGTATTGCTCTGCTTTCCTTTGGGCCACATCAGTGAGGATGAGAGAAGGGTCTTGTCTTCCAGGCAGCTCAGGACCTCCATACACCCTGCTCAGCCTTGCGCCCCAGAGAGGTCACTTCAGTACTGCAAACACAGCAAAAACGACATAGGAGGCAGCAGTTATGAGTTGCCATAGCAGGTGCTGCGATTCGCCAGTGGTTTGGCTTCACCCCCAGAGGCACATTCCATTGCCAGACAGACGAATGCTGACAATATACTTTTCTTTATTGCCGTTTGGGATGGTTCACAATGGACCATTACAACTATAAGCATCCATTTGAAAAACAAAACAAAAAACAAAAAAGGGGGAAAGACAATAAATGGTTTTTAATTATTTTGCTACAAAGCATCTGATATATGTAAAAGCACTTTACTCATTCTAATTATTAACGATAAATATAATAATATAAAATATAGTTACTCTTGTTATAATTATTATGATTATTGCGAAAATAATAAAAGTTTGTTTTTTATTTAGTATTTGCGAGCAATGAATAATTATGTAACCTGCATATATTAGCAAAATGTATGCAAAACAATATTTGCATAGGCAGCAACAGCGACGCGGTCCCCTTCCATCGCCTCGCAACTCCCTAGTAACTATGGAAACCGAAGCTCTCCCTCCTCCGGTTCAGTTCTAGGACGATCCCACCAATCGGCGATAAGGGCCAAGGGTGGGGTGACCACTCAGGCTCCAGAAAGCGCGGCGGCTCCTCGCCTCCTCCAATCACCGGGCCGAAAGCGGACCGCGGTCGTCGCGGCTGACGGAGCTGGGCTGAGCCAATCGGAAGAAACAGCAGGCGGAGAGAGGCCCGCCCTTGCCTTCCCCCTCAGCTCCCTTCGGCGCGACGCACTCAAAGACAGTTGGCCGAGAACGGCGACGGGCGAGGAGGAGCCCCAATGAGCGCTGCTGGGGAGGCGGGCGGAGCGGGAGCCATTCAGGAGGCGAGGAGGCAAGAGAGTGACTAGAGGGAGCCCCGCCTCCCTAGCGAGCGCAGCCAATCAGGCAGAAGGGGGCGGGTCCCTCGAGGCCTCCGCTTTGTGGTGGGTAAGTGGGGGAAAGAAGGCGCTCTTCCACCACCCAATGCACCCCCTGTTGGGGGGGAGGAAGAAGGGCGCTTTCCCTTATAGATATATGTCTGTAGTGCATTGTGGCGGGGAGGAAGCACGTTATCTCCCTCTGAGGGTGGCACCTGGGGAGGGGGGGCAACTTGGGGAGGGGGTCACGCAGTGGGGGAGGGGCAAACTGAGGCGCATTTGTGGGGTTCCCCTGCTTTTATTATGGGGGTCACAGAGGCCAAGGCGGGGCAGAAGGAAATAAAGGGGGTATTCATTATAAGGGGGTCCCCATCATATTTGCAGGCTTCATTGGGGGGAGGGCAGGGGGGTGGAAATGCTGAGGTCAGTTGAGGGGGAGTCACAAATGATCCTCCCACCTTATGGGAAAGGAGATTATTATATAATTATTGGGGGGTTGGGATCAAATAACGGGGAGAAGTCCCAGGAGTTGGGATATAGGGTAAGGAGGGTGCAGGAGTGGGGAACACAGACTTTGTTCTCAGTTATGGAGAGTGTGCGCTGCCATCATAGGAATACATCAATGGGCACGCAGTTGACATAGGGAATTTGTGGCCCTCCCAACTTCCATCGGCCCCCCAGTCAGCGTGGTCGGGGGTGCTGGGAGTTGTAGTTCAGTGACATTTGGAGGGCCGTGCTGCTGTGGGTTAAACCACAGAGCCTAGGGGTTGCCAATCAGAAGGTTGGCGGTTCAAATCCCCCCAGCTTCTGCCAACCTAGCAGTTCAAAAGCACGTCAAAGTGCAAGTAGATAAATAGGTACCACTCCGGCGGGAAGGTTAATGGCGTTTCCGTGCGCTGCTCTGGTTCGCAAGAAGCGGCTTAGTCATGCTGGCCACATGACCCGGAAGCTGTACGCCGGCTCCCTCGGCCAGTAAAGCGAGATGAGGGCCGCAACCCCAGAGTCGGCCACGACTGGACCTAATGGTCAGGGGTCTCTTTACCTTTACCTCTGGTTTAGGGAATTAGAAGGTGCAAACTGAGGTATTTGATGGTGGGGTTGTGGGTTCAGAACGGGGGAAATTGGGAAATTCTGGATTGGCATTAGTAATCTGGGCAGGGACCTGGTTGGCAGCCGGTGAAATATTTGCAAACAGTGGAGCACAGTAACGGGGTGGGGGGTGGGGGCTGTAGAACAGGAGTTGGGGTGGGGGTTGTAGGAGACCTTAAGTCAACATGCCGTTGCTTTGCAGCCTCCAGATGGGAAAAGCTGGATGCTTGGGAGATGGAGTTTCAGGCAGCAGAGTTGGCAGTGCCCTCTCTCTCTCTTTATTACCTTTTACATCTGGCAGTTCCCATGTTTAGTCTGCAACCTCTCCAGTTTAGAAGGCTGTTAGGTAGAATGGCTAAGAAAAACATCCACCTGAGACCTTGAGGAGTCTTTCCCAGGCAAAACAGGCAAGGCAGAGCTAGACTGAGATCAGTGTTCCAGCCAGCATAAGGCAGCTTTTAATGTTCATTATTCATTACTATCTACTCAGATGAATATCCTGCATTGCCTAGGGCACATATCATTAATATTTTTAAGCATTCTGAGAGCAGGCAGAAACATTCTAAAATTACAGTCAACAACTGATTTCAAGATTGATCTTACGGTCAGCCCTTAAATGCCACATTCCTCTTGAAAGTCAATAATGAAGGAGGCAGACACACCTCATTGTAGAATGTGAGATAGTTGATCTTGGGTTAGGTGCCCTTTTGGGTACTTTGCTCCCAAGTCATTTAGGGCTAGCACTAACCCCTTGAATGTATTTCTAGCAAAATGTTTTCTGCATAAATAAAGGGGGAAGGGGTCAACCTCCTAAAAGCCATTTCTTACAAGTTACCAAGTTTTCCCTCCACTCTCTCTTGTTCCCTCTCCCCCCTCCCCTGCTTTCTCAAGGAGTCTGGACTATGCTGTTGGTCAACCCCTCGTCGTGAAAGAGCTGTCCCAGCATGGAGTTCCCCAACCACAGCAAGAACTTGCTGCAGAGCCTCTGGGAGCAGCAACACGAGGGCTTCCTTTGTGACTGCACGGTCCTCGTGGGCAGCACCCAGTTCCTGGCCCACCGGGCAGTGCTGGCCTCCTGCAGTGCCTTTTTCCACATGTTTTATAAGGAGCGGCTGGACAAGAGGGACTTGGTCTCCATTAACAATGAGATCGTCACGGCGCCCGCCTTTGGGCTGCTGCTGGAATTCATGTACAAAGGCAGCCTCTCCTTCAACGACATGCCAGTGGAAGACATCCTGGCGGCCGCCAGCTACTTGCACATGAACGACATCGTCAAGGTGTGCAAGAAGAAGCTGCAGGCCCGCGCCTTGGCAGAAGCCGACAGCACCAAGAAGGAGGAGGATGCCCTGGGCAGCTCAGAGCTTCTGCCCAGCACCTCCAAGTGCCAACTTCAAACGTCCGGAGCCCAGCCGCTGCCGCCCCCTCAGCCAAGCGAAGCAGGAAAGAGCAAGAAGCAGGAGTGGAAAGGTGGAGAGAAAATGGTTTCCGAGGAGCCATTGGCCTCCACTTTGGACATGGCGGACACCACTCAGCCAGGGATGGAAGCTCCTCCTCCTCCTGTGAGGTCTCTTCCACCCCCCGTCATTGACATCTCCCTCTCCAGCCCTAGCAGCTCCACCGAAACCATTTCACACAGCTGCTCGCCACCGAGGAACGCAGCTGAGGGTCATGCCGGCCCTCCGGAGAGGTATGTGGAACAACAGACAAGTGGTCTTGGTGTGTTTTCCCAGAAAGAGCCAAGCAGGTCCTCTGTCAAGGTCAAGGTGGAAGCCATCGTGATCTCCGACGAGGAGCCGGACATGATGGATCAACTGGAGGGGCAGAGCGCAGATTTGAGGCTGGAGACGATATTCCAGAGGTCCGCTGTAGAGGCAGGGCCTGCCGGAGGCTGTGGGCGCCACCCCGACAGCTTTGAAGAGCCAGGTGGGATGGAAGAGGTCTCTTCCGAGAGCGGCTTCCTGCCTCAAGAGCACGTCCCGTACCACATGATCCCTGTGCCTGCCGGACAAAGCTTCTCCAACATGGTGACTCCGCCCTTGCACGAACAGATGTACTTGCAGGACTACGAGTCCCACTCCAACTTTGGCATCTTCACGGAAGACGTCCCCACCTGCAAGACATGCGGGAAGACCTTCTCGTGCTCCTACACCCTGCGGCGCCACGCCACCGTCCACACGCGGGAACGCCCCTACGAGTGCCGCTACTGCATGCGGAGTTACACGCAGTCCGGAGACCTTTACCGGCACATCCGCAAGGCCCACAACGAGGACCTGGCAGCCAAGCGTTGCAAACAGGATGTTGAGAACCCTTCGTAGGGGGCCTATACCCCCGCCCAGTTTGGGCCGTAGGGCAGGTGGTTCACGACTGAGCAGATGGAGGGTTCCCAACATGCAAGGACAAAAAACAACCCCATCCCTTTTGTAAAACATTGTGCAGAAGCCAGGAGGCAGAGAGAGAGAGAGAGCCCTAACTGTCCGAGCCAATGATGGGGGCTCATCCTATCAGGTTCAACCTTCCCTCCTGGCTTCCTAATCATTTCCCCACCTTGCCCTTGAGAATTTCTTGTTTGTTTTTCCACGAGGTGAATTGTTGGGAAATGCAGGTTTGCACCCGGGTCATCCCTGTGCATCATTTGGAAGAAGTAAACGTAAAAGGAACTGGGGAAGGGGTTCATCCTCCCACTCCAGTATTTATTAATGTACAAACTCGTGGCTGCAGGTTTAATATGAAGTTGGAGCGGTATTTAAGCTTGAGCTCTAGGTATTGCTGCCTAGAGGGCATTCTGTTTTGTGGGAGGAAAGGCCTGAAAGCCTTTTGTTCGACAGTTGTTGGAAATCAGAATTTCACTTGACAGCAGGGGGGATGGGAACAGGGCTCTAGCCCTCCTGGATGCACAGAAAAAGATTGCATAGGGGGAGAAGCGCCTGTGAGGAAGACTATGTTGAAAGGCATGGTTCTGACTCTATCCCACCATGCAGTGCAGGTGGGACTCATTGGGAGAAGTAGGCAGTGTTCCTTTTCAAAACAGCCCCCTGCCCCACTCTTTGTGACACGTTGGATGTCATGATAGTCTAAAACAGTGGAGGCTGATGCGAGAGAAAGTGGGGCACTGACCCGCCAACTTCATGCCTGACTTTAGCCAACTTCCTTGGCTCTGCCTTCTGCTTACCCTCAGACCAGGGGTTGCTCTGCCTGTCATTGGCTCTGGCGCCACCTACTGTTGGTCTCCCTGCCTTCCATCCTACAAGGCAGCCCTGTATCCGGAAGTTTTCCATGTTTGACTTTTTTTGTGTGTGTTTATTATGCTGGAAGCTGCCCAGAGAGTGGCTGGGGCAACCCCGTCAGGTGGGTGGAGTATAAGGAATAAATTATTATATTATTATTATAGTCCCAATAGGCACTAGCCCAGTCTAAAGCAGGCAGTGCACAGACCCCCACCAGCTGCATCCCTGTTTTGAAATGCTCCCATTTTACAGACTAAGATCAAAGTCCGAGAGATGGGACTTGCCAGGGTCATGCACAGCGCAGGTGAGATTTTAACTTTTCCCACTTCCAAGTCACTTCCGACGCTCTTTCCCGTTTTCAAGCCTGCTCACTTCAGAGCAGCCACTGCCAGCCTCAACCTTCCTCCCAGGACTTGCCAACCCTCCCACTGTGAAATGTGTTTCTCCAACCTGTTTGTTCTTATAAGCAGCTACAAAGCAGCCTCACTGCCAAGGATACCCATTTAACAGTAAAAAAAAACAGGCATCAAGTGCTCCAGTACTCTCTCCTCTGTGATTTTGGGGTGTGGGTGGGTGTGGGGGTTTGTGGGTGGGGGTTTTTCCTCTCCTCTAAGGCTAGGGATTCCCAAATTGTGGTCCGTGGCATAGCTACATTAAATACCAACATTCATTTTAAGTAGTATTTTTATTACTTCTTTAACTTCTTACATTGCATTTAACTGAAGTGCAGTTTGACGTCTACAGGATGCAAGCTAATACAATGTAAGAAATAAAAGACGCAATAACCGTACAATTAAAAATCACACGGTATCTAGATTGACACATTACCAGTGCTACAATAGGCAGAAAAATAATGCAAGGAGTCCACCAAGACTAACCAGCGATTTCCAGCTGGATGGCAGGGAAGGGGGCAAGGGTCAGGACGCAGCTGGGGTTCTGCAGAGCTGATCTTAAGCAAAGACTCCTTTGCTTTCATCCATCTTCTTGAGATATCCAAGAGTCTGAATCAGGCTTGACGCAGAATACCTTGATGCCAATTATGTCATGTAGGAAACCGAGGTGCACGGGGAAGAGAAGAGTGCCATCCCCCACAAAAGCAGATTTTGGCAGGCAAAACATGTTTTCAAACTGTATTTTCTACTCAAGAGTGGTAGATTTAACATGCAAGGTACAAAGTAATTGAAGTGTTGAACAAAGTGACATTTCCCCCCGTTACAGTAAACCGTAATTTTATATTATAAACCCAGTTGTTCCAATGTTCCCTTTTTCAGAAGTCTTAATACTTGCAATTAAATAGAAAAAAACAGATCCCCTTCACCTCTGCACATGAAACCTTGTGGTTGGGCCATGAAAAAGAAGGCTGCACTGGCCCATCTGCCACAGAAGATCCAAGAGATGATCTCATTCCAGCGGGCAAAACCCTCACCACACAGGCTACCCCTGGAGCCATCATCCCTGGATGTCAAAAGAAAGCGTTATCGGAGGCAATCTTCATTTATGGACTTGGTAATGGGGAGTATGGGAGGGGGAGCAATAATATAACCAGCTACCACCCCTGAATTCAAGGATAGGGAACCAACGACCTTCCTGGTGTTGCTGAACTACATCTCCTGCCATCCTGACCGTTGGGCCAGGCTGATGAGAGTTGGGAGCCCAACATTGGGAAGGTCACTGGTTCATGCCCATCCCTGACCATCAAAGCAGTCTCCTACTGTATCAACCTGGGAGCAGAAGCGAAGGCCGGGAAGGACTTTGACGTAGTGCGTGCTTAGGAAGGCCATGCCTTGGTGGTACTAGGAAAGGTGCGGTTTGTGGGGTACCTCTTTCTCAAGGAGGTTGAGATACCGGGGCAACTGCAAGGAGGTGGCGGTGAGTTTCACCTCGATAGATCAAAACCTACATTCCAAGAAAACCATAATCTGGTGGGGTGGGGGTGGGAAGAGGTAGTTGGTGTCCAAAATGCAGGTGATCACATCTCCCAGACAAAATAAACGAGGAACTCGGGATCCAAAGGCGACCCATTTGCCATCAGCCGAACATCTCCTGAGAGGCATAGGTCATATAGAGGAAGCCATCTTCATCTTTGTACGTCATGTACACTTCAGACATGGTGGAAGACATGCTGACGAGGCTGCGGTTGCCGTCGACCAGGAAGTAGAATGCCTGAGTGGACCCGATGCACATTCGGTTGCTGAGGGAGGAAACGGGCACGAGTCAAAACATGGCTTCCGGGTGGCCTAAACAAATTCTGAGTCCTCACCTGCCCCCAAACAGTGGAGTCTGGTCCATTAGGGTGCATGGCGCGCTGCCCTGAGCTTGCCCACACCTGCCCGACTTCTGACTTCCAACCAATCGGGAGCTGGCTCCGCCTGCGATTGGCTCCAGCCCTGGCTGTCATTGGCTATAGCTCCGTCTCCATGCCTTCCGCCCCACCAGCCCCAGCTACTACTGCCCCTCCAAGCCTATTTCCCTGTGTGCCAATATAATAATATTTCTCCCCCACTCACACACACCAAGCCAGAGCATTAAAAATCCAATTAACATAGTCGCTGCTTAAATCCAGCCCAACATATGGTTGTAGAAGGATGAGCGACCCAGCCAGATGCTTAGTAAGCCTCCCATTTTTTACAGGCTGCCCAGTCTCCTCGGAGGCTCATTCACCGGATGATTGTGATGAACTGGCCCATGGTGAGGTCTTCGGGAACCAGAAACTTGGTCTTGTCCAAGGCTGGCAACATCTTCTCCTTGGGGTAGCGCTCCAGGATTATCTGCAAAGGAAGAAGAGACACGTCTGAGATGGGTCTTCAATAGCAGACGGTCAGATTCCCCTGGGAAGCTTAAGCAAAATGGTTACAAGTGAAGACAGCCGTTTCCAATTTGTCCAAGTACTCAGATAGACTGTCTCTGTACAGGAAGGCTCTACTTGTCGCCATTATGACTAATAGCCACTGGTTTATCAGCCTGCTGCTGATTTGCCTGACTCATCTGTTCACTGCTGGACCAGTGTCTTGCCTCGGGAATGGACGGGATGAGAGCCAACAAACTGAGACTCAGTCCAGATAAGGCAGAGGCACTGCTTGTGGGTGGATCCCTAGACCAGATGGGTGGGAGATTGATGGGGTTGCACTTCCTCTGAAGGAGCAGGTTCGTAGCCTGGGGTACTCCTGGATCTTTTGTTGTCACTCGAGGCTGAGGTGGCCTCAGTGGCCCGGAGTGCCTTCCATCAGCTTCGGCTGGTGGCCCAGCTATGCCCCTATGTGGACAGGGATAGCCTAACTCATGGGTAGGCAAACTAAGGCCCGGGGGCCGGATCTGACCCAATCACCTTCTCAATCCGGCCCACGGACGGTCCGGGAATCAGCGTGTTTTTACATGAGTAGAATGTGTGCTTTTATTTAAAATGCATCTCGGGGTTATTTGTGGGGCATAGGAATTTGTTCATTCCCCCCCCTCAAAATATAGTCCGCCCCCCCCAAAAGGTCTGAGGGACAGTGGACCGGCCCCCTGCTGAAAAAGTTTGCTGACCCCTAGCTAACTACAGTGGTACCTCAAGTTACATACACTTCAGGTTACAGACTCCGCTAACCCAGAAATAGTGCTTCAGGTTAAGAACTTTGCTTCAGGATGAGAACAGAAATCGGGCTCCGGCGGCGCGGCGGCAGCAGGAGGCCCCATTAGCTAAAGAGGTGCTTCAGGTTAAGAACAGTTTCAGGTTAAGAACGGACCTCCGGAACGAATTAAGTACTTAACCCGAGATACCACTGTACTGTGGTCTATGCTCTGGTAACTTCAAGGTTAGATTACTGCAATGCGTTCTACGTAGGGCTGCCTCTGAAGACAATTTGGAAACTTCAGCTGGTGCAGAATTCAGCGGCCAGGTTGCTCACCGGAGCAAGATGGTTTGAGCATATTACACCGATCTTGGTCAGACTGTACTGGCTACCAATTAGTTTCCGGGCTCAATTCAAAGTGCTGGTTTTGACCTATAAAGCCTTAAACGGCTCAAGACCGCAATACCTCAAGGACCACCTCTTTCCATATGGACCCTGAGATCATCTTCGGAGGCCCTTCTTTGTGTGCCTCCTCCTCAAAAGGTCCAGAAGGTGGCAACACGAGAACGGGGCCTTCTCTGCAGTGGCCCCCCGTCTGTGGAACACTCTTCCCAGGGAAGTTCGCCTGGCACCTTCATTATACACCCTTCGGTGCCAGGCAAAAATGTTCCTTTTTAACCAGGCTTTTGGTTGATCCGATTTACATCCTATGCCCTTTTAAAATGTGTGTTGGCGGGGGCTATTGGGTGGTTGTTTTTAGTATTGTTATGCATTTTGTGGTTTTATATCTTGATTTTAATCTCTAAAAAAAATTCAATAATAAATTCAATTAATAATAATAATAATTTGCAGGGGTGCAACATCTTATTTTAGGAACAAGGATGTGATTTTATTGGTGAGGGTTCTGGGTGGGGGTTTTTTGATTGCAATATGGGGCTAAATAATTGTTTTAAGATTTCCCGATAACCATCTATTTTTTTGGGAAACTGCATCAACTGGGAGTCAGGAATGTTTCACTTAAGCTCAGTTACAATCCTATAAAGAAAAATATTTGCTGCATGGACAGGAAGGTTGAGGGAGGGTTATATATGGAGAAAATAAAAATGAGAATTTCTCTCAGTTACATTGATATATTACTTGACTTAATTGATTTAGCAATGGCAAGCAAAAGTGCAGGCAGCCAGACCACCAATTACAGCTGCTTTGGTCCTCCTGCACTACTAGGTAAACCATGGTTTGGCTTAGCACTATGTGTGAACCCAAGGTTCATGGTTTGTCTTCCTCGAACAAAATGGTTAACCAAGAACAACAAATCATGATTACAATTACTGGTTGTTGGAAGCCAAACAAACTACAAGCCTAGGGACACATCAGGAATCTTAATTATTTTTAAATTAACTAAGCATAAATATAACACAATGGGCTGGGTACCAAGCACAGAACCAGGAGCAAAACAGCCCCCGCTTTTACTCTAAATACAGTGCTTTTTTCTGGGGGTACGCAGGAGTATGCATACCTCTAAACATTTTGTGAATCTTCGTACTTTTGTCCACCTACTGTATTTTTCCCGATTTGAACAATAAAATGGTGATTTTCTTGAGTCAAAATGAGAGTACCCCTAAGCATTTTTTTAGAAAAAAAAGCGCTGCCCATAACTGCCTTACTTAATTTCTCTGAACCATGGTTTGTTTAGCATTATACACAAACCCTTGCTGAACCATAGCCCAGCTTCCTTTTAACATGCAAAACGGTCCAATACAACAAAGCAAGCCCAAATAAACATGCCCCCATACCCAACAAGATAAGGAGAAGCCTACATACCGGCAGTTTGCCAGGAAACTTCATCCGGATCGTGGCCACTTCACTTTTCCTGGAGGCTAGACAGAGTGGAAAATTACAGAACTGGGTCAATTAAGGCAATAGAAAAAAAATAACCTCTCCCTCGGCCTCCCCTCCCAAAATTAGCTCTCCCCAAAACAGGACAGCCCAAAGTCTAGCCCCCCACCCCAGTTTACCGAATTAATCTCAGCCCCTTGGGCCAGCAGGGGGCGCTAGCAGCCAAACAAGAGCAACTCCGAATCGCGAAAAGGAGCGTTTACACGACAAAGGGGGGGAATAAGTGGGGAGAAAGAAAATAAGTCTTACCGAAGGTTTTACGGTGCTTGAATGGTGGGAAAGAATCCATCTTGGAAGGAACCACACCTTTTTCTTAAAAAGGGAAGGGGGGAAATAAAGCTGGGGCGGGAAGGGGAATTGAAGAAGAATCGTCCCCAGCGGTAGCTCTGACTTGACTCCTTTGGAGCCGCTTAAATAGTGCCCGAGTCACGCCTAAAATTTTCCCAAATTGCTTCCAGGATCAGGACCTCCAAGGTCCGGGGAAGGACGTGGAGAGGTGGAGGGTGGGGAGAGCCCACCCTGAGACTCGCCCACATTCAGATTCAGGGGCGGGTCTCCATAGAGGAAGCGCTTTTGGCCACAATGGTGGAGTTAGCCGGCGGAACGCACCGCCACGGGACGCAGTTATGACTACTCGCGTGGAAGGAAGGAAGGAGTTGGACAAAGTTTGTAGCGGAGGTGTCGTCTACGCATGTCAGCTGGGACAGGTGAGTGCAATTTCCCAACACCGAGGAAGGACTTTTCTGCGTAATAGATGGGTAGGTATTGGTTTAGGGTTGAGCTGTGAACTCAGGAAATCTCAATTACTAGATGGCATTAGGTCAAGCTGCCTTCTTAAGCTCCCCCTCCTCCAACCATCTGAAATGTTTTTCTATTTATTTTTTGTCTTTCTAAACCACCTTTCCTCCCAGCAGCTCAAGGTGAGGTATATACTGAGTTAAAGAAAATATTTAAAGAAAATCGTTAAAAAACCAGAAGCCTTTTTATTGGGTATAGTGGGTGAAGAGATATGAAGGGAAGATAAAAGACTGTTTATGTATGCAACAACTGCGGCAAGAATTTTTCAGCCCAAAAATGGACACAGAAAGGAGTACCAAGGAAAGACGAGTGGCAGATGAAGATGATACTTTGCAGAACTGGCAAAGCTGACAGGAAAAATCCAAAACCAGCACGATCAAGTATTCCAAAAGGACTGGAGTAAATTTATACGATATCTGAAAGATTATTGTAAGCAATTAACATCACTAGCAGGGTCATCTGAAGACTTGTAAGGATAAGTTTTCTACCTTTCTATATTTATTTAAATTTTGAGTTATTTTCTAATGGGTGTAATTAAAATTGGAAAACTTACAAAATGCAATGATATAAAGGTTAATTTTGAAAGCCGTGAGCCAGGAGGGAAGGAAGTTGATAGGCTCTAAAGAACCAGGGAGGTAAAGTGGATAATAATGATGTGAATGTATATTATTAAACGGAAAATAAATAAAAAGTACCAGTATTTTTTAAAAGGTGACGTATATACATTAGGTAGGTTAATGAGAGTGTGTGTCTGGTCCAAAGTCACTTTGTGGCAGAGTGGAAATTTGAACCCTGGTCTCTCAGGCTGTACTCTTAACTGTTGCACTGTGCTACCTCTAAGGCCTATTTGCATTACACACTCAAAGTAGGGCCATGCCACTTTAAATAGCATCCCCCCCCAAAAAAAAAATTATGGGAACTGTAGTTTCTCAAGGGTGTTGAGAGTTATTAGGTGACTCCATGTTCCCCTCACAGAGCTACCGTTCTCCCAGGGAACTTTGCGAAGTGCAGTTCATGCAAACCCTGGTGTGTGTCTGTTTTTGTAATTGCTGTTTTCATAATTTCTATTTTAGATCATCATATCAACAAGGGGACACGGGTGGCGCTATGGTATAAACCACTGAGCCTAGGACTTGCCGATCAGAAGGTCGGCAGTTCGAATCCCCGCGACGGGGTGAGCTCCCGTTGCTCGGTCCCTGCTCCTGCCAACCTAGCAGTTCAAAAACACGTCAAAGTGCAAGTAGATAAATAGGTACCACTCTGGTGGGAAGGTAAATGGTGTTTCCGTGCGCTGCTCTGGTTCGCCAGAAGTGGCTTAGTCATGCTGGCCACATGACCAGCTGTACACCAGCTCCCTTGGCCAGTAAAGCGAGATGAGCGCCGCAACCCCAGAGTCGTCCGCGACTGGACCTAATGGTCAGGGGTCCCTTTACCTTTATCAACAAGAAAAGCCAACAAAAAAAAGCTAACTACGTACCGCAATAACATTAAAATAGGCTGATGACATTACAATAAATTAAAGACTTACAAGTTGTATGTTGTCACTGAATTTATTATTCCAGGACATTGGAGGAGGGGAATCGCTCCTTAAACTTACCCAATTGATTTAAATGTAGGTTGTTTTACTGTAGATTTGCAGTAGGTTATTTGATCACCATCACAATGAACCAGATCTTTTCCATCCATTCACACTCAGTAGGAGGTACGTTGTTTTTCCAGTTCTTTACAATCATTACCTTTGCATCCCCATAAGGTTAATTAACACTTCTTGATCACTTTGAGATAACATCTTTGAAATAACTTAGTTGGTTCCAAAGGTATATGGCGTCCTAGCATATCCGATATAATACTATGTACCATTTGTTTTCACTTTAATTAATTGGAGCAATTCCAGAAGTTAGGTATAAAGTCTACTTTAGCTGCACCACAGCCACAATAACCATGAAATCCAAGCCTATACAGTGGGACCTCAGGTTACATACACTTCAGGTTACATACGCTTCAGGTGACAGACTCCGCTAACCCAGAAATAGTACCTTGGGTTAAGAACTTTGCTTCAGGATGAGAACAGAAACTGTGCTCCGGCAGCGCAGCAGCAGCAGGAGGCCCCATTAGCTAAAGTGGTGCTTCAGGTTAAGAACAGTTTCAGGTTAAGAACAGACCTCCAGAACGAATTAAGTTCTTAACCTGAGGTACCACTGTATATTAAATTAAATCTTACAGGGGATCTGCTGATATAAATTTAGATGGGGTATTACCCTAAGCTGGGCTTTTTGTTTAAACATGGAACCCATTTTGTAGCTTATGCTCAGAGGCACAGCTAATATCCTCTATTGCTGAGCTAGATCAATATGGGGAATGAGGTCAGGCCTCAAACCCAGTTCAAGTTAAGCCCTGTTTCCTGGGCCCAAACATGAATGGGGATTACAATTGCCGTCTTTTTCTCTGGTCCTGGGCCTTTTTTATTTTCGTAATTTATTTTATTCCAATACAGTATAAGCCATCATTGGCAGTTCCCCTCCAATTTCAGTCACAGTTAGAAATTCAAGAATCATGTTGTTGTTGTTCTAGGAACCCCTCTTGTGGCTCAGATGAATGTGTCCTTTGGACAAGAGATGAGAAGGAATTTATACAATCCTAGCAGCTGACTTCACTCTCAGTAAATAGCTCCAGGCTGTTACTATTATTCAGCACAGTCCCATTATTCCTGTGCATGTTCTTGCTTAACAAAGAATTCACAGCCATCGGAGGAGACCGGCTTCACATTTAATGCATAAAGCTCCAACTATCTGTATTATCCAGAGAAGGGGGTAGGAGGTGAGAGAATCACTGCCTTTTTTTTTTACCCTATTTTTGCCCTTTGTGGATGCTTTGTTGAAATTTGGGGAAGAGCCATAGTTTAGTGGTAGGACATCTGTTTTGCATCCAGAAGGTCACAAGCCCAGTCTCCACATAGGGCTGGCTGAAATCCTGGAGAGCTGCTGCCAATCAGTGTAGACCATACCAAGCTAGGTGGGCAGACAGGTACAAGGCAGCTTCTTGTATCTCTCTTTGGGAAGAGCTGTAGCTCAGTCGTGGAACATCTGCTTTGCGTGCAGAAGATCTCAAGTTGAGTCTCCCATCTCCAGGTAGGACAAGGAGAAAGTCCTCTATGAGAGCCAGTGTGGTGTAGTGGTTAAGAGCAGTAGTCTCGTAATCTGGTGAACCGGGTTCGCGTCTCCGCTCCTCCACCTGCAGCTGCTGGGTGACCTTGGGCTAGTCACACTTCTCTGAAGTCTCTCAGCCCCACTCACCTCACAGAGTGTTTGTTGTGGGGGAGGAAGGGAAAGGAGAATGTTAGCCGCTTTGAGACTCCTGAAGGGGAGTGAAAGGCGGGATATCAAATCCAAACTCCTCTTCTTCTTCTCTTCCTCTACCTGCTGCTAGTCAGTGTAGACGAAACAGTGGTTCTGTGTGGGATACAGCTGCCCCCAAAAAGTGGGGGGGGGAGCTCTGTGCTAGGGTCATCAGCACCTGTTGTATAACAGGTGAATGCAAAGTGTTGGGGTTTTGGGGTGAAGGCAACGAAAGCAACTGTGCATCAAGTGAATGTGCTGTATTTTTATGTTATCATGTATTTATTGCAATTATTTCCCACTTTATTTTCCTCCAAGGTGGACCATACGTGGTTCTTCTACTCAACTAATCCCCGCAACAACCCTGTGAAGTCGGTTAGGCTTAGAGGCAGTAACTGGCCCAAGGTCACCCAGCGAGCGTCATGGCCCAGTGGGGATTCAAACCCTGGTCTCCCAAGTCCTAGTCTGATACTCTAACCCATGGGTAGGCAAACTAAGGCCTGGGGGCCAGATCCAGCCCAATCGCCTTCTAAATCCGGCCCATGGACGGTCCGGGAATCAGCATGTTTTTACATGAGTAGAATGTACCCTTTTATTTAAAATGCAGCTCTGGGTTATTTGCGGGGCATAGGAATTCATTCATTCCCCCCCCCCACAATATAGTCCGGACCCCCACAAGGTCTGGGGGACAGGGGACTAGCCCCCTGCTGAAAAAGTTTGCTGACCCCTGCTCTAACCACTACACCACAGTGACGTGGCACAAGCCAGTGGTGGCCGCAAGGATCCAGGAATGTGTGGCGACAATAGTCCCAAAGTGTGGGCACAGCAACCAGGCATAGTTTTTAAGTCAAGAATGCATGCTCCTTTTTTGCTATTATGCTAGTGGGATCATTGGCAGTCATGACTTCCACTTGCCACGCTGCCCATGGGTGGGCAGATGGAGTTCTGGTGGAAGGTGTTTTCACTGACGTGGGCTCCCCTCCACTAAGGATCCCTGGTTGTCCTATAGTGTGACCCTCTCCATCCCAGCAGATCCATCCGAAGTTATACAGTACAGTGGTGCCCCGCAAGACGAATGCCTCGCAAGACGAAAAACTCGCTAGACAAAAGAGTTTTCCGTTTTTTGAGTCATTCCGCAAGACGAATTTCCCTATGGGCTTGCTTCGCAAGACGAAACGTCTTGCGAGTTCTTGCGAGTTTGTTTCCTTTTTCTTAAAGCCACTAAGCCGTTAATAGCCGCTAAGCCGCTAATAGCCGTGCTTTGCAAGACGAAAAAACCGCAAGACGAAGAGACTCGCAGAACGGATTAATTTTGTCTTGCGAGGCACCACTGTACAGTGGTACCTCTGGTTACATACGCTTCAGGTTACAGACTCCACTAACCCAGAAATATTACCTCGGGTTAAGAACTTTGCTTCAGGATGAGAACAGAAATTGTGCTCTGACGGCGCGGCGGCAGCGGGAGGCTCCATTAGCTAAAGTGGTGCTTCAGGTTAAGAACAGTTTCAGGTTTAAGAACGGACCTCCAGAATGAATTAAGTACTTAACCTAAGGTACCACTGTACTATGAAATCCATTTTTATTTGTATCACTCTGTGTTGAATATTACGTGATGGCTCATCGAGAAACCGTGCTTCAGTCTTTCCAAATTCTCAACCCTGATTTTGGATTCATATCTCTCCCAGCCTCTTCCTTTTAAACTTCAAAAACAAGGCTTCACATGTTGGCTCATCGCTGAAGCCCATTTCTTTAGGTTCTTGGGTCAGCGTGGTCCTCATCTGAGCAGGATGTTGTGTGTTCTCCTGAGCTTAAGCAGACAAAAGCTGGGCTTTGTTTGCTCCTTAGGTTAACAATGGCAGGTTAACAGGTCGGAGGTGAGCACAGGGGACATCGGATGAAGCTGAACTGGTTGGACGATTCAGGAAAGACAAAAGCAAGTCCTGTTTCACACAGCATGCAGCTAAATGGTGGAATTTGCTCCTCTAGGAGGTAGTGATGACCACCGACTGAGATGGCTTTAAAAGAGGATTAGACAAATTAATGGAGGTGAAAGCCATCAATGGCTACTAGCCAGGATGGCGATGTTCTCCCTCCACTGTCAGAGGCAAGATGTCTCTGAATACCAGTTGCTTAGAATCACAAGTGCGGAGAGTGTCTAGCTGGGGAGAGTGTCTAGCTGGAAAGGCAGTTATTGCTTTGGGATGGAAAGAAAAGGCCAAATGGAATATGGAAAAATGGAATGTTTTTGAATACGTACAATCAGAAATATTCGCACAGATAGTGGCAGAGGATAGATGGGAAAATAAATGCCAAAGAATCACAAATAAATGGGCATTTTACAGGAACTGGATAGAAAGAGGGGAAGCCAACCCTCAAATACAAGCTCGAATGAACAGACTGTGTACATGGATAAAAATATGAAGAAGGAAGGCCTGACCGGGGGCAGGGAGGGCTGGAGTGGGGAGGGAGGGGGGGGGGAAGTAAACCGGACGGTATTTTGAATTGATTTTGTTATGTAAGCCTTTTTTTCAGAAGCCAATATATTAATGTTATGTAGTTAGGCATTGTAGTATGAATGAATTTTGTTCTGTATTCTTTGTTTTATAGAATATATATAATAATGTTATGTTACTAAGCAAATTTAATAAAATAGGGGGGGGGACAAACAAAAAACAAGTGGGGAGAGTGGTTTTGCACTCGGTTCCTGCTTGGACAGGATACTGGACTAAATGGGCCATTGGCCTGATCCTGCTCTTCTCATGTTCTTCCAGTAAAAGCAAGAGTCAAGCAGTGAAGTCATCTGGTAGGATCACAACAATTTCAGATTATTTTTTTCATTCATTTATGACATTAGCAGGAAATTCAGCCCTCCACTAGCTATTCAGCTAGCCTTTTATTGAAGTCCTTATCTGTACCATGCAATTTTTGCCTCTGGGCTTAGGAATGCGCTACAAGGCCAAGGTTTTATGACTCTCAAACTGTGACTTAGCAGAAATAACTCCTAGTTAAATACAAAGTGACAAGTGGGGGGCGGGGCGGATAATGAGACTGAATAGCTTAAGGGGGAAATAGAAATCTATCACATCTTAATTAAGTATGCAAAGTAATTTTGCAGGAAGAGGCAAGAAGAGGCTGTTTTAAAGGGTCTTACAAGATTTAGGAAATCAAATGTTACTACTTCAATGAGCAACCACCAAAGCTATGTTTAAAGATCTTATAGCTTTTCTCCTTATAGCAAGTGCAACGAGTTATTGCGAAAAACTGGAAATCTCATTCAACAAACCTTTTTTCATCAAGAGAGCATTGATGGAGAAACTGACACGTCAACGTGCATCAGTACAAAATGAAACAGGAGCAGATGAATTAAAAAAACACCTGGTGTACTTTCGTCTCTCTTGCAGTTAAAGAAAAGGACACTTGCACTCTTCCAGCCACACATGGGCAGCTATGGCTCAGCACACTTGGCTGATCCATGTATGAACTTAAATGAACTTATTTTTATTTTCTTTTTAAATGTACTGAACCTGATCAGAACCTATAATGAAGTGGCTGGTCCCCATTGCTGTTGATCTCCATTGCTATTGTTACAAGGCTGCTACCCAGCAAGAGTGGAGAGGCTGTTGGGACGAAAATAAACATATTTATCTGTAATATCCACTCTAGTTTTCCCTGTCTCCCCTACCCTGCTGTTGATTTTTTAGGAATTGTTTGAAGTTCCTGTGGGACCTCTTTGTATTCTGCAAAGCACTAGGCACAGTGAAGGAATGATGATTAATAATGACAATTTAGTTGTTAATAATGACACCAATTAATAATAATTGCAAAAAATAAAATCAATAATTAGTATTTATTACCAACAGATAATATAAAGCATATTATCAGTATATTGTTGTTTAGTCGTTAAGTCGTGTCCGACTCTTCGTGACCCCATGGACCAGAGCACGCCAGGCACTCCTGTCTTCCACTGCCTCCCGCAGTTTGGTCAAACTCATGTTTGTAGCTTCGAGGACACTGTCCATGTTATGTACTGAAGTTCTCACCCTGGGCCAGCAGGGGGATACTGTAGATAGTTATGCAAATGAAGGATCGAAAAGTGACGTTCAGTGATTGGATAGTTTTAGAAAATGGCAACAGTTACAACTGGAGCTCTATATAAGCAGGCTGACTGAGCCCCTCAGCTTAGTTCTGTTCTGACATCTGAATAAAGAAGAGCTGTTTGAAGAATCGCTGTGTTGTCTGCTATGTTCGCCCACAACTTAACAGTCCAACCATCTCGTCCTCTGTCGTCCCCTTCTCCTTGTGCCCTCCATCTTTCCCAGCATCAGGGTCTTTTCCAGGGAGTCTTCTCTTCTCATGAGGTATTGGAGCCTCAGCTTCACGATCTGTCCTTCCAGTGAGCCCTCAGGGCTGATTTCCTTCAGAATGGATAGGCAGTGATCCATGAAGGGGATTATCTGTATATACTATTAATAAATTTTATTTGGGGAAGGAGAGAGGCGGTAAAACCACCCCGGTAAGCGGGCCTTTTTTTCATCCTCGTGCCTTCTAAGAAGCAAGCGCTACTGAATTCCATGGGCCTCCTGCTCCCGGGCTGAAGCGTGCATAGCATTGCAGCTGAGTTGGGGGCCATCTGGCGTCCCTTTCAAATCCGAACGAGAAACTTTCCGAACTTTTCGCTCTTTGAAAATGTTGGCAGAGGCGTGGGCGCGCGCGGGTCCCCTCCCCTCCTGCCTCTCTCTCTCTGGCCAATCGGAAGCCGGCAAGTTGATTGGGAGGGAAAGGGGGAGGAGCGAAGAGAGAGAGAAGGCAACCTGTCTCCACGTGACACTTTCAAAACCTTCCCCTTTGTCTGAACTGTGGGTCGCTTCTTTGCGATCGTCCGAGTCCGGCGTCGCCTTGCGCGCCCTGGAGTTGGTGGCGCGCTCCGGCGCGTGCGAAGCCGGTGCTTCCCTCCCCCGCGACACGCTTCTGGCGCTGCTTTGCTTGCGATCCCCCCCTTCCTCGACCACCCCAAATTGCGGTGGCCCCTCCGATCCTTGCCTCTAGTAGGGATCTGCCGCTCCTCGGCCCCCCATAAAGGCCGGTCCCCAGCTGCGGGCGCATGAGAGGCGATCTCTCCAAAAGGGACAGGAGCCCGGGGATTTAGAAAGCCGCGTCTCGGGGGGGCCATGGCCGGCCGCAGAGCAGTGCCCCCGTCGCTGTGGTCCGGGAACGAGCGGCTGAGGATCGGGGAGCGCCTCCAAGCCAGCCTGGCCGGGATCTTCGAGCTGGATCTCCTGCGGGAGACACAAAGGGAGACGGTGGAACGCGCTCTGGAAGGGAGCCGGAGAGATGGCGAGACGCAACAGGTGTGTGTGTGTGAAAGAGGGAGAGAGATCTGAAGGGAGGGGGGAGGAAATGGTGGGGAAAGTTTGCTTAAAATGCCCTTTAACTGCCTTTTGCACCAAAGAGTTCAGGGCGGTCTACAAAAATGAGAATCCACTAATTCACATAACTTGCGATTCAAAGCCGGCCGATGGGTACAACAAAGTGCAACATTAAAAAAAAAAAATTTGCCAAAACTTTAAAAAAGGAAGAAAGAATAGGGTGCATATCTTAGAACAAAAGGAAAGCTATGCCAGACTCCTAAATGCTCGCTGCTAGGCATGCTTACTCAGGAGTAAACTTACAGGCTGGGGTAGATAAGGCCAGGAGGGGCTTAGCTTGCTAGGTTTCCAGTGCAGGCTTTTAAACTGATCTACCCTAAGCCAGTGTGCAAAGGATTGCAATCAGATAGCCCCATCCCAGGCTATCCATTATATATAATTATACTGTATGCATTATATATAATTATACCACATGTGCCTCAAGGTATGTAATCTGTTGTAGTTGACCCGTTGCAGAGCTACAATTCCCAGCCCAGCACCCTTAAACTACAATTCCAAGTATTCTGGGGGGAGGACTGCTGTAAAGGTATGATGTGTTTGCAGCCAGAGTCCCACTCAGTTCAAAGGCATTTCTGTATCTGATTGCAATGCTGCAGTCCTGCGCACACTTAACTTAGGGGGAAATGTACCAAGTCGGAGCGTTAGTCTGCATTGTAAACACTGTCAAGCAGCGGCTTAGGGTGTGTGTGTGTTCAAGTGGGGAGTGAAGGGGCAGGATAGCTCAGTCAGTAGAGCATGAGACTCTTAGTTTGAGGGTTGTGGGTTTGAGCTTTGTGTTGGGCAAAAGATTTGTGCATTGCAGGGGTTTTGACTGGATGACCCTTGCAGCCCCTTCCAATTCTGATTCTGCAAGATGCTCTTATTGCCGAACTACGACATTTCCCCCACTAAACAGGGCTTTACAGGGTTTGTTTTAAAAGGCTGTTTACGACGAGCTCATTGCCAGACTTGCTTTTTTATTACATTTTGTCTGTTTTGACACACGTGGTAAGGCAGTTTAGGTATTTTCTGGAAAGGCAAAGTGTAAATGATAAATTGCACACAGTGAGACTTGCGTCTGAGTAGACAAAATGTGGGCCTTTGGTGTGATCCAGGGAGGCACTTCTGTGATGGGTTGTGCCTTGACTCTTCAGCCATTCACAGCGGGTAAAATGCATTCGAGTAAAGTTGGCTTTCTAGTTTTGAGGTGGGGGGAGTAGCTTGCTTGCTGGTTGTTGGGCAGTGATACCTTTCGGGGGAAGACTTTGGGGTGGGGTGAGCAGGAGGGGCCCCAAACAAAGTAGAGCACCCCCATTTTTAAAATTAGCTTTTATATAACAACAACCAATAGCAGAATGAATGTATAAAAACACACACACACACAACATATAAACAAGTAAATCCGAAGTATTCCACACATTTCCAAACAATGTACCGGTAAATAACACAAGTGAAAATACTGAAATTATCCTCTCTCCAGAACTAGCCATGTGCGTGAGGAGGTTTCCTTGCTTGATTGGAACATATTGAATATAGGGAAATCAATCAATAAATTGGCAAAGGATCCTTTTCTGATCGACCTCGAGGCTTCTCAAACACACTGGTAAATTTTTCAGAAATGTAGCCCATTTTGAAGAAAGTGAAATCATCAGACCTAAAGAAGCCCTGTATCCATTATGTTTAGAGCAGGCACCCCCAACCTGTGGCCCTCCAGATGTTTTGGCCTACAACTCCCATGATCCCTAGTTAACAGGACCAGTGGTCAGGGGTGATGGGAATTGTAGTCCAAAACATCTGGAGGGCCGAAGGTTGGGGATGCCTGGTTTAGAGTCTAAAGCTGCTTGGCTGCACCACTGTTGTAAGGATTTTTAGAAAGAGCTTTGGGCCTAGGGGGGGTCTGATACAGAAATGCACTTCTGTGTGTTGTTGCTTAAAGGACATACTTGAGACCACTTCAGGAAAAGTAACTTATGCCTTAATTTGGGGGTGGGTCAGCAACCTGCTGGGGGCCCCCCATGAGGTGTGGGTGGGGCTACAGGAAAGTCAGAGGTTTCTGCATCCAGCTCCTCTTCAGGTAAGCAGGAGGCATTATCACAGTTGGGAGACCCATTCCAGTCAGGCACAGATGCTCAAGGAGCACCCAGCCCAGGGCTGGTGAAGGACATGGAAGAGTCCCAAGGGCCAGACAGAGAGGCCTAGAGGGCCGGCCCCCCATGCATCAAGTTCCCAACCCTTACCTTAGCTGAAAGAGATCCAAAGTGTGCCTTGCTGGTTTCATTTGAAAACCTGTCAGTTGACTACAAGAAATCTAGTTTTTTATTAAAAAAATGTTAGCCTGTTTAAGAACCCTGGGATAGCTCAGCTGATAGAGCATGAGACCCTTAATCTCAGAGTCATGGGTTTGAGCCTCATGTTGGGCAAAATATTCCTGCATTTCAGGGGGTTGGACTAGTTGACTCTCGCGGTCTACAGTTCTATGATTCTATGTTGGGCATAGAGACGTGGTGGTTGTTTATAAAGAAGAGAACAGTCTAACTTCAGCTGGCAACACCTGTTCATTGCTTGGAGCTTTTTGCAGGGAAACATATTCCAAATAATGATTTAGAGATTTATGGTACTTTGCCGAGTTAAAAAACAAAACCTGAGGAAGAGTGGTCCCTGCCCTGAGGAGCTTGGGAAGTCAGCAGTTGGGGTAGGGTGTATGTCTTGGGGGATAACGGGAGTGGGGTTGATTTGGAGACAGAAAGATTTGGTTTGTACGGTCCAGGTGCCCTGACCTCAGGGAAGCCTGGATTCAGAAGGGCTGTGGCAGAAACTAGGAAGATCAGGCAGGTGTGTGAGCTTGGGGAAGTAAATAAGTAAGGCTTGCCGACGTGGCAGATGTTTAATGAATGTAGGAGAGGAGCTCTTGAATAGAGGAACAAGAAGAGAGGGTGGTAGTCTGGGAAGGTTGAAGGAATGGGAACTATAGGAGCAATGCGTTCAAATGACGAGAAGGGGAGAGTCTGTGGCGACGTTTCTGGAAAATGGCGTGATTCTGGCAGGACCCCACGTCTTGTGTGCTGAATCTTGCACAGGGCAGAATGTTTACACCAAATATGTGCAAGGTCACACTCTTGCATGTTTGTCTGGAATAGCGCCCAGGTTCTGTTGTTGCAACCACACACGTGTTTTGGAATCCGCCCATCAGTATCCACCTGTAATGGTGGCGTCGGCAGCAAGGAATCCACTGTTTATATCCTGAATGGCTAAGCAGGTGGGGGGGGTGTTATTTTTTGCTTTTCTGCGATTCATCCTTCCTTGTTCTGAAAGAATTTGCTAGCGGGGGGGGGGGGGGAATTGCTGCATCGAAACTCGGACAGCTGGGCCACTGAGGAAGCAGTTGTTATTAACTGACCAACAAAGGCTGGCGTGTTGCTTGAAAGTTTGCATGCTCCTCTTCTGGATTTTCCCTGTATGGAGTTGCCCTACCAGTTTTGCATCAAAGACGTACTCAGTAACTAGCTTCCCGTTTTATATTGCGTACAAAAAGGTTTCTGCCGAATTGTTAGCTCTGCTTTTTCTCTCTGGTCTGGGCAAGGTGTTTTGGGAAGCTTTTGGCAATTTTGGCAAATTAATGAATTTTGGTAAATTAGCAGCTTGCCAGCACAGAGCACCTTGACATTGGTCTGATGAAGTGTTCTGCCTCTCCTGAAAGCTTGCACAAGCTGAGACTACAGCCTGTTGATGAGGCATCTGTATGTATAAATATGCCGGGAAATGTCACTTTCATTTTCTGACTGTTCTCTCTCTCTTGAATCATCCTTGCTATTCATCCTTGTCCGCATTCCACATCATGTTTTGGTGACTACCATAGACTGTGAACTGGGATCCTTGTTCAGAATTGCCTATTGTAAGTGCAAAATTAGGAAGCTGGTGCTCCTTCTGGGATGAATTAAATTGGATAACACAGGCAGCTGTGATAGACCAGGACATAGTTTTTTCCATCTAGTCCAGTGTTTTCCCAAACTTGGGTCTCCAGCTGTTTTTGGACTATAACTCCCATCATTCCTAGTTAGCAGGACCGGTGGTCAAGGATGATGGGAATTGTAGTTCAAAACCAGATGGAGGCCCAAGTTTGGGAAACACTGCTCTAGTAATTTTATTTTATTTATTATTTATTTTATATACCGCCCTTCATCGTAAGATCTTGGTGTGGTTCACAAGATAAAAATATAGGATAAAGGCACAAAGAAATAGTTAAGACAAAAGCATATCAAAGCAATAATCCTCTCTCCCACAATAAACTACACTTGCCTGCTCTGATTGATGGCAGCTCAAGAGTACAAGGACAAGAGTGTCATCTTGCAGACAGAGCAGGAGACTGTTGGTACCGAGGCCACATGCTCACCATGAATTCAAAGCAGTCTTAGACCACTTTAACAGCTATGGTTTCCACAAAGAATCCTGAGGAATGTAATTTAAGGGTGCTGGGAAATGTAGTTCTGTGGGGGATTTCCTAATGCAGGCAAGGGCAAACTTGGCCCTCCAGCTGTTTTGGGACTACAACTCCCATCATCCCTAGCTAACAGGACCAGTGGTCAGGGATGATGGGAATTGTAGTCCTAAAACAGCTGGAGGGCCAGGTTTGGCCATGCCTGTCCTAATGACTCTCAGCATACTTAACAAACTACACTTCCCAGAATTCTTGGGGTAGGAGGGGGACAATGACTGTTAAAGTGGTACTGTATTAGAATTTGTCTGGTGTGGATTTGCCCCTGCGATAGTGCATCTCGCAAGTCTCACCAAGAGGGTCATTTGTTATTAAAATTAAAAAACAAACTGACTTCTGGGTGTTAGGATGTGGTCAAAGCCTGCCTGCGTCTGGAGTGGAGTGCCTCCTTTGTAAATGAGATCTCTTTTCCTGCAGTCTCAGAATAAAATAAAATAATAATTCAGGGAATCTGGGCTAGAAACAGCACCGGCGAACCCCTTCCAGGCTCCTCTTTGTCTCATGCCGGTAGCAGCTGTTGCTGCAGAGGTCCTCCCCGTGCTGGGAGTCCTGGCAGGTGGGGTTTGCCTTGTGGTTTGGCTCGCCAGCTGTGGGCGTAGGCCGGCCATTCCCCCTGCATGCGTAGGGTGGGGTGAGAGAGCACAGCAAAACAAAGCACCTGCTGTTCACGACAGTGACTTCCTGCTTGGCACATCTGCCACCTGGAGGGAACAGTGTCTGTCCCTCTCCTCCAGCTTCCTTGTTTTTGCTCAGATTTGTAGACCCGAACTACCTGACAAGAGTCTCGCTGATGCACAATTCTTCTTCCCATCGCTCTGAATTTCCATTCTTTTCCTGCGTTCAGGAAGACCCTAAATATGCGTTGTCTCGCCCGCTGCAGAACCCTTGTGTGTCTCGCAGGGGATTCTGGGTAGAGCATGCGAAATGCATTCTGGGAAGGGCGCACATGGTTCAAGCAAGGTGCTTGTGCTACAATGAGCTTGCACTAAAGCAAAACCACTTCATTGAAAATCTAATTGTCAGGAGTCAGCACTGCCTCCTCTGAGGGACAGAAGCTCTTTCCCAGTCCTGCTTCCTAGGGCTCTTCTAAGTGGAAAAGCCGGGAATTGAACTTGGAAACCTCTGGATGCAAAGCAGGCATCCTCTTCATTGAGCTGTGGCTCCTCCTAAGCAGCCCATGTAGAGCTGACTCATGTGAGAAACAAAATCGCACACTGACTGCACAGCTTTTAGACTATAGGTGGAGGGGTGTTGCCTGTTTAAATTGGCACCTATTACTACTATTTTTTAATTTCTTTAAAAAAAACAACTCCAGCTCCCTGAAGAGAAAACATTTGGCATATCAGTACTGAGGCTGCTTCTTCCTGACATGCTATTTTATTTATATTTTAATATCGGAGTCAGTTTTTTTTAATATGGAGGACCTATTATTATTATTATCATCATTTCTGTATTAAGAAGAAATCATAAAGCATTTTGCAACTTACATTAAAACATCACATAAAACAATCCAGGATTAAGCATTGATGAAGAGAGTAAAGTATACAATCAAAGCAACACGATGAACAGGAAACTAAAATATTATCTTAAAGATTTCAAAATGAAATGTTACCAAAAAGGTCAACTACAGAATGCACATTTAATGCGGCAAAGTTAACTTTTAAAATGTTGTTATTATCAGGAACTGTTCGTACCCCCCAGGAGTTGTTTGCTCAGTATCGTGGGTCCAGCTTTATGGAACTCCATTGCACTTGAAGTCAGACAAGGGCCCCTTCCCTGTTGAACTTTCAGTTGCTGCTGCTGAAGACTTTAAAAAATAATAATAATCCGCAGGCATAATAACTGAATTCTGATTTTATAGCTCAAACTGATTTTTATCTTTATCCTATTGTTCAGAAACTTTTTACTAAGAGACATTTGAAATTCAGGGGTGTATAAATGGTCAATAATAAGTGATTGCTTTCCACATAGATTCCAAGGCAGGGTAGAAAATAAGAGTAAAAGCAGTTACGAAACAGCAGGGGAAGAAATAACAGGAGATGAGTTTAAAAGCGATACAAAATGGGATGCCCATGGCAGAGACTTCTTCATTCAGCTGGGAAAGCTGCAGGCATGTGTACAAACGATGCTGCTTTTTTATACTGACATATCCCCCAACACTTCTCCGATGAAAATAGAGACATCCTTAGGAAAAGCAGGACGTTCTGGGATCGAATCAGAAACCGGGACGGCGTCTGTAAATCCATGACTGTCCCTAGAAAATAGGGAACGTGGGACCTTCTTCATGCAAAGCAGATGCTCTGTGCACTTAGCTCTTCCATAGACACAGCTTCTATCTTTGCTCAATGGTGTTGTGTGAAGAAGCCTTCTGTTTTTGTTTTATTGGGGGTGGGGGGAGAGAGAGAGAAATGCTAATGGCTTGAAAGTTGATTTGTCTTTCGAGCCCTCTTCTTTCTCCCTGCTGCATGCCGACACACCCCTCTTAAACAGCTCGCTTTATTTTATGGGAGAACGAGCTCTTGGTCAAATGGACAGATGGCAGCCGCCTGCGGGGAGCTCCACCCGTGGCAGGGAGGGGCTGCCGTGTACGCCTAGTGACCTAATCGTGGGCAAACAGCGTTATCTTCCAGGCTAGGCGAGGAAGGGTGGCATGTCAGCCGAGGGTGGCATGAGATCGGGCCTTTGGTCTGTCCAGCTCAGGAATGTCTGCACTGGTTGGCAGAGGCTCTCCCCTGGGTTTGAGGCTGGGAGTCGTCGTCCTCCCCCCATCCTACCTGGGGATAACTAGGCCTGGGCCTGGCCTGCCATGTTTTGCAAACTTGGGCCTCCTGCCTAGAATTGAGGGCTGTAGTGAAGATTGATTAGAACTTTGCATTTATGTATTTTTTTATTAAATGTTATTAAATGTTACCAAAAAAACGAATAGGAAAAAGAAATAGAAACAATACATAACCATACATAAAACATTTATCAATACAATTTTCGAGAATGCAGACTAGAAAAGAAGAAAGACAAAAGATAAAAGAAACAAGAAAAAGAAAATACTTTTCATAATCAATTATTCCAAATTCATACTTCAAACATTACAATATATAAATCCTAGTTAAAATATTATTAAAGACTTCCACCGCATTCACCACACGTCTCTTGGTTAACCAACAGAACTTTGCATTTATTTATTATTGCATGTCTATCCCACTTTTTTCTCCAAGGAGTTCTCCATCTCATTTAATCCTCCCAACAACCCTGTGAGGTAGGTTTTGGCTGACCGGTGCAAGGTCACCCAGCATGCTTCGTGGCTAAATGGGGATTTGAACCCTGGTCTCTTTCTCCCAAGCCCCAACACTCTAACCAGTATGCCACACAGTAGTTTTTAAAATACTGTTCTGGCTATCATCTGTCGGCCTCGGCTCTCCTTATCTCTAAAGTGAGAACAACATCGATCCAGTTCACAAAGTTCTCATGAAGGTAAACAAAAGACTTTTTAAAAAAAAGTATAAGGCGGGTTTGCCTGTTTTAAGTCATGCACAAAAAAAGGCTGACATTTGCTCAATGTGCAAAGAAGCGTTTTGTCCGCACAGCACGTTCTTAATTTATGGAATGTGTTGCCGGAACATGTGGTGGTAGATACTGGCTTAGCTGGCTTTAAAATCAAAATAAAAGGATTAGAAAACCAGAAAACCAGCGAAGGGCTCCGTCTGCCATTGTCCTTTGGCCGGCAAAGACTGGAACCTCCAAGTGCAGGGGAATATATCTCAGATTATCTAATGGCAGGGAGAGACAGCAAGGGAATGTATTTGACTTCTTGCATTGCTTGTGAGCTTCCCACAGAAGCACCTGGCTGGCCACTATAGAATTAGGATTTGCTGGTTTAGATGAACCTTGGGTCTGATCGAACACTTTTTCTTACTATTTTTATTTTTTTATTGCATTTATATCCCGCTGCCTTCTCCAAGGAGCTCAAAGTGGCCTACATGGTTTTCTCCCTTCTCGCTCAATCCCCACAACAACCCTGTGAGGGAGGTTAGGCTGAGAGGAAATGAATGACCCCAAGATCATCCAGTGAGCTTTGTTGAAGAGTGGCGGGCCAAGTCCTAGTGAAACACTGCTCCAGTTGTTTGTGGGCTGCAACTCCCACAAGCCCCAGACTGCATGACCAGTGACTGAGGTTCATGGGAGTTGTAGTACAACAGCACCAGGCGTGCCACAGGTTTCACCTCATCCCTGTGCTATGTGTAATAATAATAGTGTGGCATTGGTTTTAATGAGACTATCATAATTTCACAAAATTTAAGCTTTGGGAAACAGAAGTTTTTATGGGCAGCTGTAGCTCTGACTGTTTTTGGGGGCTGCTAAATTCTTAGCGAGATATTTCTTTTTAAAGAGCGGATAATCTTCTCCAGCACTTGAAATTCACCAGGTGCATTTTGCGACTGGCCACTTTTGACCAAGTGATGATACATGGGCACCATCGGCGCCTGACGTCTCCACCATCTGGAGATTCCTGCATGGGGATCCTTGAATCCGGACTGTTTTCACACACTAATACCCCATCCTGTAGAATTCTATCCATTATATTTTCTCTGCACAATCAGAATGAATTTCAGGAACCAAAACGTTGTATTGAAAAATACGACTTTTGAGCCGTCTGGTCCAAAAATGGCAACTAGACATTTTGGTGACTGTAACTCTGGTTTAAGGAGCCATTTGACGCCTAGTTTATACATCTCTGAGTTTCTCACACTGATCTTATATCCCCACCCGAGCCCATCTTCTCAGTTGCCTTTTTGGAATAATAAATACAATTCTATAATTGGTTATTATTCCTGGGTGAACTATATAATCAAAATGTTATAGCAGTCTCAAAACAAGCATTTGGGTTGTTTCTTTATTAGTGAATGTAAAATTTCAATTAAAAAATGATGTAAACACACAAAAGAGAGTTGTCTTTGCAACAGTTTCCTTCTTGAGAATTACAAGCGTGTCTGGCCTTCACAGAGGTGTCAGGGCTGTTATCATCTGAGGCCTTTCTCTGTGTTCCTACTCCAAGGGAGGTCCAGAGGGTGGCAAAACCAAAGTGGGCCTTTTTAGTGGTGGCTCCCCACTTGTGGAATGCTCACCCTGGGGAGGCTCGCCTGGTGCCATCTTAACATATCTTTTTCGCTAGGTTTTTGGCTTCTAATCACTTGTAACCTCCTTGAGCTGGCGGGATGTTTTAAACCCACCTTCTGAAAGCAGGACTGCCGTTTGGATTTTGTCTTTGTTTTCTCTTACGCTGGTTTCAATGTGTGCATTTGTATAATATCAGTCACATTAACTTGATTTTTTTGGGGAAAAGAGGCAGATTTGATGCAGAAAACAAAACATTGCATCTCGCTGCACTGACGGGGCGGATTTGGGGGTGGTAATGAATTAATGTGGACAAATGGCAGCCCCAACCTGGGCCCTGTTAGCTTGGGGGCCCAAGCCCAGAGGAACGGCTGCTTCCCTCTGCCAGCCACACACGCCATGCACCCGCCACATGGCACGTGCGTCCGGCCGTCTCGCTTGCCATTTCAATAGGTAGCCAGGAGGCCCCAAGACAATGGCGACAGCTGCCTGGCTTTAGGAGAAGAAAGAGGAGGAGGATAGACCATTCCCCTTCTCCTGTTCATGTTTCATTCCTGCTGGCTCAGCAAATGGGACTCTTCCCCGCTCCCCCTTTCCTTGCGTGAAGCAGCTGTCTTAACTGTTGTGGGGTGGGGAGGGGGGAAACTCTGTAGGCATGTTGCAACTTTTACCCCTCCAACGCCCCACGGAGATCAATAAATCTTGGAATCTGGCCCAGGTGCAGTCTGGAGGGACAGGCAGGGTGGGTTAGGAGATAAGCCGCAGCATGTTTGCTTCCTCTTGGCTTTCTGCACCGGTTAATACCTTCAGTTTTGGAGTCAGGCCTTGCTGTCAGCCTGCCTTAGGAACCTAAGATTTGGATGGGACCCCCCCAAGGGGTCATCTGGTCCAATTCCCTGCAGCGCAGGAGTTGCAGATGAAAAATCCCTGACAGGTGGCCATCCAAATGTGCACACTGCAAATAAAACGCCTTAAGGGTTTACAGAGAACTGTGTAGGGTGCCAGCCAGCCATGCCCCATTTCAGGATACTCCATTCCATTGTTCACCCTGCCCAGCTTCACCCAGTGAGCTTTGTTGCTGAGTGGATATTCTGTGTCCAGCTGAGCATTCTCAGCTGCCTTTTAAGCTACTTTGGGGTTTTCCCCCTTCCCCTAGGGTGCTTTTTTATCTAAAGATTTGTTTGTACTTTGAGAAACCTTGGGGTTTCCCCAAGCCTGCTGCTATCTGTCTCTCCCCCCCCTTTTTTTTTTGCAAAATTCACACTTTTTTGACTACGTAAGCATTAGCGGATAGCGAATGAGTTTACTCTAAGTATAGTATAGGGTTCAGTCCCTGCCATAGATGGGCCCATAGTCTGATTTGCTGTAGGACAACTTCTTATACAGGTGGCAGCCATTTTGTGTGTGGGTTCTGTACCTGGCCCCTGAACGTGTTGGCGGCGCGCGCATAAGCCCGCCACATTCTGCCCCTGCTCCGCCCTCCTCCAGATCCAAAAGAACCCATTTGTCGGCTGTCGCGCGTCAATCGGACACGCACAAAATGGTTGCCGCCTGTATTCCTATGAGACCGCTTTAAACAGTCATGGCTTCTCCCCAAAGAATCCTGGGAACTGGAGCTGGTTGAGAGTTGTTAAGAGCCCCCAATTCTCCTCACTGAGCTCTGATTTGATCCTGCGAAGACTGTGAGAGGAACAGGGGCTTCCTACCAACTCTCAGCACCCTTAATAAACGGCACTTCCCAGAATTATTTGGGGGAAGCCATGATTCTCTCTAGCGGTAGCATAGAGGGTGACTGGCGAGGAAGATTGGACTCTGTTATCGCAGGCCTGCTGTCGTGTGGTGGTGGAGGGAGACGTTCCAGCGAGGGGCCCCCGAAAAGCCTGAGGGTGGTTAGCTGGCTTTTGCAAAATGGGATTAGACAAATCCAATGAAGGGGCACATCTGTCAGTCGCAAGATAAAAGCATCAGAAACCTCTGTGTACAGAGCGTGGGGCTCCTTCCTTCTATTTCCGCTCTCTGGGAGAAGAGTTCCATTCCTTCCTAGCGAAAAATTACCACCGCACAAAAGAGAATGATCAACCTTGAGGTTTACAAATGCGTAAAAATATTTAAGGGAGAGACCCTTAAATGTGGGGGGAACAGGCAACGATAGACCCTCGAGGGCTCGGCTGGATGGGGGCAGGACTGAAACCCAGGTGGACAGGAGAATGGGATGGCTGAAGGAAGTGGTGCGAAGAATGAGGTTCCGTTCTGCATTTTTCATAGTTATCCTGGATAGGTAGTTATCCTGGCTCACACCTGCAGACAGAAGCGGGTGTTGCTCATAGACATCGGTGGAGAAATCCAAGAGCCCAGTGTTGCCTAGTGGTTAGAGTGTCGGACTAGGACTTTTTAGAGAGACCAGAGTTCGAATCCCCACTCAGCCATGAAGCTCACTGGGTGACCTTGAGCCAGGGCCTAACCCAACCTCACAGGAGAAAATGTGGAGGATTGTACCGCCGACCTTCTGATGGCAAGCCCAAGAGGCTCAGTGGTTTACACCACAGCGCCACCCGTGTCCCTCACATATCTGGGTAGGCATGCCTAAATTTTAAAAATACAGTACAACAAAGATGTCTGCCTAATGTCAGTGGGCAGGGAGTTCCAGGTTGCAGGTGCTGCCATGCTGGAAGATTGATACCTTATGAGTGTGGAATGGAGATCATGTGGCACTTGCGAAAGAGCCAGCTGCGCAAATTGAAGTGGTCAAGTGGGCATATATGATAATAGCAAAACTTTGAGTTTGGCCTGATAAAAAATCAGCAGCCGTTTCCTTTTTCCTCTGCTGTTCCGTCTCACAAAACCCTTGCTTGTTTTTCCCCCCTGCAAAAAACAGGAGGACCAAAGCAGCCTGGGCGATAACCGACTGCCCACCACCACTAAGCTGGACCGGAGCAAATCTGAGGACCTGCTGGGGACCCCAAAGGAGCCTCGCACCTACAGCTCATCAGAGAACATTGAGGCAGACCCCGGGGTGCTCCGTGCTCACATGGGGGACGGATCAGAGAAGGGATGCCTTGGGTTGCGGATGGTCAGCGAGCAACTCCTTTCCTCCAAGAAAGCTGGAGTCAGTGGGGGAGATACCCAAGAAATCTTGGAGGCAGACTCCAGGCCCAGCTCAGGTATGCCTGCTCCAGGTTCAGCGGGGAGGAATCTACCTGCCTGGTGAATTGTTTGATTTATTTGTATTGTAAATTTAACAGGAAAAAAGAAAGAAAATGCAGGCAGCTGGCTCACATCAGCAATAAGAATTGTCCCTCAGTTCTGATTTAAATGTTTATATTAATATAGGCAGTTCATGTGTCCAAATGGATATCCAAACAAGACTGATGAATGCAATATATATGTTCAAATGTAGAAAGGGCAGTTGATTAGAGCATGGTGCTTATAATAATCTATGAACCTTTTAGTCTCGAGGTATAAAGGTTATATTCAGTTAGTAGGCCCATTGAATTTAATGAACATGTTAATCATGTTTGTTAACTTCTGTAGTTCTGCTCTGAGTAGAAATAGTTTTTGGACACAACCCGAAGTCTCTGCAACCAGAAGGGTTTGCAGGATCCACTTCCATTGTCCATCTGTTAAGTCCTTGCACCAGAGCAATGGAATGGAAAAGTGGGTGGATGTCTGAAAATATTAAGGATTTTTCCGAAACAAAGCTAACACAAACAATATGTTCTGACCAAAAAGAAGACACCCTCCACTAGACACAGCCACAACATGCACCTCAAAGATTCATTTATGAGCATTGCATCCCTATATCTCCACAAATACTTCGCTTCCTAGTCTCACAGGTTGCAATCCCTACGACACACCGGTCCTTCTCCCAGAAAACATCTGATCCCCTTTCTTTAAATCCGATTAAACGTCCGTCCGGAGTGCTGCACTATCTAATTTTTATTGAAAACGTAAAAGACAAGGCTGCAAACAATAAATAACAAACACATAGGAGAAATGCCCAGAATTGCAGCAAAGTAAAAATAAATAAAATATAGAACAAAAATCAGGGGTCAGTCTGATTTGTTCTGCCTCTCTTCCCAAGTTTCATAGTGTGCAGCATAGAGTTCCCAAGATACCAGTCACTGATCTTGAGTGTCAAAACTTTTAGCTATTAAGAGATCCACAAATGTGTATTTCTGGCTGGCGTATTTGAGCCCTCCGCTCCCACATGTATATATTTAATAACATCAAACTAGACTGGATAAACTGTGGCTTTTCTTGATTTCCCTCTGTGTAAACAAGACTTTTTGTGTTTGCTTTTTTGACATGTGGCCAGATTTTTGCCACCTCAAATTTCCACCACGGCCAGAGCACTGCATCTTCCTTCTCTGTGTTTTCCAGGGTTTTACGAGACGAGTGAGATGGGCTCCCTGTCTGATTCCTGCGCCTCCGTCCACAGCGATGGGCCTGGGGGTTCCCGCTGCAGCATTGGCTCCCTCTCCCACTTGCCCGGCCTGCGGGAGGCCACCTTCTCCCGCCCGCGCTCTACCGATGAGGCTGCTGTCCGCCTCCTAGACCTCCAGCTGCAGCGTCTCACCTTGGCAAACGCCTCTGGCGCGGACGGCAGGAGGCCTGTGTCAACAGGTGAGGCGCGCTTGCATGAACAGGGACTCTCAGGCTTTGCAGATCGGCTGTGTGCTTGAGCCTCTCTCCTCTGCTCCAACCAAGTGAGGAGTTAAAAGGGAGGAATGAGGGAGAGTACAGCAAAGAACACAGACTGGGCTGCACATGTCTGGGGCAAGAGCGTAGCTCAGTTGTAGGGCACCTGTTTTGCATGTGGAAGGTCCCAGGTTCAAGCCCTGGCATCTCCAGGTAGGGCTAGAATAAACTGAGACCACCTTTACACTGTACAGATAGAGCAATTTGATACAGTCCTTTGGGGGAATAGCTTGGCTTTCCCCCAAAGAATTCTGGGAGCTGAAGTTTGTGAAGGGTGTAGAGAGTTGTTAGGAGGTCCCTGTTCCCCACACAGAGCTCCCTTGGAAAATTGTTAAACCATTCTGGGGATTGTGGCTATGTGAAGGGAATAGGGATGTGGTTGGCGCTGTGGGTTAAACTACAGAGCCTAGGACTTGCCGATCAGAAGGTTGGCGGCACGAATCCCCACGACGGGGTGAACTCCCGTTGCTCAGTCCCTGCTCCTGCCAACCTAGCAGTTCGAAAGCACATCAAAGTGCAAGTAGATAAATAGGTACCACTCTGGCGGGAAGGAAAACGGCGTTTCTGTGCGCTGCTCTGGTTCGCCAGAAGCGGCTTAGTCATGCTGGCCACATGATCCGGAAGCTGTACGCCGGCTCCCTCGGCCAATAAAGCGAGATGAGCGCCGCAACCCCAGAGTCGGCCACGACTGGACCTAATGGTCAGGGGTCCCTTTACCTTTACCTTAAGAACTCTTTAAAAAAAAGACACCTCCTAGGAACTCATGACTGTTAAAGTGGTATAATGGTGCTTAAAGTGTATGGTGTGGATGTTGTCCATAAGACAGCTTTCCTATGACCCCCAGTTCCATGTGGTGATCCTGACTTCTATGTTCAGCTTCCTAAGAACCTTCTTCCTCCCTTTCAGTTTGAATTGATAAACGGGAAGTTTTTCTCTTTATTATTACTTCCTTTTTGAAGCATCCTTGCCTTTAGTGGTTTATGAAGATCAGTAATAAAGCAGACCCTGTTCTCAGGCTTATAATAACTGAAAAGACGTGACACACAAGGAAAAAGGGGAGGAGGAAAAAAAGCAAACTCAACTCAGGTGTTAAGTTTTAGTTATGAGATGGCACCCGTCCCCCAGGGCAACTGGACTCTGCCACCGTGAGTTGCAGAAACAGCTTTGTGCCACCATAAAATATCATCTTTTAAATTTGTTTCACTCCGTCAGCCCCAGCCAGCAATTCAGATGTTGCTGAATGACTACAGATTCCCCATCCCTGTTTTATGCCCATGTGAGTTCAAAGAATAATTGAACATGGGCAATACCCAATACTAGGTCTTCTGAAAATAGACCCATTGAAATTGATAGGTATGACTACGCTAAGAACATTAATAGCAATGGGTCTGCAGTGAGTCTAACTTAGCTGGCTACAACCAAGTAGCTTCTGCCTGCCTTGAATCCCTGTTAAAGACACAGTCCATCTTTTACCTTGCCCGGCCTACGGTCGTTGGTTCCTGTTACTCATAAGTCCCTTGTGTTCCCTTGCTTCAGGTGACCTGGAATTCCTCTTGGGGCTCGGAGACTTGTCCCTCCCACTCCCAAAGAACCCGAGTCTCCAGCTGCTGCAGTACAAGTCGGACCTTGTCTCCCGGAACACCAACGAGATCTACCACTACCCGAGCCCCTTGCATGCCGTGGCTCTCCAGAGCCCCCTCTTCACCAGCAGCCTCTCCCAGAGCTCGTCTCAGGAGGATCTGGATGAGGGACCCCTGGAGCAGCCTGGTACCAGCTCCCCAAAGAGAGCGGCCGCATGCTCCAAGGAGCAGCAGAGAGCCCGGTTGGACCAGTACGTGGCCAAATTGGTGCTGCGTTACAAATGCCGCTCAGCAGCCAGCAGGCCGGAGTCCGGATACCTGGCGGGGAATCAGAAGAGCTTGTCAATGTCCTCCGTCTGCAGTTCTGTCCTGGGTGCCAGCCAGCTCCTGGCACCGGCGCCCGGGTGGAAGATCCGGCGGCGCATCTCTACCTGCTCGCATCTGCGTTCTCCAGAAGGTTCCGAAGGGGCACGGGACTCGCGGGTTTTGGACAGCCAAGGGGATTTCACTCCATTTCTGGAGATCCCCTCAGTCCAGGCCAGCACTACCAACCTCGTGAAGGCTACCGAGCCGTCGGTGGTGTCCCTGCCTGATCCTCTCCCATCGTATCCGGAACCTTCCGTCATCCCCTACCCAAATAAGCAAAATGGCGGATCGGAGAGAGAGGTCCTGGGCTGGGTCAGCGTGGCCCGTTGTCATGTTGTCCAGGCCGAGGCTCCCTTCAGAAAGGAGGGCTCGTTGCCACAGGCCGCTATAAACTTTGACAGGCTGTACAAAGGCAAACATGCCTCGCGGGAGTTGGTGAAAGCAGCCGAGAGGCAGGAGAAGCCGGCCGAGAGGAGTTGGCTGAGCCCCCGGGAACTGCTACGCAGGCTGAGCCTTCGCCGTAGGCCGTCTGCTCGCATGGGGAGCAGGGCCCGCGCCAGCTCGGAAATCAACGTCCACGCGGCCACAGGGCTGGGTTGCCACAGTGACCCACAAGCCAGCAGAGGCAAAGCGGTCAAGCCGAAATGGACATCAGTCTTGGAGATTTCCAGCAAAGCCCCCAGCCGGCAGCGGCTGAAAGCCGGCAGCTTCCACCCGCCCCAAGTGCTGAACCGCCACCTTGCCTTTTCCTCTGACTCGCCAACATCGTTTTGCTTCCTGGGCAGCAGCCATCTTGACCTGCCGCCTCGGCAGCGGGCTGGACTTGCCGGCAGCAGCCTTGGAGAGGTGGACGCCACAAGCGCCGTCAGCCTGAACGGGGACTGGATCCTCCATCAGCTCGGGGACAGGTGGCCCCGCACTGCGGCCACGTTGGACTCTGCCGACTTGCCAGTCCGCAGCTTCAAGCTCCGCCGCAGCCGCTCCTTCAAGGAGCTCAAGAAAATGATGTCACGCTCCTTCAAGGGGTCCAGGACCACCAAGTGACTCCTTCCTCCCCCCCAAAAGGGCTGTAAGATATCTTGGGTGGGTGAGTGGAGGAGGTAAAAAGTGAAGAAGCTTCTTAAGCATTTTTGAGGCTTCTTGATTGACCTTCCTAGACAAGCTTCCCCATCCCCTTGGACGACGGGGGTTGTCTCCCAAGTTTTTCCCCACACCCTTATTGCTAGGTACATCCTTGAATTTGGACATTAACTCCTTATGCCTCAGGATTTCTCCCTGGCCTAAACAAGAACCAAAGATGGACATGGAACTCCAGGTCTCCTTCGATAATGTTTTCATAAGAATGGATTGAGGGGCCTTGAAGCTGCCATACCTAACCCCGGTGGCGGCTGTTGCCCATTGGGACTGATAGGGTGGCAGGCAGGGAGCCCCACAGTAGGTGGCGCCAGAGAACCAGTGGCAGGCAGAACCAGCACATTCTAGTTTTGTCCCCATGCCCCCTGCTGAGTTGTAAAAGGGGCAGCGCAGAGACTGAGGAAAATGGCAGGCAGTGCCACCCCCTGGACTGGATGTAACAAGGCAGGCGGGTGGGGGCTGGCTAGGGGCAGACTGAGGTTAGTGGGGCAGCATTGCCTCCGCCCTCATGTACCAGCTTCCACTGAAACCCTTGAGTTATGGTAGTCTCGCAGCCTAGCCAATATGAGTGTCAGAGAGATTCTGTGTCTTCTACCCCCAATGTCCTTTAAAAGTGTTGCCTTGCCTTGGGTTCCCACCCACCACAAATATGGTAGGGAAAGCATGCAGATTTCCATAAGTATTTCTATTATTATTTTAGGATCCAGGCCATGCCTTATATCCCTGGGCAATTACTGAGGTATTTGAGGAGGAGGGCGCTTTTCATGGTTCCCCGTGGCTCAGACACACGATTCGTATTGTGTTTGACCACCCTCTCTCCCTGTTGAACTCCCAGCGCTGAGTGACAACTTTTTCTATTTCAGCACACAGTTTGTGAGGGGGTTCCCCAGCCCTGTGATTCTGTGGTTAATTTTAACTTGCTTTATGTTCTTATCTCTCTTGTACAACTCTTAGAAAAGGCAGCATGTAAATTATTTAAATAAATAAAATGTGCAGCCTGTCCTGAGGAACACACAGCCTGCCCAGCAAAGTCATTCCCTGACCACCACCCGCTGCCGTCCTGGATTTTTCTTCTTGGCAGTTCGAAGCAGGTGGTGAAAACCAAAGGGGCTTGGCAGGGGTCCATCGTGTGTCCCTGGTGGGGAGGGAGCTGTGTTAACAGGTTGCAAATCGTGCAGGCCTAACACTGATTTTGAAGTGGTATTAATTTGCCTTTTTCTTCAAGGTTTTATATTGCCTTCCTTTTCCAGTAAGGGTATAATGCAGAGTTGTGGCACTTTGGATGCCAATGGACTCCAGTTCTCATATCACTACCCGATGTGGTGTCGTGGTTGGAGTGTCGGATTAAGACCTGGGAGAGCAGGATTCGAATCCCCACTCAATCATGGAACTCACTGGGTGATCTTGGACCAGTCACTGCCTCAGTCAGCCTAACCTACCTCACAGGGTTGTTGTGGGGATTCAATGAGGAGGGGGGAGTATCTTGTACTTGAGCTCCTTGGAGAAAAAATTGATATACAGTGGTACCTCGGGTTACAGACGCTTCAGGTTACAGACTCCGCTAACCCAGAAATAGTACCTCGGGTTAAGAACTTTGCTTCAGGATGAGAACAGAAATTGCGGTGCTAAAGTGGTGCTTCAGGTTAAGAACAGTTTCAGGTTAAGAGTGAACCTCCGGAACGAATTAAGTTCTTAACCCGAGGTACCACTGTAATGAAATAAATGAAATAAGTAAGCTTTGGTTAGTTGGGCCCAGTGGTCAGGGGCCTGAAGTTCAACAATATCAGGCAGGCCACAGGCCCCCCCCCCTTCCTAGTGCGAGCGAACCCTGCACAGGGAAGGCCTTCATCCCCCCCCACCCCAATTCTTCATTTTGGCCCCCAAAGGCTTCCAAAAGTCTTCCTAGATATTTCTGTCTGGTACTGCTGCCACCTTTAAAGGGAGGAGGTGGCTGTGCTCCCATCTGCCTCTCTCACCCCCCCCCCCAACTTTAATTAAAATGGGTGAGTAGCCTTTGGCAATCTGGATGTTTCTGAACTACAGCTCCCATCTGCCCTAGCAAAAATGGCCAACGAAGATGGGGATTGTAGCTCAGCAACTTCTGGAGGGCCAAGTCTCCCCAAAGCAGACTCAAAACGAGGTAGCCTTTTTTAACGTCGTCCTTTTGTTTTTATCCGTCTTGCTCTTTGAAACTGTGAACCTTATTTCCCCACTACATGTAAATGTTAAGATCAAGATAGAAAATAAAAACGAGCATTTTGAAATTAGGGGTCTTGCTTGGTCTTGGGAACGTGGGATGAACGGAGTGTGCGGAGATTTAAGGATGTTTTCCTACTGAAGCATTATTACAAAGCCTTGCAGCAGCTGAGTATATATGCCAGTATGTTTTCTGTCCATATATATCTATAACTCTTTACTGACCGTGACTGTCATGAAGGAACCCTGTACACAGGATAAAAAGCTCCCCTTTCATCCTCAGGTGGTTGTAGGTCACTGGAGAGGGGTCTCTCCTGCATAAATAGTAGACTTTGATACTCTTCTGCACCATTGGAACATTGCCCCACTGATCTCCAGAGAATAATGTGCCCTTCAGACAGTGAAAGTCCCCCATCCCTTGTATCTATGATCATACCTCACTGCGTTTTCATATTTGAAATGCAACGCTTTGCAATGCACTCTGGAGAGAGGTGTGTTCCCACCACGCACTGGGTTGTAAAATGGAGAGGGGGAAGGGGGGGATGCCAGATTATCCCTCCTATAATTAATCCCTCCCCGCTCAGTGCCTAGAAGCAGGTAGGATATAGCAAGCTGGTTTCTCCTGCCTTCCAGGCACACATTTTTGCCTCCTCGACGCCGGTGCTCCTGGTTATGCCTTGAAAAGGCTGAGCGAATTGCTGTTTACGGCGTGCCTCCTGGCACCGCGCAGCTAATAATAGTAATTAAGGAGGCTGCAAGACGGTGGGGGATGGGGTTCGGCAAGCCAGAGCTTGTTGTCTGGTCCTGCCGCAGCCTTCCAGCCCAGAACGTGCATTTTCCAGCAACAGAAAACCCCTGTCAAATAGCTTGAGTGGCTCAAAGCAGTTTGCATGCATTGTCTCAGTAATCCTTAACCAGCACCCTGAAAGTAATATTATTCCCCCCATAATGCAGATACGGAAGACTGAGGCTGAGTGTGAGTGACTCGTCTATGGACACGTAGTGAGTCAGTGGCAGAGGTGAAATTTCAGCTACTGATTTATTGATTGTGTGACCGCAGAAACGGATAAAAGCCCCCCTCCCAACAATGACTATCATCAGTGCAGGGAAGAAAATAATTAAATTTTCATTTTTATCATCTACAATACTGTCTTATTTATTTTATAGTACAGTACATTGATAATTGCTTTAATTATATGGATCAATGGTCTCGTTAGATAGTAAAATTCATGTTAAACTGCTGTTTTAGGGGTTGTTTTTTTAAAGTCTGGAACGGATTAATTCATTTTGCATTATTTTCTATGGAAAAGCATGCCTTGGTTTTGGAACGGACTTCCGGAATGGATTAAGTTTGAGAACCAAGGTACCACTGTAGTTAGTTCAGGCACGTGGGTTCTTGTTTTGGTCTCTTGCCTTTTATAACTAACCCCTTTACCCCCACCCAACACTACCAGATCCACAGTTGTGGCTGGATAGAGGCAGTGGCAGACAAAACAGGGTGGCTGAGGGGCAGAGCAGATTACTCCCTGCTGTATAAGCTATAAGCCATACACCTCGTGACCCCCAAACACAAAGAAAAGTCTACATCTGAGCGACTGATTTATTGCATCTTTTACACGGTTCTTCTCTCGCTCATTTAATCCCTGCACAACAACCCTGTGAGGTAGGTTAGGCTAAGAACTAACCACTACACCACACTGCCTTTTGACTACCCACTGACTAGTTTGGTGGTTCTAACAAGCCCAGTTTAGAAAACAAACATGCTTTTTGCTACTGCAATTTACGCTGTGTACACACTACGTTTAAATCGTACACACCCAGAGCAGACTAGGAACTATTTCGCGAAGACTGCTGGGAATTGTAGCTCTGTGAGGGGTAAACTACAGTTCCCAGAGGGTTTTTTTGGGGGGTGGGGAGATGTATGGTGTGTACACAGCCATAGTTAAACATTTAGGAAGCAGAAACCTCTGACCAATAATCTATTAATCTCCCAGGAGATCCTGCTCAATCTTCTGCCTGCCTTCGATTTAGTTCATTGTTATATTTTTGTCACGTACTGTATATGAGGAGACAGAAGGCATTTGGTTCTGCCCCCCTGGCCTAAAATGTCATACCCAGGCCTCCTTAAGTCAGCTATTTTAATCAATGGAATTTGTTAATAAGAAGCCCGTATCTGCTTAGGAATGTCTTCAGTCATTATTCAGGGTCTTAAGCAGTGTTTAATCCCCCAGGAAAAGGGATTGATTGTTAAACCACTGTGAGAATTATAGCTCTGTAAAAGGAGCAGGGGTCTTCTAACAGCTCTCAGTACCCTTAACAAACCACATCTTCCAGGTTTCATTGTGGGGTGTGTGTGTGAGGGTTGCTATATTTCAAAAAGTGAAAATCTGGACACAAAAGTTGTTGAGCTTTTATTGGCAAAGTTGTTGAGCTTTTCTCACTGTTCTCCCCAGTTGCCTTAATAAAATTTTATTTTAATAAAATTATAATCGTGGAGATCTGTGCATAACAGTTTATCTGCTGCATCTTGGCAAAAACAGCCAAATACTGCTGAGCAGTACACACCCTGAGCCAATCACATACATACGTACATACATAATTTTATTTATATGCCGCCTTTCAAACAATGCTGAAGGTGCTTTCAACATGAAAAAATGTAGAACAATGACATAGCAAAGTAGGCATAATGCATACGCTCCACCATCCTGCTGACCATAATCTCTCATGTTTTTAAATACGTTACATGTTTTTAAATATGTTTTAATTACTTTGTCGCTTTTGTGTTTGCTGCCTTGGGTTTGAAGAGGAACAGGGGGTTAAATAAATAAACTTTGGGCCCTCTTCAATTACCATATTTCTCCGTCTACTGTATAAGACACCCACATGTATAAGACGACCCTATTTTTGGGGACTCCGATTTAAGAAAATGGGGGAAGATGACCCCCGTATATAAGATGCCCCCAAATTTTTGACATTATTTTTTAGGGAGAAAAACCAGGCTTATACAGTACACGGAAAAATCAGTACCTCTCTGGGGGCACACTCAGGACTGTGTCATGGAAGTTTCCTTCCTTTCAGGAGTTAATTTCCTCTCACTTGTTTGCCTCTGACCAGGCCGCCTTTGGTTGCTGACCTGTCAGCAAATATTGCCACCGTGTGGACTAGCAGCTTTCTTTGGCGATTAAAACAACCGCCCCGCAACAGTTATCTTCTAGAAGCCAAATTTCTGTTTGGTTCAATGCTACCACACCCACAATGTACACATGTGCCGCGCACACATTCCGCTGCGGTTGCTACCAAGTCACAAAGGTACTATGGACACAGAGGCCCATGGGCCCCCCCACCCGCAGCGACCCCCACCCACAAAAAGAAAAACTTGCTGATGTCTTGTTTGCCAGAGGCAAGGTCACAAACGGCAGCTGAGAAAAGCAAACAGCCCCCTTTCCCAGCTGCTGACACACACACACACACGTATTTGTTTAAGAGACCGGAGGAGACATGCATGGCAGCAATGAAGGATGTTTGCTGGGATGTCACAGCTGGAGAACCGGGAAGAAAGCAGAAATGACAAAATCGATAAAAGGCAGGAGTTCTGACTTTGTACAAGTGCCAACATGGCTCAGAATTAGAAGCCTCTTGGATTAGGTCCCCACCATTTTCCTTCCCCAACCCTACTATGAACCTGTAGAGTGGCGGTTGCTTTAATCCTCACTCGGGACATCCTTTTTTACCCTGTATTCACGATCATTTTGGCATTTTGTGTTGTCAGGGCAGCTACACATGACCCCACTTTCAAAAGTTTCAGGGAGGACAAACTGCTTTATTTTCCCAGTTGGTTCGGGTCCCATAACTTCCTTCTGAAATCCTGTAACTTGCTATACCACACATATTCCCATTTATTTTTACCCGTCCCTCTTTTCTTGCGCTGTGGCACAGGACTGCCCCCTCCAGACGGCAATAATGTGGTAACCGTTGAGGAAGCCTCGCAGAACTACTAATAAAACAAGGGTTTTTGCCTGTCTGGTGCAAATCTACCAGGAAGGTACTATACTGAATCAGTCACATATTCAGAGCTGCCAACTTGAATAAAACAGGGGGAGTCCAGGTAAGCGATACCCATCAACTTTGTGGGGGCCCAGTCCCTTAAAATACTTTTTGGGGGGTGTGAAGGGACGTCAGCCACTTGCAGAATATACTGGCAAACTCACACACATACACCAGCCTGGAGGGAGGGGTTCTTAGTTACTGGGTGGGATTTTTGAGCATGGATCTCCCCTCCTAGCACGCTGAGGCCACAGTCACAACATACATTGAAAGTGCATCCCCCCCCCAAAAAAAATAATTCTGGGAGCTATAGTTTGTTATGGGTGCAGAGAGCTGTTAGGATATTCCATTATTCTCACAAGCTTACAATACCCAGTTAGCAATCGATCCCCCTTCCCAGGGAACTCAGAGAATTGTAGCACTGTAATAGGGGTCACCTAACAACTCTCAGCACCCACAACTACAGCTCCCAGAATTATTGGGGGTAGCCATGACAGTTTAAAGTTTCTGAGCATAATTCAAAGTGTTGGTGCTGACCTTTAAAGCTCTAAAACGGCCTTGGCCCAGTATACCTGAAGGAGCATCTCCACCCCCATCTTTCTGCCCAGACACCGAGGTCCAGCTCTGAGGGCCTTCTGGTGGTTCCCTCACTGCGAGAAGTGAGGTTACAGGGAGCCACTGAGAGGGCCTTCTTGGTAGTGGTGCCCGCCCTGTGGAACTCCCTCCCATCAGATGTCAAGGAGATAAAGAACTACATCTGAAGGCAGCCCTGTATAGGGAAGTTTTTAATGTTTGATCTTTTATTAATTATTATTATTACTACTACTACTACTACTACTGTGGTACCTCGGGTTAAGAACTTAATTTGTTCCAGAGGTCCGTTCTTAACCTGAAACGGTTCTTAACCTGAGGCGTGCTTTTGCTAATGGGGCCTCCCACTGGTGTGCAATTTCTGTTCTTATCCTGGGGCAAAGTTCTTAACCTGAAGCAACCACTTCCTGGTTAGCGGAGTTTGTAACCTGAAGCGTCTGTAACCCGAGGTACCACTGTATTACTACAGTCACACCTCGGGTTACGAACGCTGCAGGTTGCATGTTTTTGGGTTGTGGACTGCGCCGAACCCGGAAGTACCGGAATGGGTTACTTACGGGTTTAGGTGCCTGCTCAGAAGCGCAAAATGACATCACGCGCATGCGCAGAAGCGCCGAATCGCATCACGCACGTGCGCAGACGGGCACTTCAGGCTGCGAACGCTGCGGGTTGCAAACGTGCCTCCCGCACGGATCACATTCGCAACCCAAGGTATGATTGTATTATTCTGTTGAGAGCTGCCCAGAGTGGCTGGGGAAACCCAGCCAGATGGGCGGGGTATTGATAATAAATTATTACAGTGGTACCTTGGGTTACAGGCGCTTCAGGTTACAGACTCCGCTAACCCAGAAATAGTACCTCGGGTTAAGAACTTTGCTTCAGGATGAGAACAGAAATCGTGTGGCGGCGGTAGCGGGAGGCCCCATTAGCTAAAGTGGTGCTTCAGGTTAAGAACAGTTTTAGGTTAAGTAGGGACCTCCGGAAAGAATTAAGTTCTTACCCCGAGGTACCACTGTATTATATGGTATCAGAGAGCTTTAAATGTATGGTGGGAACGTGGCCTTGATCCCAGCGCCACGATGCTCCCTTTGTGCCAGTAGCTGCCTGTGCCTTGCAGATTCAGACCCAGGTGAAACCCCAGGCATCTCTCTCTCTTGGAAGGGTTGGCCTCTTCTGGCATGCAACCAAGGATCACCAATAACCCACCCCAACTGCAATTTTATGTTAGAAGAAATATGAAGAAAGGGAAGCAAACCCATTTTCTTAAACACTGGATAGACTAGCAGCTCTTGAGAGTGGCAGCGGCAAAAGCTCCAACACAGGCATGTGGTAGGTGGAACATGCAGACCTCTGGCCTTCCTTTTGTATGGGCAGAGGTGTCTGGGCCCTGGGTGGGGTGGGGGCGAGGTCACACAGAGATGCCAAGCATAGCTGACACAACAGAATGCCGTTGCCATAGGAGCAAGCCACAGGAGAGGCCTAGTGACGGTCGCTATGGCAACGAAGGGCACCAAAAAAACCAGATAACAAAGCACTGCTGAGTCACCTGCTAGATATGTGTAATGGAAGGGTGGGAGGAGAGAAAGACTCACATTCAAAACTCAGCAATTTCCCCAAAGCCAATATATGAATAAGGAGCTCGGCCTTTCTTGTTTCAGTTTCAGTTTCTCCCTCTGCAGAATCAAAGCGTAAAACAAGCACCACACATACACACGCAGTCAAAAGTTACATTTCCCAAAATACTTTTATGAAACAGCGAGATGGAAGGGGAAAAACGAAACAGAGAGCAAATCTAGCTGGTAGTTCCTATTTTAGCTGCAATGGAAGGGAGGGAATCGTTTAGGGGTTAGGCAGTCCATCCCCAAGCCGTTCCGCACCCAAAAACAGCAACATTGGGTAGGGGAGGAAATGTTGAAGGAGGTCTCTGTCGCTCACACTTTTCCAGGCTCAATTGGTAATGAAACACGTTTCCCAAGGCACTGCGTCATCTGATGCTTCTGAAGCCAATGGCCACATATGGCCCACAAAACCAGGAGCCAACACTAGGCCGTATCCAGCTGTTTTCAGGGAGGACCTGCCGCCTCTAGCCGAACATCCCCATGTACAACTGCTTTTCCTTTTTGTGGTAGCTGTTCAGCTGAGACTGCGTCAGCTGCAGGTAACGCTTCACGTTGGCATCTTCGATGGACAGATTGGAAAAGAAAAACAGGGAGGGAAAGGGTTGCAAAAACCACAGTTAAATTCGATTGTTTTTTAAAATGCCGCAATGAAAATTTGGAAGAAGTTGTTTTGTGGGCTGAATCCAGCTCACAAACTGTCAGGGAGGTGCTGTAAGTCAGTGGCAGATGAATCTGCTTTGCATGCAGAAGGTCCCAGGTTCCAGTCCTCAGTAACTCCAGGTAGGACTGGGAATGTCCACTGCCAGAGAACCGGAAGAGTTGCTGCTGCTCCATGCAGACAATATTGAAGATGATGGACCAATGGTCTGACTCAGTTTACACAGCATGGGGTCTCTTGCATTGGGGACCACCTCTGCTAAAATGTACTTCTCTACTGTTTGTATTTTGATGGTGATCAATTGTCTCTAACAAAGAAATAATTTGACTGACTAAGGATATGTATTTACAGTTGTACCTTGAATCCCGAATGCGTTGGTACTCGGACGTTTTAGCTCCCGAATGCTGCAAACCTGGAAGTGAGTGTTCCGGTTTGCAAACTTTTTTGGAACCCGAACGTCTGACAGGGCTTCTTCTTGGCTGCAATCAGAAGCCGTGCTTTGGTTTCCAAATGTTTTGGAAGTCGACTGGACTTCCCGAACAGATTCCGTTCGACTTCCAAGGTACGACTGTATTATAATAATTATTATTTTAGTTATTAAATGTGTATACTGCCCTATACCTGTAGATCTCAAGGCAATCCACATCATAAAATCGCAATATAAAAAACACAAAATACATAATAAAAACAAAGAGAATAAAAACAAAAACACACTACACCTTTAAGGAACATTCACAGCACATTCTTTCCCTAAAAGAATTCTGGACACTAGTTTATTCCCTCAGGGAGTTACTATTCCAAGCATCGCTTAACAAACTACAAGGCCCAGAATTCTTTGAGGGAAAGAATGTGCTTTAAAGGTATAGTGCATATACAGCCTCAGTATAGGCCAGCTTCATATGTTCCAGATGCCCACACTTGCTCTAGAGATCACCAAAGTCAAAGTGACCTGTATTATGATCCTTCCACCATCATGTTAGCACCTCTCACCTTTGGGCTGCTTGCTGGTTGCTGCCAGTAGATGGTGCTGGGCTCTGTCGTAATCCCGCAGGTGGTAGAAAGCCACTCCAGCTCGGTATAGCGCCTTGGTGTTCTCTGGCTGCCTTTCTAGGACTTTTAGACTGTACTCTTTCACCCGCTCATAGTTCACAGGTTCCATTTGTAGGAGGCATGCTGTGGAAGAGGCACACAGCACAACATTGTTACTAGGAGGCCAGCGACAGCCCGGGATTACTCAGTGGGAAGGGGTTCGGGTAGGCACTCTGTGCACGCTCAAAGGTGCTCTCACCATTAGCCAGCCTACAGCTAATAGGAGAAAAATTAATTTATGAAATCACCTTTCATTGTGAGTCAATCCAATAACAATGGCTGGAGGTCTTGGACAAGACAGACAAATGGGAGAACGTTATCACCCAGCCAATAGGATGGGATAGCTATCGTGGGATAGCCCCGTCAGTCGCTGTCATGCCATGCTTGTGGACTTCATCAGATACATGTAACAGACTCTCCCTGGCTTACCAGCAAGGTTGTTGTAGCAGTCGCTTTGGGTGCTGTGGAGTTCCTTTTCCTGTTCCGGTGTCACAAGAGGCCTCTCCGCACCAAACTCCTGCAAAGGCGAAGGCACGCTGGGATCCAGCCCTTTCACCTGCAGCAAGGCCCAGTGATAGCGGCTCACGGCAGCCCGCAAACGCCCCTCCTTGTAACAATGGTTCCCTTCCTTCTTGAAGGCTTGGGCCTGCTGCAGCCGTTGGTCCATAGTTGCTTCCGAAGAAGCCTGGAAGGGACAGGGAGCAGAATAATTTTTAAAAATGGGTGCCAGGACACGGATGGACTCCAGTTCCCATCAGCCTCAGCCAGTGATCAGGCATGATGGCAGCTTTAGTCCATCAACAACTCCACTATCCAAGGGAATGCAGCCATCATATTCAACAACGGAATGCAGTAGACATCATGTTGTTGGTACCACTGCAATAATTTATTATTTATACCCCGCCTATCTGGCTGGGTTTGCCCAACCACTCTGGGCGGCTTCCAACCGAATATTAAAAACAATACAGCACCAGACATTAAAAACTTCCCTAAACAGGGCCGCCTTCAGTTGTCTTTTAAAAGTAAAATAGTTGTAAAGATTCCAGTCCTTGTGATTCTGAATGAAGGACTGCTTTCAGCAGGAACAGGTGATGCTTCCTTACAGTTAGGCTCCAGAGAGAGTTTCAGGCAGGGGGTATTCCGTGCCTACCTGGGAATGCCAGGGATTGTACTTGACACCTTTTCTGTGTGCATGCAAAGCAGATGCTGTACAAATGAGCTACAACCGCCCCCCCCCCCCCAACGTACCTTTGCTGTTGCGGTGGCCATTGGGATCAGGAGGAGCGGCGGCAGCAGCTTCTGGAGCCGGCCATCACCACTTGCTGCTCTGCATGGGCTGCCACACCCCCTCCGTGACCTGGAAGCAGAGTTTAAACTGCAAAAAAATGGGAAGCAGCTTCGGGCAGCGAAATCACGTGACCGGAGTCAGCTGATTTCGGAGGAGGCGAGCGGGAGAGCCGGGGAACAACCAGCCCCCGGGAATGCTAATAGCGCAAACTGCTGGCTTTACACTGTATATACTCTTACCTGGGAGTAAGACCCATTGAACTCAGTGGGGTTTCCTTCTGAGTGGATGGGGACACGTGTACGTACTGGAAAGCACGCAAGTCTCCTCTGTACGTAGAGAATGCAGCAAAAGTTTTGGGTCATAGAATTGTAAATGGTAGAGTTGGAAGAGACCCTGAGGGTCATCTAGTCCAACCCCCTGCAATGCAGGAATCTCAGCTAGGTGATCCGTGGCAAATGGCCATCCAACCTCTGCTTTAAAAACTTCCAAGGAAGGAAAGTCCACCACCTCTCCTGGGAGTCTGTTCCACTGTTGAACAGCTCTTACTGTCAGTAAGTTCTTCCTGATGTTTAGTCGGAATCTCAATTATTGCAACTTGAAGCCACTGGTTTGAGTCCTACCCTCCAGAGCAGGAGAAAAGCTTGCTCCATCTTCTGTGTGACAGCCCTTATTATATATTGGAAGATGGCTATCATATCTCCTCTCAGTCTCCTCTTTTCCAGGCTAAACATACCCAGCTTCTTCAACCATTCTTCATAAAGCTTGGTTTCCAATCCCTTCATCATTTTGGTTACCCTCCTTTGCACACATCTACTGTGGCATCGTGGACCGGTTTCAGTTGATGTGGCTTTATGAGCAACCCCCTTATAAGGAATGAAATTTTAACATTTGGGACCTTTTAGTATGGGGGGGTGTGAGCAAGTTGGGGGAGGGACATGAGAGAGGGGGATCAAATTATGCATGGTGAAGAGAAAGAGGATAGATAGAAGTTTTTCTCCCTCATAATATTAGAACATGGCTCATTCAATGAAGGCAAATGTTAAGATGATTTAGGACAGCCAAAAGAAAGTGTGTCTTCACGCAGCACATAGTAGATGGAATTCGCTTCCAGAAGATATATTGATGGCTGCCAAGGGGTTAGATGAATAATTGGAGACTAAGGCTATCTTCTAATGTATAGAACATTGCTTCAAAAATGTTTGCATAGATGAACAATAATAACAAACATTATATTCCCTTCCACCCTCCCTGGACAAAAATATACTTATAGCAATGTTCATACCAATGTGGTATTTCATAAATTGCCATGAACAGAAAGATTTATCTGAATGTCTGGTCAGACATAGATGTGTAATCTGAGGTGAAGCCAAATCGGATAATTTTGCTGTAAAATGACCTGCATTTCCTGATTATAAACAGTGAGTGTCATATAGATGTCCTGTTTTTCCTTAGGGTGTCCCTATTTTCATCAGAGAAATGTTGGAGGGTATGGAGTTATTTGACCTCTCGTTTTTAAAAATGTTATTTTTTTATTTTTTTATTGTTGGAAGCAGCCCACAGTTGGTTGGATGATAATAATAATAGTAATAATAATAATAATAATAATAATAATAATATGATGTCCCTATTTTCATTGGAGAAATGTTGGAGGGTATGGGATTGTGCTGCCAGTCATGCCCACTTTCTGCCATTGACATGACTGGAACATTTGAAGACAGTGTGTGGTGTCCTGCTGCCAACCTGTGTAGTTTGGGCCTAATCCTTCTGTTTTTTCATGAGATTACCAAATTGACCTAAGACATTGTTTTGTTTCACATAGTTCTTGATGCACTACAGGCACATCCACAAAGCATGAAACTACCCAGCATACATGGTAGACACCTTCAGAAATAAATAAGCATAATGCTTGCAGGTGATCAAGTGAGGAAAAAGAGAGGGAGAGTCCCCGTGTTACTGTACAGTACTGTGTGTTTTTGGTCGCACTTTGGGGCAGGGGTTAGCAACCTTCTTCAGCTGTGGGCCGGTCCACCCTTCCTCAGAGCCATAGCTGTCAACTTTTCCCTTTTCTTGCGAGGAATCCTATTCGGAATAAGGGAATTTCCCTTTAAAAAGGGAAACGTTGACAGCTATGCTCAGAGCATGTGGGGGGCCGGACGACGTTATATTTTAGGGGAAAAATATGAACGAATTCCTATGCTCCATAAATAATCCTGAGATGCATTTTAAATAAAAGGACACGTTCTACTCATGTAAAAATACCAGGCAGGCCCCACAAAGAACCCAGAGATGCATTTTAAATAAAAGGACACATTCTACTCATGTAAAAACATGCTGATTCCCAGACCATCTGCGGGCCGGATTTAGAAGGCGATTGGGCCACATCCGGCCCCTGGGCCTTAGTTTGCCTACCCCTGCTTTGGAGGATCAAGAAGGTGGAGTGTAAAAGATTCAATAAATAAACCTTGCTACTGGCAAGGGTTGTGTCTTTAACAGTTGCCAACACGTAGTAATTTAACTAGTGCAGCACCCCCGATTTGCACGCTGCACCTGCCTAATTTCTGCCAGTTATGCAACTTTTGAAAAGGTAAGAGTCGCTGTCAGGGGCAACAAGAGAAAACAACGGTTCTCTTCTTAATGTGAGGCTTTTAAGGGCAAGATGGCGGCGCCCTCAATTTGAGGTAAAAAGAGGATAAGAAGGTTCGAGAGAAGCCGCCCAATTAAAAAGCAGCTTGGACTGTTCCTAGGCAGAGTAACTTTGCGAGCTCTATATTCTGATTGGTGAATTTTAGCCAATCAGAAAAATTCATATTCCCCTCTTGTAATACGCCCGCCCCAACGGGCGTTAGCTACCCGCCCAAAATCGATCACTGTGCACGTAGGCGCGGAAAAACGCATGCACAGTTCCAAGCAAAAGGGGTGCTTAACAGATCGTTGGAGTAAATAAAAAAATCAACCGAGGCCGCGCGAACTAAAGGGACCTTTTTAAACTATAGTGGGATCGAAAGAGGAGAGGGCGGGGACGCGAAGGGGCAGCAAGCGCGCATGCGCCGCAACGAAGCGCATGCGTTGTTGTGCCCCTTCCCTCATCGACGGGCTGCTGGCTGTCCACGCCTGCGCGATGCGCCTCGCTGCCTAGCCGGCCTGGCCTCCGAGCCTGCGCGGCAGCCATTTTCGGCAGGCTGCGCTTGCGCGTTAGAAGTTTTCGAAGGCGAGGGAGCCGTGCTTGGGGGGGTGGTCAAGGGGGGAGCGCTGCTGGACGGCGCAGGCGCGGGCGCGCGCGCCGAACTCGGACTGCAGGGGTGTAGGCCTCCGCTGAGGGAAGAGCGAGCGAGCGTGAGAGCACCGCGCAGGCGCAGTCCCTCCGGAGGCCTTTCGTTCGCTTAATTCCTCCTCCTCCCCCCTCCCTCCTCCTCCCCCCCCTCATCCGCGGAGCGCGCGCGCCATGGACGTGAAGCGGCTGAAGGTGACGGAGCTGCGGGCCGAGCTCGGGCGGCGAGGCCTGGATTCGCGCGGCTTGAAAGTGGAGCTGGCCCAGCGGCTCCAGGAGGCCTTGGACGCCGAGATGTTGGCGGCCGGGCCTGAGGAGGCCGGGGCGGAGTCGGCAGCCGCGGCGGCGGCCGGGCAGAGCCTCGGCAGGCCCCGCTTGGGAGGCGGCGAAAACAACGAGGGCGGCGGCGGCGACGAAGAAGACGAGGAGGACGAGGAAGAGGACGAGGACGAAGAAGCGCTGCTGGCGGACGAGGAGGAGCAGCAACGGGAGGCGGCGGCGGCGAGTGGCGCCCAGGCCCAGCCCCAGCAGGCCGGCGAGCAGCACGAAGGCCAGGCCCAGGCTCAGCCAGGCGGCAGCGGCGGGGTCAACGGCGCCCAGCGGCCTTCGAAGGAGGAAGGAGGCGGCGGCGGCGGGGTTGGCGAGGAGGCGGCGGGAGAGGCCGCGGCCAAGGAGGGAGCCGAGCAAGAGGGTAAGGCGGGAATCGTGGCGGGGGGGGCGGGCGGAGTGTAACGGTCGCTTCGCATCGCGGCTGTTGGCCGCCGGGCAAAGCTCCTGCCTACGTTCTTGGTGGGCTGCCTCTGGTTTAGGGGACGCATCCGTCGAAGTTCTGCTCAAGAGCCTCCCCGAGCTGAAACGGGCGGACCCAGATTCAGGTCGTGTCGACGCACTCCAGTGGGGCTACTCTTGAGCAGGGCGAGCGTGGGATGCAACCCCCCAGTCCATTGATTTCATGGGCGGAAGCCGTTCCTGAAGTGCACCATTTCGGATCAGTGAACTTAGCAGAAGTTTCAATGGGCCTCCTCAGAGCAGGGTTGACGTCGGATACGGATGAAAGTGCACAGTAAAGCCCCGTGTCTTTATTCGTTTCTCATCAGCATCCTCATTGTTATTGTTACTTATACGTTGTAGTTTTAAGGTTGCATTGCAACCCTGTTCTGCAAACTAGACTCATTGAAATAAATGGCCCCAAGTTAGTAACGTCTGTTAATTTAGCTGGATCTACCCTGCGTATCACTAAAGTTGGATACCACCTTGTGTTTATTCTACCTACGTATTGCCGTCATTATTGCTACCTGTTGGTTGAGAGGTGGCTAACTATGGCATCCTCAATATCTTACCTATTGTATGTTACCACTAATGCTGCTTTTATTTGTTGTAACCCCTGTGTTGTCATTCTTATCCTCGTTGTGAGGCATTCTGAAGGGCAGCTATGCCACAGCACATCCTGTGCATCTTTTACTTGCAATTAACTTGTGTTGGATTGGTGGTGCTAACCTGCAAATTAATGTGCATACGGATGGGATGCACAGGGTTGCAGCTTTAGTGGTGGATAAGCCCTCTTTAAATTGGTGAATCTTGCTTCTGGGTAAAAAATGTATAGGATTTTGGCTGTTGAATTGTATTTTTGTGTGCACTTTACCCAGAAGTAAGCTCCCAATTAACACAATAGGATTAGCTTTTGAGTAAACATGTGTATTGTGGTAGATCTCTAATGGCCCAGTGACTTGTTATTGGTTGTAGAACAAAAGTAAAATATTTGACAGGTTTATTGTGGGCCAACAGGTAAATTCATAACTGCAGAAGATGGTGTTATCACCAATTAACTGCTGTTGTGAATAGCCAGTGTACAATTTATATGCAGTTGACCTAGCATAGAAATGTCACAATTCTACTGTCTCACGAGATTTTCTGTCATTCTAACTCTTTTAGTCATGGTACTGTTTTCTCTCATATATAGCCATTCCTTTATATATATCACTGTAATAGTAACTGAACTCCTATTTCTCCTCTGTTGATACTTGTTTCCATTTTGTTTCTCCTCTTTCCTCCCCCTGAATTGAATATTAAATTGGAAGCTCCTCAGGGCAGGGACCTCTTTTTTGTTATACAGTAAAAATACAGTAGAAGTCAATAGAACTAAATTGTGTGTAAATATTTTTTTTGTAAGAATCCCAGTCAGTGGCAGGCAGTAAGTGGTCCATAAGAAATTAGCTCTTGTGAAGAGGTGTGCACATTAATGGCTTAGTGTAAATAAATAATAATCTATGTTGTGGCTAAATTGTTGTGAGTCAGGAAATATCTAATTTAAATTATGACTGTTGTCCTAATATGTTTGCTGCCCTGTCTCTTTTTCCTTTCCATAAATGGGCATTATACTTTGTCAGGGTTGGTGTAAATAAGGTTATTAAGATATGAGAGACAGTCTTGGAGTAGAGGCGTGTGAGATTGAATTAGGACAAGGGGTTCTTAATCTGTGGCCCATAGACCCCCATGGATGAGCTTGGGGGGGCTATGAACTAGGCACATAAATAGAAGATTTTTATTTCATTTACTTTCTGTTACTTTGAGAATTGTCTTGGGGGGGCAATTTCTGAGGAAGGGGTCAATAGCTTTTAGCACAGGCACCCCCAAACTTGGCCCTCCAGATGTTTTGGAACTACAATTCCCATCATCCCTGACCACTGGTCCTGTTAGCCAGGGATGATGGGAGTTGTAATCCCAAAACATCTGGAGGGCCAAGTTTGGGGGTGCCTGTTTTAGCAGATTCTTAAAGAGATCTGTGGCTCCAAAAAGGCTAAGAACCACTGGACTAGGGGGTCCTTCATTTGAATTTCCACTCGGCCATGAAGCTCAGTGCTGACCTTTAGCTGTTCACTCTCCCAATCTATCCTGCTTAACAGGGCTGTTGTAAGAAAAAAATGTTGGTTGTGTACTCTACCTTCAGCTCCTTAGAGGAGGAGTGGGATGAAAATATGTGTGTGTGTGTGTGTGTGTGTGTGAGAGAGAGAGAGAGAGAGAGAGAGAAGCACTTGTGAGGAGTCTAAATTACTAGATTAAATTCTTAAGGGCTAGTTCCCTATGGACAGGGATCGTTTTGTTTTGCTGGTAAGATTCTTTGCAAAGTTTCATCTATGATGGATTGTGTGTATAAAAGTAATGTTGCAATTATAATTATTATTCAATTTTCTACAGTTGGTAGACAGGAGAGAGAGGCTTGTTTATACAATTTATCAATTTCTGAATGTTTGCCACAAGAAAGTAATTTAGCATAATAAATGCATTATAAATATATTATTCATTTTAAGTGTTCAAATCACTGAACATTAGCATTTTGTGGTTGTGATGTGAAGCTTGTATAAGGATGCCTAAAAGGTGTGATTTGAACTTAGAGCTCGTAAATTGTATTCTCACTGCTTTGGGCCACCAGTTTGCTAAGAAGCCCTAATAAGTACACTGATGTAGTGCCATGGTCTTGGGCCTTGAACTAGAAGTTGCTGAAAGTGTTTTATTCAGTACTGCTGCCAAATGTGTGTTTAGGGGAGAGCACATCAGACTTCTCAGCCTCTGACTGATACTTTTACTTTCTTTCTTTTTTCTGGAATAAACTGTCCTTGATTTTTTTTTAAAAAAAACCTGCTGGTATCCAAGCATAGCTATAAACAGTATTCTCAGTTTGTAAGCAGCTGCAGGTAACCAAAGCATGTTCTCCAGGCTTATTCACATGAAATGCACTAAGGGTAACTTATGTGCATTGTTTGGTTAAGTGGTAAACCCTCTGAAAAATTGGTTTGGAAAACTAGTATTTCAGATTTGTGATGTTTGGCTGTTACCAAGTTCATGAGACCACACGACAGATTCTCAAGAGGAAAACTTTAGTTGCTGCCCTGTCTCTAAAGGTTTGTTTTATTCTTAAGAAAGCTAGGCAGTTCGGCTACAATCTTAAACACTTGCTAGGAAGTAAACCTCATTGACTATAGCTGGGCTTACTTCCTAGGGGAACATTATAGCAATTCCATGTGTGGCTCCTAAGTTGTATGGTTGCTTATTGCTGTTTGCTAGCACTACTTTTGCTACCTGTCTATGGTTGCAAATTGAAATATGCTTTTAAAAAAGGCATGTTATGGTGCATCATTGAAATAGGCTATTCCGAGGTAAATGGTCTTTCTTGTGCCTATTTAGTTCTATGCTGTTTCTTGACAAAGCAATTAACATATTGGGAATAATGCTGATATTTAGCATATGCTTCATTCTCCTTAGAAATTGGAAATACATTGAACCCTGTTTTTGATGAGGAAATTGTGGGGGCGTGGGCCGCTCTGAGTAGCATTTAACATGAAAGGAAGAAATAGGAATTTATCCTTAGGCACACATTACTTAATACCCTCAAGATCTACATGTGGGCTCAGGGTGTGTCACATCTTTGCCGTAAATCTGTTTTGAAGTTCGATTTGCAGTATGAAGTGTCATCCTAGTACTTAACACATGCCTACATCAGTCTTACAGATGTGGCGGCTTTGTTCCTATCTTCTGCATCAGGCATAATGCCACTGAAAGCTTGCAGACCTTATTGATGTAGATGTAAAATAAAACTTACGCTAAAGAACTGGAGGCTTGAGAGAATCAGAAAATGTAAGACTTCTGCCCACAGGCCAAAATGGAAAAATGAAGCATATCACTTTGACTTCCAGGAGCCTCACTAAATCCATGGTTAACTGTTAGCGAAAAAGGAGACACAAGGCTTGTTTATAAAGATTTCCCTTAGGTTGATCACAGGGGATTTAGGCTACCCTAGGAGTCCTAGATAAACACCGTATGTGTGTTTCATTCCAAGGTAAGAGAGGCCAGAAGGGGCTTATACATGCAAGTGTGTTTGCTTTCAACAAATCTCTTTTTTTGTGTGCTTGTGTTTTCTTACAGCAAATGAGGATGATGAGAAAGCAAAGCAGGCTGGACCAGACGGAGAACGCCATGGACTAAAAAGACAGCGGGATGAAAAGGACGAGCACGGCCGTGCTTACTATGAGTTCCGAGAGGAGGCATATAATAGCCGGTGAGATGTGGGTCATTTTGTCCAGGAATTCATGCTAGGTGGCCAATGAAGTTCATACAGAACACTAAACTGTGGGTTTAGTGCTTTGTGAATGAACACAAGCAAAGCATCAATTTCTCTCTGTCACACACACACACTCTCCCCCCATTGCTGGGAGGAGGACTTGGGCAGAGTTCAGTTTCACTTTTGCAAAATTGTGGCTTAGTGTTGTGTTTGAACCAGAGGGTGGTGTCTTTGAAACAAACTCTTGTAAGTATGAAAGTCAAACAACATAGGAACATGGACCATGAACCTGACTTGTTCTGACTACCTAGAGATTGTTTTAATATCTGGTTTGAAAAGAATGCTAAATCAGGAGGAAGGGCAAGCAGATGTGAGAACAAGGTTCCAAGGATTATCATGGTGTTTGTGGTATTGCTTTGTTTTCTTCTACATACCAGTTTTTTACTGGATGCTTTTTTAATGTGACCTTGTTGGCTATTCCTTTATATTCAATATAGATCCAAGTCTCCACCACCACCAGAGGAGGAGGCTAGAGAAGAGGATGATGAGAATACTGTGATCCTGGACACATGTATGTGCTTATTTTGTACGCTATGTGAACTGTGTAATGACAAATTTAAATATAATTTCATAGAAAAGTCAGGTCCGCTGTAGTATAGTAAGGCTGCAACTGAAAGTTTTTGTGTTTTTTGTTTTGTTCATTTTTAAAAAAAAATTTATTAAAAGCAAGATAGCAAGCCTTGCTATAACTCTGATCAGTTTGCCAACCCTAAGTAGTATAGAACCCAAAAGACCTGGGGTTGTATTAAATGTTAGTCATACTCTGAGTAGACTCATTGAATTGAATGGATATTACTAACCCAGATTCATTATTTCAAATTCTTTTAAGTCTTTATCCCATTTCTTCCTTCACTGTATAAGGCAAGGGTTGGGAGAAGCAAAAATGGAAGGTGGGGGAGAAAAGCCATTTACAAGTGATGAATTTAGTCCTCTTACTAGAGTGATCTGTTCCTCCTCCAGTGAGGTGGCAAGCCTGGCCTCCTACCTGTTCAGATTGCTCCCAACATCAGCATGCGATTCTTAATTATTCCTGGAGGGAACGTGTCCTTCCCAACAGGAAAAAAAAATCCCTCCTAGGTTCACTACAATGTACGCCTTTTCTATAACTTAACCTGAGAGGATTTGAGCACTTCAGCAAGAGTGGGGTAACAAGGGGTGATATTTTTAGGAGTTTGGATGTCATTATGAACAAAAGGATTACAGAAAGCCTCAAAATCTGATCACTGATCCACATCCCAGGTGTCTCTTTTGAAATTATTTTGCAGTGCCAGACATCACACACATGTTGGCTTTAAATGCATCCTTTCTTGCTCAGATACGTCCGATCTCCACTTCAGAGCTACCAAGGACCGCTATGGAGGCCAGCCTCTGTTCTCCGAGAAGTTCCCTAATCTGTGGTCTGGGGCAAGAAGTACACATGGAGTGAAAAAGGGGAAGGTCTGCTTTGAGGCAAAGGTAAGGACGTTTCCTCAGGGGAACACATAATCCATGTTGAGCCTTCTTGGAGCTTTCAGCAGCAAGTGTGGTCTGAGCTAGTTAGAGTGATCATTTCAACAGACTGCAGCTTGGAGTTGTTTTTCATTGTGAATGGCATAGTGTAGCACTTGGACCCCTCCAGATCAGTATGAAGTGGACATTTAAGAGTCAATGTTAGTCATATTCAAAGTACGCTCATTGACATTAATAGACATCACTAACCTGGGTCTATTAATTTTTATTGTTGGATACAACTCTTACTGCACAGATCTGTTTTTAAAGTAAGTGGAGTCTCGTTTCTGTGAAGGTTGTTGAGGCACAAGTTAACAAAGTTTATGTTGCCATTCCTTCACTTCCTATTGCTAGTTGGGCCTGCACAACAGCTAATAACGATGACAAAAAGTGTTTTGACCAACTCTTCAGGGCAGATAAATGTATATGTGTATACACAACACGTGTGTGTGTGTGTGAGAGAGAGAGAGAGAGTGTCACATGTTGGATAGGTGAATTTTATCTACAAGGAATTGAGGCTTGAGCTATTGTTGCTAGTTTATTTTAATTTAGGTCACTTTAAGGTTGCCTAATAACAAATGTTGCCTAGGTGATCCACAGTTTTAGAACAAAAATTTATTATTGCAATAAAAAGCAACAAGCTACACAGCAATAGCTGCAAATGTGTCCTTTAAAAACACATAGTATAATCCAGTTGGTGTCATTCCAGTGATCAAAGGCATCCATTAGCAGCCGAGGGGGCAATTTTTGGCAATTCCACTTCCTCCATTCAGGCCCCCCAACCAGATTTGCTCTGGAGGACCCCTAGCCCTCCAACATAAATTGGATTCCAGCCAAGGAACAGAAGAATAAAAATACACTTACCCAGTCAAAGCAGAAGGCAGTAGTATAATGTATAATCAGAACATAATGGTGAATTACATATTTCTTTTCTTTTGGTTGGGGGAAGGTGTTTTGTACTGCAGAAGTTGCCTTAAATGGGATCAGCTGTGAGGGCCAGTTTGACTGGGTCTTCTTGGGCTGATATTTAAATAAAGATCATTGTGTTGTTTTGCAAATGTGCTTGGGTGTATACAGCAACCTTTTCTACAAGCTTCCTAACATTTGTCTCAAATGGGCATCGCCCCTTGATCTGCCTTAGGTGACACAAAACCTCCCGCTGAAGGAAGGGTCCACAGAGAACCAGTTGCTTCGCGTTGGATGGTCTGTTGATCTCTCTCGTTCACAGCTAGGTAAGCAGTACCTCCTTTCCGGCAGCAATGCAGCGCAACTAAGCTGGCGCCGCCTGGGGGAAGAAATCGCAGTTCTCAAGGTGAAGTCACCATAGTAAGTGTTGCTCTCTTCTAGGTGAGGATGAGTTTTCTTATGGCTACGATGGACGAGGGTTGAAGGCTGAAAATGGGCAATTCGAAGACTTTGGTCAGCCCTTTGGGGAGAATGATGTGATCGGTTGCTTTGCTGTAAGTGCAGTGAGCGAGGCCTCGGGCCGGCTCTTGAGGGGCCGCTTCGGTATCTTCGGAGTAGGCCGGGGTAGGGGAAAATGAGGTTCTGTACAGCCAAGGTGTAACTAACAACACAAAGTTAACTCCTGCTCCTTTCCTTGATGCAGTGCCGTTCAGGGGACAACCGTGCACTGCATGTGCCGTCACGAGGTTTGCCTTAATGCTTCTTACTAGAACGTCCCCATAACTGGCTGTGGTGTTCAACCAGGGCAGCTAAAAGCCAGCTTTGCCTTCCATTGCTTTGTCTTCAGGAGGCTATTAGAACATGGCTTTGAAAGCATGTGACAGTGTGAGGAAGGTGTGTGTGTGCCCATTCCACGGGGACTTGCCGGTCACATGCTTGCGCATCCTGTGTTACAGAACTTTGACAGTGAAGAGGTGGAGCTGTCCTTCTCCAAGAATGGGGAGGACCTAGGTGTGGCCTTCCAGATCAACAAGGAGCTGCTCGGCGACCGAGCTCTTCTGCCGCATGTGCTGTGTAAAAACTGTGTCGTGGAGCTGAACTTCGGCCAGAAAGAGGAGCCTTTTTTCCCGGTTCCTGAGGACTTCATCTTCATCCATGCCGTCCCCGTTGAGGATCGAGTGCGCACTCCCCTGCCACCCAAAACCCCTGGAGACTGTGAGGTAATAAAACAGACTTCCATGTTCCAGTTCCTAGAGGGGCTTCTCTAGCGTCCCAATAATACAGTGGTCTGCTGGTGCTGCTGCTTAATCTTTTAACTCTAATGGATAATCTAGTGGCGAAGACACTGTCTTGTACCAAATTCTGGTGAATTAGATCACAGCCACACATTCCATTTAAATCCAATTAAGCCTGCATGGCTTCCCCCAAAGAATCTTGGGAATTGTAGTTTGTTGAAGGGGGTAAGAATTGGAATTTTAAATGTGTGTTGTGGATGTGATCTTAGATAGCTTGTGGTCAAGGTGGGGGAATAATGTGCCTCCAAACCCAGGTAGATAAACCTCCTCTCTCTTCTTTTCCCTAGCTGTAGTCTTTTTTATGTGTTCTATTTCATCCTGTGTTTTCATCAGTCTGGGGGCAGGGCATCTCCCAGGAAGGGGATATGTATTGAAAGGGTCCAGAAAATCGTGTGTTCTAATTGCAGGGCAGGGAGGGTCTTCTCTGTGGTTAGCCCCCTTGCGTTGAAAGGCATTTCAGAGCATAGATGAAATCTTAATGGAGCTTTGGCAACTGCTGTCTTAACAGGGACTTGCATGGCCCAACAGCACAGTTAGCACCAGTTCCCTTTAACTTTTCTAAATTTGTGGGCTTGCTTACTATCTTCCTGCTCCCCATTTTAGGTGCTGCTTATGGTTGGGCTGCCAGGATGCGGGAAAACCCACTGGGCACAGAAGCACATCCAGGAGAATCAAGATAAGCGCTACAACGTCTTGGGAACAGGCATTGTTCTCTGCCAAATGAGGGTAAGAAGTTAGAGGTCACTTTCACTTTTCAGTCTGTGTATACTTCCAGAGGGTGAATCTGAGGTCTCAGCAAATTGGGTGGGGCAATTGCAGATTAAACCTTGACTTGGCCATCTTGCCTTCATAATCATCGATGTAAGCAAAAGCAAGGGTTTTTTGAACTCACTTCTCTGTAGAAGACAGAGTTTTAGAGAAGACAAGAGAGAACCCACAAACAACCCAAGAATGTCAGCAGGGCCGTATGGTGGAGACACCCTGGAATACAGAATTGCCCTGGAATAACATGTCTATTGTCAGTTCCTAAACTCTTAACCGTGTAAAGTAGTGGCTTGTGGTGTGTGTGACATATTTCTCCTTGATTTCTTCTGTCTCCATTCCCCCCCCCCCTTTTTATCAGACAAAGGGCACTGAAGTTGAAGAGGTCCTGGACACTGCAGCTAAAGACCAACTGCTTCAGCAAGCTGCCCGTTGTGTTAGTAAACTGGTCCAGATTGCCCCCAGGACAAAGCGAAACTTCATTCTCGATCAGGTATTTTTACATAAGGGCTGAGGGGGTTTAGTTCCAAGGAGGTAGGCAATGAAGTTAGAAAATCCAAAGTGTTCATACAGTCTCCACGCAAGTTGACAAACAGGATTTCTCTGATGACTGGGTACATGAGAAAGGGTCTTTGTCACAACATTTTAGTGGGCCTGTTCTTCTCCATGTTGTTAGAGGAGAAGGCTTCGCATATGGTGATGGCAGTGACATCCAGAAAACGGTATCAGAACAAAAGAAGCTACTGGGAAGGGCAAATAAAAGCCTTCCATTAAATACATGCTTAGGACGCAGGTGGAGAACATGGGGCCCTTGAGGTGTAGTTGGGACACTCAGCTCCTAACAGCCTCAGCCAAAATGGTCGGCAGTCAGGGGTGATGAGAGTTGTGTTGGCAACATCCATTCCTCACCACTGGTTATGAGGAGGGTACTTTTACAAAAAGCAAGGCAGGGCAAGGCAGGAGATGAGTTCTTAACATTTTGAGTTCTTAACATGTGGAGAGATGAATTAAACTATCACCATACTTTTAGAAGCATTTCCTGCCCCTGACCATAAAGGATGGGTTGACTACTAGAAGTCTGATTATAATTAACGACCGTAATGTTTTGGTTCATTTTCATTCCTGCTCGGCTATGGTTTCAGGGAGCCCCTTAATGACTTTTGGCCATTTCTGAGAGGAGGTGCTCTTGCTATCTTTTAAGACCCGCATGTTTTCTCCCTTTTAGTGTAATGTGTACAATTCTGGACAACGGCGGAAGCTGCTCCCTTTCAAGGGTTTTGTGCGCAAGGTGATTGTGTTGGTTCCCACTGAAGAAGACTGGGAAGATAGGCTGGAGCAGAGGGAGGAAGCTGAAGGAGAAGATGTGCCTGAGTCTGTGATGCTGGAAATGAAAGGTAGCCTCTGCAAAAAGGGTCTGTGGGAACACGAGCGAAGTGGTGGTGTTGGGGCTTCAGGTTTGTTTTCCCTGTTGAAAAGAACTTTCTTCTAATGATTCTGCACTTCCTCTTCCTCCTGCTTCCCTGTGATCCCAGCCAACTTCTCTCTTCCGGAGAAATGTGATTTCATAGATGAAGTCCTGTACCAAGAGCTTGCAAAGGAGGAGGCCCAGCCCCTCGTCACCAAATACAAGGAAGAGGCCAGGAAACTGCTCCCACCCTCCGAAAAGCGGACGAACAGACGTAACAACCGCAACAAACGCAACCGCCAGAACCGCAACCGCGGCCAGGGATATGGTGAGGGTTTGCAAGTAGCAAGGGCTGCTCTCTGGAGGTACTCCTGACACTCTTCATTCATCTTTTTGCTGAGGACAGCTGTGGGCTTCCGGTTCCCCAGGTCCCAAAGGAAATCCCGTGCCTCTCTGAGAGTAGCACTTGCCTCACTCTTGCCCAAAAGACTTCCCCAATTCCTGTTCAGCTCATTCTTGGCTCCTTGTGGGTTTAGCTCTCTCCCTTTGGAGCCTAGGGTACTTGTGAGAAGTTCTGACCATGCATGATAATTGTATGCACACTTAGAGGACTTGGCTGCAGCAATTTTTTTACTAAGATTTTTACTAAGATTTATTTAGATTCATTAAGTCACATCTGCGGGCTTGATGTCTGTTTTAGGGGTCACATTCAGACTAACCTCATGGTGCTTCCTTTGCTCAGCCATCCAGTGACCATTTTTACCAAATGATGTTGGCAGGGGCAGATGGAGGTGTTGGGAGCCCAGCAACATCTGCAGGGCCACAGATTTCCCACCCCTGTCCTAAGCTTTCATCACCTCCCCCTCCCCATTATGTACCAGTCTCATTTCCCCTTCCCCCTTGATTATAAGCCTTGTTTCCACCTTCTGGAGCAACAGCCTGGGACATCTGCTCCCTTAGTTAATTTATCATGTATTATCTCCCACCTTTCCTTTCCAAAAGACGGCTACCAGCAGAGAAGGAGCCAGAGACAAGATTTCTCATTTGGATCACACAGCCACGAGCAATTTTGAAACACCCAAATTCCTTATTCCCTGTCAAGAGTGGTTCATCTTGAGTCTTCCCCCCCCCCCATCCTTTTGCATAGCTGCTTACTGGGCCCCCCACCTGCCCAGCTTCTTTCTGTCTCCCACCTCTGGCTCTATACCAGCTGATCTGTCTCCTGCTACTTAACCCTCTGCTTTGCGCTTCCACTACTTCTCCGTAGCTTCTGCTCAAGCCCATAACAAAAATGTAGCTTCCACAGTAGAGCAGGCGGTCCTTTGTAGTCATTTTGGGGAAGGCTGGAAATCTTGAAAACTCTCACTGAGAGTGTTGTTGTTTTTCTTTTTGGCAGCTCAGCCCAGGCATCCAAGTATGCAGCACCCTCCCGGGCTGCTGTGTGAGTAGCCTAATGCTCTGTGGGAGGTGGGGCAAACATGGGGCGGTGGGGGTGGGAGAAGTGGGGAGGTCACAGTTTACCTTGCTTTGGGGTAGAGGACTGGGAGGAGTTGGATTGGGGCAGTGGGTAGTGATTCAAACACCATTTGCGGAGAAATAGGCACACTTAGCATAAAATGGGTCGTAGTAGTTGTCAGCTTTCTCTCCTTCTCCTCCCACCGTGCCCCCTTGGGAATTTAGGAAAGTGGGGTGAGGTTTGGCTGGCCAGCAAGCTGCAGGAAAAAGCTTTGGCTGATCCTAATGTGTTTGTAAGTGGCAAATGTTCTCTTGCATCTTTGGCCTATGCTTCCTAAAAAAAAAATGAATGCCCCTGAGCTGCCCTGCCTGCCCTGGGCTAAAGTCCTGCTTCTCCACACACAAAAAAGAGAGATGCCAGGTTGACTGTTCAGCACTTCTTAATATTTTCACTTAAGCTGGCACTGCTGTCTGACACATCTTTGTTTTGTTACATTCCCCGCCCCCTCGCCCCCAGCTGGTGGCCAGCGCCGAGGAGGCTACAACAATCGGGCTTATGGGCAGCAGCAACAGCAGCAGCAGCAGCAGTACTGGGGGCAGCCTGGAAACAGAGGTGTAAGTATATCCCTTTGGATTTTCTTTGCCCAAGTTTGATAAGTTAGGTTTGATACTCTTAATCAGGAAGACATAACGGGGCCACTTTCCCCCCTTCCATATTGTGAAATTTCAAGTGATTTCCTCTTAGCGACCTTTGAACCTAGGAAGCTGCCTTAGACAAGAGTCAGACCACTGATCCATCTAGCTCAATATTGTGCTACACTGACTGGCAGTGTATGGGGTTTCAGAGTCCAGCCTTATTCCAAAGATGTCCAGGATTAAACATGGGACCTTTTGCATGCAAAGCAAATCCTCTTCCAGTTGCCCTCTGAAGCCACACTGGGCTCCTGTGGGAGGAAGGGCAATATATAAACAGAATAAAAAAATAATAAAGTAAGTGTGGCTGGCCCCGCACCTATCAGCCCTGGCCAGTGTGTCCAATAGCCAGGAATGATGGGAGTTGAAGTCTAGCAACTCCAGGAAGGCCAGAGGTTAGCCACTTTTCCTTGAACAGGCTATATGGTAAGGGGCAGTGCCAGGTATATGTCTCTGCATCTAATCTGCTCCTTTAATCCACAGGGATATCGTAACTTCTACGAGCGATACAGGGGGGACTACAATCGGTTCTACGGGCGTGATTATGAGTACAACAGATACAGAGACTACTACAGAGACTACAACCGAGAGGTAAGAGGCTGCATACCATGAGTTGTATCCAATGTTAGTCCTACGAAAAATAGACCTATTGAAATGAATGGACACGGCTAACTTAGGTCAGAGGGCCTGCTCTGACAGAAGCTAGTTGGACACAGTCCCATGCTTTTAGAATAGTGGTTTTTGCACTTCGCTGTCTCTGCTCCTGGAGACAACTACTGCTGGAACTCTCATCTGCTTTGATTCCTGCAGTGTTGCATCTAAAGGCCTTCCAGACCACAAAAGCTCTGGGTACAAGAAGTCTTGGTTCCAGAATTTATTAAGAGAAACTTTTGACTTTGACTAGAGTAAAGAAAGGGGTTGGAGGGTGAGAAGTAGGTAATTGATGTAGGGAACCTCAGTTCCTAATCCACCTCTGCTTTCAAAGCAACAACATGGCACTATTTAAAATCACCGCTTCAGTTCCCCACCTCTACAATAGGACTGTTTATCTTAGATTATCCATTATTTGTGTACTCCAACCTTGCCCAAACCAGGTGCCCCCCAGAGTCCAAAGCCTTTGGAGGGCACCAGTGCATTCACTCCATCAGCACGTAAATAACATGAATGGTGTCCAACCTGTTTTTTGTAGGAGATGAGAGGCCCTTTGCTCTTGAGCACACTCATACCCTACTAGCAGCATAATAACAGCTCTCATTGTCCTTTTTTTTTAGTGGCAGAACTACTACCAAGACAGAGACCGATACTACAGGAACTACTATGGGGGATACCAGGGGTACCGGTGAAACCCCAACCATCTCCACCCTTCAGCCAACCAGCGAGGCTCTATTTGGGGGGCAGGGGGGTGTCTGTCACTTCCCAAGACACAACATAATGGATGTGGGGCTGTTGGGGAAAGTGGCAGCAGGGTTGAGGGGGGCGGGAGGGGGAGGTTAAAAAAAAAAAAGAAATTGTAAATTTTTTTTAAAGTTTGTTGAAAAGAATATTGTCTTATTCTATAAAAAAAACAAAAAAAAACATTTCAAACCTAGTTTAGACATTTGTAATCAAAACGTTTGCGCAAACAGGAGAGCAGCACTTAGCGCTGCCTGTGATTGGGCAGGAAAACATGACATCATAGAGCAGCTGGACGGGAAGGGAGGTGCAGGGATCACATGGCAAAGGGGGAGGCGCAAATGAGGGCATGCAGGGATAAGCGGGTGGCTGTTTGGGCGGAGGGAAGGGGACGGGATACAACTTTTGGCTTCTCCTAACTCGTACAGAAAAACCGCACTTCCTGAGCATTGTCACTCTGTTTTTCCAGGCCAGGGTGGCGGCGGCATGAATGTTCTTCCTTCTAGTTGAACCAAGGAAACCTTTCCCCATCCTGTAGCCACCAAGAGCGAACAAGAGAGGTCTTGATGTTCCTCTTTCAGAGTTCGGCCTACGTTTTCAGACAGTGAATTGCCAGGAGGCTTGTTTGACCTCGTGTCGCTCAGGCCACAGAGGCTTTTCTTGAGCTTTCTCCCTTTTCTGCAGGCGCCTCACCTTGAAATCTCAGCGGCTTGCTTATTTGTGACCCATCAGACGAAAGGAAGTGCAGGAGTTTAGTTCGCCCCGTTCCCAAGTTCTTCCCGGGTCAAAGCAAGCTGCCTTGGGTGCCCTTCCTGCACCCTCCTTCCTTTCCTCCCAAGGCTTAGTTGGCCCTCTCATCATCTCTATAGTATCTGTCCTCTTTTTTTCTTTTTCTTCTTAAGTGGAGTGGAAAGAACATTTTTCTCAGGGTTTCTGCAGGATCTTCTCATTGTTAGCACCTAACATGTATATAAGCAAAACTGCAAGCATGTAACTGTCACCTTTTGAGAAGCTTAGTGCTGAGAATACCAACTGGTTTTATACAGTCATTGTGGGGGAAGGGGGGTGTTCTGTCCTTGTGGTTTTGATAAACTGGTAGCCTGTGTAAATAGGAACATGGGGAGGGGCAAAGAGGATCTGCGCTTGTGGGGTGGGTGGGGTGACAGGTGTGTGTATATGTGTGTGTGTGTCCTTGAAAAATGTTGGCTTCTTGATCCTGGCCCTTTGATGAAGCTTAATTATTTTTCCAGTTCCTAGAGGCTTCTATTGATGCTTCCACTTTTCTTTTTCCTTTTTTTAACCACACTAGTGTGCCTAGCTATAATTCTTAAAGCATCCTCTTCCATGTTTGTCCAGTCGTGCAGATGGAAGAAAATCTTAGGCTTCTTGGGTCTAGTGGCTGGTGTTCTTTCCGGGATATGGGTGGGAATTTATGTGTGTTGCAGGGGGACCTATTCCCCATCCTGTGGGTTGATTTATTTTGCTTCATCGTAGGCTTTCTTCCACAGAACGATGGGGGACTTTTTACAACAGGATGTTCTTCCTTAAGACACATTGTGTAAATGCTCCCTAGTTTCTTGGTACCACCTTTTTCCAGCTTGACTAAATTATGTCTGATTCCCAGACACAGGGATTGAAGATTTGCCTCTGTTCCTTGTGATTCACTGTTTGAAATTTTAACACTTGTTTTTCTTTTTAGATTGTTGGGTTTAAATTTATTTTGTTTTGTTTTTTGGCTACACAAGAATTCTCTTTCCAGCCTTTGCAAACGGTTCTTGTCTCCATCCCCATTAAGAATGCTCATTCCTGCATCCCAGCCTGACAGAACAGAAGTGGGGAGCCTGCCAAGTCATTTGAAAAGGGGGCTGATGTGGGGTGGGGAGGGAGTGTGGAAGGCAACAGCCACCTCCTCGCCCTCTTGCCTTTTTTCAAGTATAGGAGTTAGAGAGAAGCAGGATTCTTCTATCTCCGTGCATGTGTGTATTCAGAATGTGTGGTTGTGTGACAACTGTTTTTATAACAAAGTTAACTGGTATTTTACATGCTTCAGGCCACTAGAAAATATTCTTCCGGGGAAGAAGGGGTTGTGTGTGAGAGAGAGTGCGCACGCAGATAGCTTCATTAACTGAACACTCGCATGGGAGCGTGATAGATTGATGCTGTGGAAAGTTGGTCTTGGGCGTGATTACCAGCATACAGCAGAGTGCCAGCAGCCTTGATGAAAGCAAGAAGGTCCTCGGTCACGCCTCTCCAGGGGATCACTTCGAGAAGTTGCTGATGCTGTTCAGTGGAATAGCTTTTTGGAGCTATGGTCCTTTTAAAAAGTAGAATCTCAAAAAATGACACACACTTGTCTTCCTGTGTGTGTTTTTGTGTGGGGGGAGGGAATGACTAAAACTGCTGCATCCTAGACCATCAGACTGAGAGATCTTAGCAACTTTAGTAGATGTCTTCTTTTTTCTGCACATTTTTGTAAAAAAAAAAAGGAAAGGAAAAAAAAAGAAATGGTAAAAATGACAAAAAATAGAAAAAAAAATTCAGCCTGTTTAAAATCTGTTAGTGTTTTTCATGATTGTATGTCTTAGTTGCTGTAGATGGAAAGCTCAAGCGAAACGGAGGCTGTAAATGTTTTTACGAACTGTAAAACGTTTAAGTGGCCAGTAAAAAAGGGTTTTGCCATTGAACATGTAACTGTGTGGTTGTTTACATCTGTAACTTTCTTTCCTTAACAATTCTGGCATATGTAGGTTGAAAAACTTCCATTTTTAGAATAAATAATCATTCGCTTGACTCCACATCCTTCTGTTGCTGCGCTGACTTCTTAGGTGTCGTTGTTTAATGCTTTTGGCTTGTCTGTTCTCTCTCCCTCCCCCAAAAATAAAAAACTCAAAGACCAAAGCAATTTGAGGTTCCTCTTCATTCAGGTGAAAGCATATGGATACAGTCTGTGGCAGCCTTGTGCAACCTGGTGTTCACCAGATATTTTGGAGTACTCGCAATTGCTAACCACTGACCATGATAGTTGGGGCTAATGACAGTAAAATAACAATGGGAGTGTGCAAAGTGTGAAAGGCTGTTTCACATATCTTTTTGTGGGTGCTGCAAAATAAGCCATTGGTGAAGATAGGATTTCAAAACAGCGGTTTTACACCCCAGCCCTTTGTGTAAACGAATTGAAATACAGTGGTGCCTCGCAAGACGAAATTAATGCGTTCCGCGAGTATCTTCGTCCAGCGGTTTTTCGTCTTGCGAAGCAACCCTATTAGCGGATTAGCGCTATTAGCGGTTTAGCGGCTATTAAAGGCTTAGCGGCTTAGCGGATTAGCTGCTAAAAGGCTATTAAAGGCTTAGCGGCTTAGAAGGGGGGGGAGCAAAAAAAAAATCTCAAGACTCGCAAGACATTTTCGTCTTGCGAAGCAAGCCCACAGGGAAATTCGTCCTGCGAAGCGCATTGAAAACGGAAAACCCTTTCGTCTAGCGGGTTTTCCGTCTTGGGAGGCATTCGTCTTGCGGGGCACCGCTGTAGTATTTAGTGGAGCAGTTTATCAGCACAGACTGCAGTGAGGAGAGAAGCAATGTATAGTATTTAGGCTCACATAATGGGGAGGGGGGTTTGCCAGGTTGCATTAACACCAGATATACTGCTCTGCCCTTTGTGTGTTAAGTCTGAGTTTCATAATCTTTTAATAAAAGTGCTTTGTCATTTTAAAGGTGGTAACAGTATGGGATAAGGAATCTGCATGTGCTCAACACCTGTTATAGACTACAGTTCTGCTTTCACTTTACAGAGGGTGAAAGGTGACTTGCACATGTTTCGACCAGCTGGTATTCAGATCTAGTTGTTTTTTAAAAGATGGTTTCCTGTGCAAACACACACACACACAAATACTTTATCTATGGGCTCTCAATTTTCTAAATACTTTCCCCTTCAAAGCTGTTTGGACCCTGTATCTGCAAAAAGATTTTTTTTGTTCCAAGGAGCAACAGTTGAAGAGCTAGTTGGTGACTAGCAACTCTTGGACCTTTGGCCTCATCTAAAGGGCAATTTTGTATTACATGCTTATCTTTCTTTCTCTAGGGCCATGACCCCTAATCACCCCATCCTGTCTACCTTTACAACAACCCTTTGAGGTAGAGCTGAGAGATGTACAAGACTCATCTAGTTCGCTTCCTTGCAGGGGGGATCTGAACATTTTTGGGGCCGGAATAACCTTTACCAGGAGGTTCAGGCCCAATTAAGCCTGTGGTAAACTTCTTTCTTCCCTAATTTTTTTTTTAAACTTCCCATGCCAGCCTTGAAAAAATGCAAAGGACAGCAGGCACCGCATTCAAAATAGGTTGTCATTTCAAGAAACATTTAACAAACCAATGCTATGGAAGTTAATAATGCAGCAGCAAGGTACACAATAAATGCGATTAAATAGCAATTAAATTAGAGTGAAGTGGCTTTCAAGCTCGCCTGAGGCAAAAGTTCTGTGGAAGTGGAAAGCTGCCATTGCCTGTCTGAAAATTAGCCTCGAGCTCTTGTCGAGTCTTAAATCCTAACGCCGCCATATCGGATGCTGGCGCTGAGCTTGACTTAAGAAGGCCTCATGTTGCTTTGGCGGGCCCTTCAGTGATGTTCTTGAGAAGCGGGAGTTGCCGCCATCGTGGGTGCTGGCGCTGAGGTTGCCCCGGACGCCGCCATCTTAGCTCGCGGGAATTTTGGCTAGGAGACCTGCAGAAGAGAATTTTCATAAATGGTTTTAAACTGTATTTAATGTTTTGCTTTCATTGTAACCCGCTCTGGAACCTTAGGGTGAGGGGCGGAGGCTTATGATTAATCAATCAATAATAGTTTTATTATTACTTTCAGTTATATTTTATAATACAAGGACGAGCAGAATAAAAAAAAACTAGGAAGCGCCATCTTGTTACTCTAGACTCCAACTCCCATAATCCCTGACCGCTGGCCCTCTTGGCTGGGGCTGATGGGAGTCGCAGTCCTAACGGCTCACAGGCTCTTTCCCTCCCCCTCTATTTTTTTCCTTCTTTTCGTATCTCTATGGGCTCATTTTCATTCTAGCGGAGCGGGGCCATGGTGGGTCGTTACGCCTTCCTCCGCCATGTTGGGTGCTGGCGCTGAGGCCACCTAGGGCGGCGCCATGTTAGGATTGGCTTCCGTCTCCTCTCCTTTTGCCGCTACTTCTGCTGCTGCTGCTTCTGCACATGGCGGGGACCGAGAGCGCGGCGACCCCTGGGAGCTTGCTGAATGGAGGCGGAGGTGGGGACGGGCCAGAGGAGAAGCGGCCCCGGCTTGGGGCGGCCCCAGCTCCCTCCGGGTCTGGGCCCCAGGGGAACCGCGTGACGGTGGTGCTGGGGGCGCAGTGGGGGGACGAGGGGAAAGGCAAGGTGGTCGACCTCCTCAGCCTCGACGCGGACCTCGTCTGCAGGTGCCAGGTGAGACGCGAGAAGAGAGCCTGCGAGGGCAATGGGGGTGGGGGGTGTTGGGGGTCTTGCTTCGGACAGGGGTGGCAAGCCTGGGGCTCGCCAGGTGTTGTTGGACTCCAACTCCCATCAGCCCCAGCCAGCAACGCCAGCGGTTGGGGATGACGGGAGCTGGAGTCCAGCAACACCTGGAGGGACGCAGCTTTCCCTCCACGACCCTGGTTTAGGATCCTAAAGTTGGATGGAGGGTCCTCAGAAGTGATCTGGGGCAGATCCACACACTATACATTTAAAGCACACACCCAATGAAAATCCTGGGGACTGTTTTTGTTTAAGGGTGCTGGGGATTGTAGCTCTTTGAGGGGTAAACTACAGTTCCCAGGATTCGTTTAATGAGCTTAAAACGATCTGCCTGAAGCATTCCTGATAGGTGGACACCCGGTTTCTGCCATGAAGGATAGACCACCACTTTCCAAGGCTTTGTAATGTCAGGAAGTTCTCCCTAAAGTTTAGTTCAAATGTCCTTTCTTGTAATTTGAACCTGGTCTCACTCCAGGGGTGGGGAACCTTTGGCCCTCCAGATGCTGTTAACAAACAGGACCCATTACTGTTGGCTGTGCTGAATGGGGCTGATGGGAGCTGTGGTTCAGCAACATCTGGAGAGCCAAAGGTTGTCTGCCTTATCCTAGAGCAGGGACACTGGACTCTTTCCTATCAGACTCAGCCAACATAATCAGTTGTCACAGGTTCTGGGAGCTGTAGTCCAGCAGTACATGTAGAGCCGCAGGTTTCTCATCCCTAACTTTGGAGCAGTAGAAAATCAGTTTGGTCCATCTATGTTGTGATAGCCCTTCAAAACCCTGAAATATTTCTATTTCATTTTGCTACCAAAATAAACAAATCTCCCTCCTATAACAACATAACCCAGTTCTGTTCTGTTGCGGTTTGTGTGTGTGTTTCTGTAAGCATTTATAGATCACTTTTCAAAAAACATACTCTTCAAAAGTGGATTGTTTAGTTGCCTCCCAATTAACCATACCCTATAGGCTGTTAACAAATTTAAAACATCGCCAATTAAGTTTTGCTGTTTTGTGTAACAATGTGTGTCTCTGCAGGGTGGCAACAATGCAGGCCATACTGTTGTGGTGGATTCGGTTGAATACGATTTCCACCTTTTGCCCAGTGGGGTTATCAACCACAATGCCACGTCGTTCATTGGTAAGGATTCTTGTGTGCTTGCCACGATTGTGACAGGCAGCCAAATCAGGTGCAGTGAGGGGGCAGATTTGGGGATGTGTGTTCAAATCCCTGCTGTGACCAAATGTGTGGCTTCTGACCCTGCATAGACTCTTTCCCTTCCCCGCAATGGATATTCTCCTTCTGCAGTTTCACCTGTTTCTCTTTGTGTCCCTAGACAGGGATTTCCCCCCAGAACCCTACCCTTCTTTCCACTTGAGTGCTTGGGGTTCGGATTATGTGTATTTAAAAGTTGCTGGACACCACTCAGCATGGGAGACTGAACCAGCATAAAGTATAGCCCTATCTGGGAGAGAGATGGGAAGGGGGTGGCTCTGTTGTTCTTTGTGGGACACTGTATTGCTCTAGATCAATTTGGGTTCCCAAACTGTGGTCTGCAAGCTTCATTCAGGTAGCCGGTGGCATTTGTGTGTATTTGTGGCTGAAGAAAGGAGACGGCACATCTATCACGTTAGATACTCATATTGGGGGGAATTCAAAATAGCGCTAAGGAGATCACTCTGTCAGTGCTATGTTTTTATCTTCAGGAGAACATTTTGTTTTCCTGTCCATTGTGCTTTTTTTAAGTGTGTATTTTACATTTGACCTGGGCCTGAAATGTTTAATTTGGGTATTTTGTAATGCTTTATTTGTCGGTTTAATTTCGGTTGTAAAACTGCCTTGAGATTTTCAAATGAATCGAGAGGCATATGAACCGTTTAAGTAAATAAATGAGAGGTTGTCTTCCCTTTCAGGGAACGGTGTTGTCATCCACTTGCCAGGACTCTTTGAGGAAGCTGAGAAGAATCTTAAGAAAGGGTCAGGTGAGTGACACCCCCCACACAACAACGTGAGATTCTCCACGCCTGATCTAAAGAAGGGAAATGAAAAGGAAAAAGTGTGTGTGCATCGTGCTGCATGGCTAGGGTACAGCCCACACCTTTGTCCCTTTTATATGTGGCTTTCCATTGTGGACTAATGGAAAGTCCACTAATAGCAAGCCCTGTTGAGCTAAGAGATGGAAATGTTTAAAAGCCACAAGTGTTCTGTTTCCACAGGGCTAGAAGGCTGGGAGTCTCGGACGGTGATTTCTGACCGTGCTCATCTGGGTGAGTGTCCTGGGAGAAATTTGGTGGTGGGAGTGAAATAACAGTTAGAAAGAGACCGACATATTTGTCATCTTGCGTCTTCCTCAGTGTTCAACTTCCACCAGGCTGTGGATGGAATCCAGGAACAGCAAAGGCAGCTGCAGGGTGGCAAGAAGTAAGTGGGGTGCTGGGGGTGTGGCTCAGTGGCGTAGCATCGGTTGCTGGGGCCCAGGGTAGGCATGGGCATGCATGTTGGGCAAGGGGTGCACAGTCTTTTTCTGTCTCTGTGGGCGCTCTGTCCTTTAGGGCAGGACTGCAGATCCTTTGGCCTCCAACTTCCATCAACACTAGGCAACACAGCTCATAGTCAGGGATAATGGGAGTTGTAGTCCCATAAGCCTAAGGCATCAATGCCAATAGCCAGGGCTGATGGGAGTTGGAGTCCAGCAACATCTGCAGGACCACAGGTCCCCCATCCTTGCTTTAAATAAACAGTGACCCTTTGCCACACTGGTATTTGGTAATAGTGCTGTTGCAAAGGTCTCTTGTTATTGCATATGCATTTGAGCTTTACCACAGATCTAGCATGGGCTTGAGACTATGAAACTTGCCTATTTATTTATTTAAAGCAGCGTTACCCTGCTTTTCAGCTAAAAGGGCCCCCAGAGTAGTTTTACAGATCCAATTGAAAAAAGACAGTCCCTGCTCTCATCTTGCAATCTGAAAGACAAAACATGAAAGGAAAAGAGCTTGGGAGGAAGGAAAGCAAACTCAATACATTATTTCTTAGTTACGGAGTTCCTATAATGACCAGCTGGAAAGGAAAGATTTCAAGACAGGTAGAGTCAAAAGTCGCTGGTCTTTCAGAGCAGAGGCCCTGAAGTCCCATCTCTCATCCTCTCCTGTAGCTTGATGTTAGTGGAGGCTGGTCCATTAAGGCATATGGGGTGCTGCCCCACCGACCTGTCTGCCCCCAGCCAACCCTCTGTTCTTACCTAAAACCAGGCCGGGGGGCGGGACCACCTATCAGGTTCCTCCTCCTCCTGAGTCTCCACATTGCCCCTTGTAAAACTCAGCAGGGAGGAAGAGAAAGATGGGGGACAAAACTAGAATTAGCTGGTGCTGCCTTTTGCTAGCTCTGGCTCCACCTGTCATCGGTTGTGGTTCCAGTCACTGTTTAGCCTCCCTGCCTTCCGCACATTAAATGTGTGATGTGTATGTGACAAAAACTGTTCATGAGCCCCCCTAAAAGGCTGGCTTAAAGGGGAAAAGGCAAGGAGTAGCTGCAAAATCTGAAGGAGGGACACACTCAAAACAGGAAATCCCTTTTACTCTCAAAGAAAATAGGAAAAAGGCCAGTTGAGCTCTAAAGCAAATATTTACCAGCAAAACTGAAGCTATATAAAAGTAAAATTAAGCACAGGAGGTGCAGATGTGAGCTGTAACAACTGAGGTGCCATCTCATTTTTATCCATCTACGTCTCCCCATTTTCCTGATTCAATCTTTTCACTTGTCACCTTCTCTTTGCTCACTGAGATTCAGCTTTGTACTGACAAATGACAAGCCTGGTGGTAGAAACCTGCAGGAATCGTTTTCCGTTGTTTTGGGGACTGAGGTATTCTTGAGCATCATGAAGGTCATTCAGACCTTCTGTGCCCAAGGAGAAACAGATCATGTATTCTTCCCAGTGGTACATGATCTCAGCTCAACTAAGGCCTAGTCAGCATTTCTTCTTCCCCCATTCCGGAGCCTACACAGTCATAGACATTTCTTCCCTCAGAACAAGGCATCCCAGGCCTGTTTAAACCTTGAAGCAGAGTTCCTTGACCAAAGTTTGCTTCCATTTTGCTCCATAGAAATCTGCTGCTCCCTCATCTTCAATACACAGCTCTCTCCCAACCCCAGATAAGCTGAGCCAACTGTTATAAAATGCAAACATACACACAGGAACATGGGGAACTGTCTCTAGCTGAGAATTGCCTTCACTGACAGTGGGAGCAACTGTCCAGGATTTCAGGCAGATGCTTTGCCGCTGAGCTATAGTCCTCCCCAATGTTTGCACATGGAATGCCATGTTCTCCCGTACAAAACCCACACTCTTCATCGGAGGTCGCCAACGTGTGTCCTCCAGTACCTCTTGTGGCATCCACAAAATGTCTCTGTAAATATCCCCTCTAAAATCCACAACATTCGAGAGACATTTTGCCCTTACTGTTCAGTTCCTGTTTGTAGTGGCTCAGTCTCCCCTACATAGAACATCTCCTACCCTTAAACATCCCCACATTTCATTGTATGCCATTCTGAATAAAGGAGAGGTGCAAAGAGCTTCTGTCTTTGTATGAGTGTGGCTATTGTAGCTGCATTTTTCCTATGAATGGGAGGCGTGCCTACACAGGTTTGCTGCCCTGTTCCTTTTTCGGCCACACCCCACAGCAGCCATTTTGCGTGATGCCACACTTCCACGGCAGCCATTTTGTGTTACGCCACATGCCCACAGCAGCCATTTTGTGTTATGCCAAACCCTGTGGCAGCTATTTTACATTATGCCACATTTTGTGACTGGCACCAATGGCACTCTCTCAAAATCCCAAATGCGCCCACTGGCCCAGAAAGGTTGGCGACTCCTGCAGTCTTCAGGCACAGCCAGGGATGCCGCACACAAAGCCCCCATCAGCACAAAGATAAACAATGATGTTGAGAAACAAATTGGCTCCTAATGTATATTTACAAAATCAAAGTTAGAACTGGTCACAATAGGGAGGGGGCGGTTCATTCTTGCGGCTTATACTGGTTGCTCCTGTGAAAAGTATTGTGCCCCTCTGGTTACTTTTTTTTCAGCCTTGGCACCACCAAGAAAGGGATTGGTCCAGCCTACTCCTCCAAGGCCTCCCGAACCGGCCTGCGCATCTGTGACCTCCTGGCGGATTTTAACGAGTTTTCCAAGAAGTGAGTTGATGGGTGGAAAAGATTATTTTTAGGCATCATTGTAAATTACCGGTGAGGATTGCTTAACTGCGTCGTAAATCCGCTGAGAAGTTTTCATTTGTCTATTGTCTTTAAGTTGTTCTAAATTGTTTTAAATATTGTTTTCAATCGTAAAATAATGGCAAGGCAGTGTACGGCCTACAGCATGTTGTTTTTGGTGTTATAAGCCACCTCGAGCATGGTTTAATGTTGGAAAGGTAGCTTGCAAATAAATGACAATGGCGATCGGTGGGGAGTGCAACTGACTCAGCAGCAATCTCTCTCCCTCTCTTAGATTCAGGGTCCTGGCCCAGCAGTACAAAACAACATACCCAGCTCTCAACATTGACACGGAGGCTGAGCTGCAGCAATTGAAGGTGATTATTGGGGTGGGGGTAGGTCCGTGACTACTGGGAAAGCCTGCCTGCAGTGATTCATGATTATTGCATTGGGCTCTACATGGAGCTACCCTTAAACCTGGTCCAAAAGCTCCATCTCATGCAAAATATTGCAGCTAGACTGACAGCGTATTGACTCAGTTGCTTAAAAGCTTGCCCTGGCTGCCTGTGTGTTACTGAGCCAGGTTAACCTACAAGGCGCTTAGTAGCTTGGGTCTAAGATATCTTAAGGACCACCTGACCCCTTATATCCTGACCTGATGACTGAGGTCTCTGGGGTTGTCTCTGTTGGTGCACCCCCTGTGGCTTACAGGCACTGCTTGTAACTACTAGAAGCTGTGCCATCAATGCAATGGGCCCAAACCTGTGGAACTCCCTCCCTATAGAGATTAGGCAGGCACCATCCTTGCTGAGTGTTGGGTGCATGACTCAGACTTTGTTAGACTTAGACCAGGGGTCAGCAAACGTTTTCAGCAGGGGGCCGGTCCACTCTCCCTCAGACCTTGTAGGCAGCAGGAGTATATTTTTGGGGGAAAATATGAACAAATTCCTATGCCCCACAAATAACCCAGAGGTGCATTTTAAATAAAAGGACATATTCTATTCCTGTAAAAACACGCTGATTCCCGGACTGTCTGCGGGCTGGATTTAGAAGGTGATTGGGCCGGATCCGGCCCCTGGGCCTTAGTTTGCCTACCCATGACTTAAACTTTCTTGGACTGAGCCCAAAACTGCAACTCATTTTTTAAAAATCAAAACCCGACAGATTTATGCCGAGAGAATCCGCCCACTGGTGAAGGACGGTGTTTATTTCATGTACAAAGCCCTGCATGGCCCACCCAAGAAGATCTTGGTCGAAGGAGCAAACGCTGCACTCTTAGACATCGATTTTGGTAAGCATCCTCATTTTAACACTTGGAATGCAGGAGACCCTTTATTCCCCTCACAGCGGTGGCATAGCCTGCGGGGGTGGGAAGGATGGCACCAGGGCGGTTGCCGCAGGTGCAAAATTGTTAGGGGGTGCAAAATTTCAGCACCTAGTGCTGCCTCAATACAACTGTGTGCTTCCATCGCTGGGCTCCATTGGAAACGGCTTCTCTGTGCGAACCAGGAAGTGACCTCTCCAGACAATGAAATGACTCTTCTTTTCTTATCTCTGCAGCTGTTGGTGATACAAACGCTGTTAGGCAGGCATACTCCATTTCCCTCCCACCCACCGCCTTGGTGTAGCCCCGGGCACTGGCAACCCACACTATGCCAGTGCCTCGCAGAGCTATGATTCCCAGAGGTCCCCAGGAAGAGGGGTTGCTCGTTAAATTGTGAGGAAATAGGGGCTTCCTAACAACTCTCAGCACCCTTAAAAACCACAACTCCCAGAATTATTTTGGGGGAACTTGTTGTTGTTGTTTAGTCATTTAGTCGTGTCCGCCTCTTTGTGACCCCATGGACCAGAGCACGCCAGGCACTCCTGTCTTCCACTGCCTCCCGCAGTTTGGTCAGACTCATATTGGTAGCTTCGAGAACACTATCCAACCATCTCGTCCTTCTCCTTGTGCCCTCTATCTTTCCCAACATCAGGGTCTTTTCCAGGGAGTCTTCTCTTCTCATGAGATGGCCAAAGTACTGGAGTCTCAGCTTCAGGATCTGTCCTCCCAGTGAGCACTCAGGGCTGAATTCCTTCAGAATGGATAGGTTTGATCTTCTTGCAGTCCATGGGACTCTCAAGAGTCTCCTCCAGCACCAGAATTCAGAAGCATCAATTCTTCGGCGATCAGCCTTCTTTATGGTCCAGCTCTCACTTCCATACATCACTACTGGGAAAACCGTAGCTTTTACTATACAGACCTTTGTTGGCAAGGTGATGTCTCTTGGGGAACTATAGTGCTTTAAATGTATGTTGCAAAAGTGGCATTCATTGGAGACAATGCGCAGGTTCTGTGCACTGCTTACAGGCCGCAATTGGCTCAGCGACGTTGTGAAGATTCTCCTCTCCCCATTAGGTACCTACCCATTTGTGACATCCTCCAATTGCACCGTGGGAGGGGTCTGCACCGGCCTCGGCATCCCCCCACATTACATCGGCAAGGTGTACGGCGTGGTGAAGGCCTACACCACCCGTGTCGGAGTTGGGACCTTCCCCACCGAACAGGACAATGTGAGTCTTTCCCTGAGGGGCTGTGGGGGGCAGAACAGGAGTGAGACTTTGCAGCGGAAGGGGAGACTGGGTTACCCACGAGTGGTTTGATGACTCGGCTTTTCTGCCGTCTTCCAGGAGATCGGCGAGGAGCTGCAGTCGCGGGGGCGAGAATTTGGCGTCACCACAGGCCGGAAGCGCCGTTGCGGCTGGCTGGACCTTGTGCTGGTGAAATACGCCCACATGATCAATGGATTTAGCGCGTAAGCCTCTCTTTCTCAACACTAGAACTCGGGGACACCCAGCAAAGCTAAACGTTGGAAGTTTCAGGACAAATAAAACAAAGCTTTTCTTCATATAGGTAAAGGGACCCCTCACCATTGGGTCCAGTCGTGACCGACTCTAGGGTTGCGGCGCTCATCTCGCTTTATTGGCCGAGGGAGCCGGCGTACAGCTTCTGAGTCATGTGGCCAGCATGACTAAGCCGCTTCTGGCGAACCAGAGCAGCGCACAGAAACGCCGTTTACCTTCCCGCCGGAGCAGTACCTATTTATCTACTTGCACTTTGACGTGCTTTCGAACTGCTAGGTTGGCAGGAGCAGGGACTGAAGAACAGGAGCTCACCCTGTCGCGGGGATTCAAACCAAACCGCCGACCTTCTGATCGGCAAGTCCTAGGCTCTGTGGTTTAACCCACAGCGCAACCCACGTCCCTCTTCTTCATATAGCGCATGATTAAACTATGGAACTCACTGCCTCAGGAGGCAATGATGGCTACCAGCTTGGATGGCTTTAAAACAGGATATCGCCCAGCCCTGGTTCTAGAGGAGTTTATACTTTTTGTAGTGTGTCACTGGAATCCAAAACTGAAGAAGCTCATTTTAAGGTGCACGTGAGTAGCCTGTTGGACACACGTGGTCCTCTGATGCCTTCGGTATGACCGCCAGATTCTTGCCCCCACCCCACGCACCATTCGCACAGCGAGGGTCGAACGCCTAACACATCCATGTGTGCTAATGGCTATGTGTGAATGACCCAACTTCCACCCCGGTCCCCGCCCATAGCCACACAGCCCCCTGGCCTTCCACCCATATGGGGCTTTCAGTGACAAAACAGGCATTGCCTGCCCCTGTTGTGATTGGAAAGCTGTTCATAACCCTGTAACCGTTGCCCTCTGCTCTGCTCCACAGCCTAGCTGTGACCAAGCTGGACATCCTGGACACCTTTGAGGAGATCAAAGTGGGCGTGGAGTACCGGCTGAATGAGAAACGCATTCCTTATTTCCCAGGTGATGCTGTGGGCCTAGCCCAGGGGTCAGCAAACATTTTCAGCAGGGGGCCGGTCCACTCTCCCTCAGACCTTGTGGAGGACCGGACTATATTTTGAAAAAAATATATGAATGAATTCCTATGCCCCACAAATAACCCAGAGATGCATTTTAAATAAAAGGACGCATTCTCCTCATGTAAAAATACGCTGATTCCCGGACCGTCTGCGGGCCGGATTGAGAAGGCGATTGGGCCGCATCTGGCCCACGGGCCTTAGGTTGCCTACCCATGGCCTAGCCTGTAGGCCAGTCAGCAATGGGAGGGAGGCTGTTTTAGCCTTCACAGTTTAGGCCTCAAACAGGGGACCTGCAGTCCTTCAGATGTAGCTGGACTCTGGCTCCCATCATCCTCAGCCAGCATGGTCGAGGGATGATGGGAGTTGTCCCAACCACATGCAGAGGGCCACAGGCTCCCCACGGCTGGTTTAGGCCCTTACGGGTTTTGTCCTTTGGTTCAGAAGACAGGAGGAAAGTGGTGAGCAGTGTCCTGGAGTCTGCATAGAGCAGCCTTTGCCCCCCAGCTGGTGCCCTCCAGCTGTTTTGGACTACAATTCCCATCACAGGAGTGCTGGCTGGGGCTCATTGGAATTGTAATCCAAAGCAGCTAGAGAGACCCTGGTTAGGAGAGGCTGCTGTAGAGAAAAACAGGTTTCGCTGAGAGTGTGGGTTCAGAAAGACTGTCAAGGGGAGGGACTGCTTCACATAACTCATTGTTAACTTATGGAACTCACTGCCACAAGATGACCTCTGGCTTGGGACAGCTTTTAAGGAAGAGTTAGGCAAATTAATGGAGGTAAAAGGTCTACCAAGGACTCTTATAGCTGCATGTTCAGTTTCAGAGGCAGCATGCTCAGTTACTTATTTACCGTATTTATACTAGTCTATAACAGCCTAATTCTTGGAGTTGTTCAGGAATTCAAATAAACAAAAGACAAGTGCAGTTCTGAAAGGTTCAGCCTGCCATCTTCATTCAAATTGGCATCCAGTTGTATCCAAATGTAGATGAAAACTTGCTCCCTGACCCCAGGAACATCCATGCCATATTTGGTTACAGTGGGTTGTATCTACGTATGATGGGTTTCCTCATGAGTAGGACTAGCACTGACTGCAACCCAGTGCCATAAAAGGTCTCCAAGTGCATGCATGCATTCAAAACCCCACTGATTTCAACCAGATTTTGTACGATGATTCCGGAGATCAAGGAACCTTTCAGAATGGCGCTCATTTTAATTGCCGATTTCCCAATCGCACTGATTTTTTTTGTTTCTTCAAGCTTCTGAGCAACCCCCGGGTACAACGTTGCTAGTAATGAATAAGAATGCCCAGAGATGGCTTAGAGCATAACCAGAAAACCCAAATTTAACAAGAGCTTCTCTTTCCCCCACCTTCACGGATGTCCACAGCCAACCAGGAGCTCCTCAACAAAGTGGCCGTGGAATACAAGGTGTTGCCAGGATGGCGGTGCAGTACCGAGGAGGCCCGCAGTTTTGGTGATTTGCCCCCCGAGGCCCAGGGCTACATCCGCTTCATCGAGGATTATCTGGGGGTGCCAGGTGAGTTGTGGCCCATGCAAATGGAACTACTCCAGCACCCACACTTTGGAACTCCCTGCCCATTGATGATAGGCAAGCACCTCCTTCGCTGTGGCGTTTCCACCTTCCGAAATCTTTCTGTTTGTTGCTTAAGCAAGGCTGCCCAGACGTGTGAATTTGACGCGTATTTTACTTCTTAATGTATGGGTTCTATCCCAGGAGTAAACCCATTGAAATTAATGGATCTCAGTTAGCCATGTCTGTGAATTTCAATATATCTGAGCAGGATTAGCGTTGGCTTCAACCCTTTACTGTGGGGGGCGGGGGGGCGGGAATGGCCAACTTGTTTTTAAACATCTGATTTCATCTGTCCTATTAATGTATGTTTTATATTTTATGTCGGCCAGTTAGAGGTTTTGAAGATTAACGTACGTGTGTGTGTGTGTGTGTGTGTGTGTGTGTACACACACACACACACACACACACACACACAGAGGTATATAAACCTTGTTTGGATAAATAAAGGTGTTTCTCTCTCAACCCCCCTCCCCTTCCCCTGTTTTGCAGTCAAGTGGATTGGAGTGGGGAAATCGCGCAGATCCATCATCAAGCTCTTCTGAGGATGGCAGCAGAGCGGAGCTAACGTCTTGGAAGGAGGTGGCAGCAACCACAGGCACTGCCCCTTGTCACTGCTATACTCAGTTCACGGACCAATCAGCACATGGGAAATATGGGGATCTTCCTGCCCCATAGGCCAGCCTCCCACCCCCTTCACTCAGCTAAGAGCACTCCTCACCTCCTTGCCCACTGCAGAGGCTTATAGTCTCAGCGTAACAGAGACTTGCTGCCTCTGAGATCTTTCCTTTCCTTTCCAGGCTGGTTAATGCCACACACTCCACTTTCCCCTTCTGCATCTGGTCGTTCTTCTCTTCTCTCTCATAGGGGGCTGCTGCCGTTCCGCATCTTGCAGCCTCAGTACTCCTTCGTCTTGTGATGGGCAGGGACACAGTCCCCCGAAATTGTAGGGCATCCCCTCGTAGCAGAAAGCAATTCCCAGAAATGGGACAGTTAACTTCTGTTCACTCCGAGTGTGGATTCCTGTTGCTGTCCTCTTGCACTGAAGACGATGGCCAAATTCAAGCCACGGTTTCTCAAGCGTTGAAGAGCTGCAGCAAGCCTTGGCTGCACGCCCTCGTCTCTCCCGTCCGCTCTTCTGGCGTGGCCACACAGAGATCGGAAGCTTTTGCTTCTTTCGTTGTTTCTGATCAGCCACAGTTTAGCGTGACATCTGGACCCTAAACCCTAGCTAGGTGTTAACTCAGTTTTGTTCAGGTGAAACAACAAACTGCGGCTCATCGAAAAGCAGGGGCAAAAGTTTCCAGACTCTTCTTTGCATCCGTGATGGAGGAGGATAGAGGGGAAATGCGTAAGCTCATTTCCGTCCAATAACATTGCCGTTGCCTGCTCTCTTTTCTCTTCACCTGGTTTTATGGGGAATTTCCCAAAAGATTTAGCATTTAACACCCTGCCTTCTGTGATTGGACATAACTATGCAAATCGAACCTCCCCATCTGATGGCAGGGCTTGGGGTTTGCGTTGACGTGCCGGAGCACTGCCTGTAATCTTCGGAAGCCCAGGGTTGCATTTGAGTGTTCACAGGGACTAGAATCCTGACTATTCTTTTTTATTCTTTTCAACTATAAAAGTGGAGATTCACGGGGCCAATAGACTAGATACCAAAGCGTTCTCAGCACAGACTTGCACAACCACACCTTCCCAACCCAATGAAGTATTCCTGTCTATGCGTGCGTGCATGGGAGTGTTAGAAAGCTCCCTTTGTCACAGTGTCGTCCTTGCCCCCAGCGGGGGGGCTCTAATTTTCAGGGCATTGTCGTGTCTGCCAATTTTCACTGTGCACAGAAACTAGCAATAAAGAACAGTGGTTTATTTTATGAACAGTTTGAATCATGAAGGAAGCGTCAAGCCGGGACTGCTCTATTTTTTGTACCGGTTCTGTTGAAGGGTTCGTGCCCCCCGACACACACACTTTTCTAGCTCAAAATGTTGCCACCTCTGGAGCATTTCCTGGCAGGAAAAGGCCGGACAAACTCAGATCTGTGGGCCATAAATGGCCCTCCAGGCCTGTCTGGCTTGTGGGACTCTTCCTCAGCCCACGCCTTTCAGCTGCCTGGCTTTGTGCTGCTCTTAGGTGTTTTTGCCCAAATGGGATATGTCCATGAGCTCCGATTATGCCTTGTCTGGTTGGAGGATAGACGCGGGTTTCTATAGAAACAGCCACATTGCTCCACCCACTTTGCCTCTGGCTCCACCCACCGCTGGCATGTGTCCCCCCTGCCCCCGCAAGACAAGGCAGCCCTTAAGCTGAACAGGTTTCCCCACCCATCCTGTATGGTGAACCTAAGTTTGATGCCAGCCTCTTGTGCCCTTGAAACCTTTTGGGTTCCCGACTCCCACCCACCCCCTGCTGCCGGCATGTCCAAAGGCCCCAGGGATGGTGGAAGTTGCAGTTCAACATCTATTGCTGGCCTCCAGACCCAGCCAGTTTGGCAGATGTTAAAGGACAGCGATGGGACTTGCGATCCAGCAATGTCTGAAGGGCACCAGTCTGGGGGACCCTTTGGGCAGCGTCAGTGTCATGGTTTTTAACTACATTTATTCTCGAGCTCAAAGAAGACCCTGAAACCAATTGGCAGCAGGTGGGAGAGGAACACATTTCGGACTCCCCAAGTTTCTGGTGGTTCCGTTTTTCAAGTTTTCGACACACTCTTGCACACATGCCCTGGGCAAACCTGGGGCCAGAGTTTTGCAGCCCTGATAACCAAGAGTCCGTCCATACCTCCTCCTTGCATACCAGAGTTTCTTTTTGATTTTGTTGTCTTGATCCAGAGTTAGTTGGCTCTGCCTCCCATTGTCTCTGGTCGAACCTCCTGTTGGGCTCCCCTGCCTTCTACCCCATCAGCCCCGATGGACACCAGCCACCACTGGGTTCGACCCATTGGCTGCTCATGCTGGGGGCCGACGGGAGCTAAGAGTCCAACAACAGCTGCAGGGCCCACAGGTCTCCCCCGACCCCTTAGCAGATCCCTCCCCACCTCTCCAGCTCAAAACCACTCCGGCCCAGCTTGAGTGGCTCCAGTTAATTTTATTACTTTCTGTGCTCTCTGATACAGTGTGAGTTGGGCAGGTGTGTGTGGCACAAACCGCCTCGGCCCGTGTTGGAAGAAATCAAAACCTTTCACTCTTTTCCCCCCGGGTAGAATTTTTTTGCGGGGAGGGTGAAACTTTTCAGTCCCTCTGGCCATTAGGACTTGGTTGAAATAGGTGGTGGGTAGCTGGAGGGGGCAGTTTGTAGCAAAACCATCCATAGATTGGGCATACAGTAGGGGGCGGTAAATACCTCTAGGTCTCGTTTTGGGGAGAATGGTTGCCTTCTTCCTCCCACCCTGTGTTGACTGCGGAGGGTCCACTTAGAAGGAAACAGGAGGGGGCGCTGTATCCATATCACTTGCAGAGTTTGAATTGTGCTCGGTTGAAGTGTATGGAGTAGTTAGCCTTGCAATGGAAGATGTGGAGGGGGGAATTTGAAAGTGGAAACCTCCACAACTGCCCTGCCAACCCCTTCCCCAAAACAGCCAAGACTTGGGCTTGGAGGTACATGGCAGCCTTCTCCTGCACAAACCCAATTCAACACTGAGCAGTGATAAGGGTGTCCCGGGACTGGAAGATGCAAAGGATGGGGCGTGGGGAGAGAAGGAAATCTGAGCAGCCCAGATGCCCCCCTGGGCCCAAGGGGGTGAGGTGGGGAGACAGACATAGCTCAGAGGAGGGCACAGAAGAACTTTTTCTCTCGGAACGGGTTTTCGGAGGTGGGCACAGGGGTGATGAGGGGGTCCTCGCAGGCGTGGGCATCGCAGTAAGTCATCAGGTCTGCAGCAGCCTTGGAGACCTGCCAAGGGAAGGGGGAGAGTTGAAAACTCCAGCCTTCTGATGATGTCAGTTTGTAAAAGGATGCATGGCACAGAGAAGACGGATAGAGAGAAGCTTTCCTCCCTCGTAACACTAAAGGGACGCGGGTGGTGCTGTGGGTTAAACCACAGAGCCTAGGGCTTGTCGGTCAGAAGGTCGGCGGTTTGAATCCCCGTGACAGGGTGAGCTCCCGTTGCTTGGTCCCTGCTCCTGCCAACCTAGCAGTTCGAAAGCACGTCAAAGTGCAAGTAGATAAATAGGTACCACTCCGGAGGGAAGGTAAATGGTGTTAACGTGCGCTGCTCTGGCTCGCCAGAAGCAGCTTAGTCATGCTGGCCACATGACCCGGAAGCTGTCTGCGGACAAACACCGGCTCCCTCAGCCTATAGAGCGAGATGAGCGCCGCAACCCCAGAGTTGGCCACGACTGGACCTAATGGTCAGGGGTCCCTTTACCTTTACCTAACAGTAGAAGTTTGGGACATCCAATGAAGATGAATGTTGGAAGACCCAGGACAGTTAAAAGAAGTTACTTCTTCAACAACTATGGAACCCACTCCCATAGGCGGCAGTGTGGGCCACCAACTTAGATGGCTTTAAAAGAGGATTGGACAAATGAATGGAGAGAAGGCTACAAAGGTGCCCTCCATATATTGCTAGACTACAACTCCCATCAGCCCCAGCGAGCACGGTCAGTTGCCAGGGATGATGTTTGGAGTTGGGAGTTCAGCAACATTTGGAGAGCCACAGGTCCACCGCCCTGATCTAGCCCAGCAGTGGCTTTCATAGGATCTCGTGCAGAGATGGCTCTTTCATCCTTTTAACTGGAGATGCCCTGCTGCGAAATCTGGTACATTCTGCATGCCAGGCATGTGTTTTACTGCTGATGTTTTCAAAAATTTATTTGCTTGTTTGGTTACCGATTGTGTTTATCTACCACTTTCCCACTGAGGAGACTTTTCTGACTGTACAGTTCAGTAAAAGCTCGTTCTCGCCACATGAGGGTGCATCTGGGCAAGCCATGTGTTGCTTGCAGTTGTGACCAGAAAGCAGCTTTGCTGCATTCCTAGCAATTCAGAACTCGGGGGGGGGGGGGAGATCTGCCCAAGCTGCTGTTCACCCTCCTCAAATGGGCAGTGACTTCATGTTCTTCAAAAATTACAAGGGTGTTAAGTTGTGGGTGAACATATCAGATGACACAGCGATTCTTCAAACAGCTCTTGCTTATTCACAGGCCAGGACAGAACTGAGCTGAAGGGCTCAGTCTGCCTGCTTATATAGAGCTCCAGTACCATGTTACTGTAACAACTTTCTAAAACTATCCAATCACTGAACGTCACTTTCGATCCTTCATTTGCCTAACTATCTACAGTATCCCCCTGCTGGCCCAGGGTGAAAACTTCAGTACATAACAAAGGGGTAATTTTATTCAATGTTCCTTGAGCACACACACACGGACTTGTATGGATGCTCCAAAGCGAAGTGGTTGAGCAGCTGCTCTGCCTGCAGAAGGCGCCTGCCATACATGACAGGATGTTGGACTAGATAGGTTTGGGGCTGATGCAGGAGGTCTCTGAAGACCAGTTGCTGGAAATCGCAAGTGGGGAAAATCCCTGTTGAACTTAAGTCCTGCTTGTGGGCTTTGGGGCATCTGGTCGGCCACTGTGAGAACAGGATGCGGGACCAGATAAGCATTTGGCCTGATCCAGCAGGCTTGGTCTACTGTGGCCCTTGCCACCCTTAGATTGTAAATTCCTTGGGGCAGGGACCTGTTCCCGCCTCCTCTGCAAGGTTCCACATGTACTGATAGTGCTACATAAACAAACACCAGGTCATCTCTTTTTTGCGAATTTTTAAAACTGATTTTCCAAATTTGGAATGCCAGGTCATTTCCCCCATCTAGCCCAATACTAGCAGCATCTCTCCAGGGTTTCAGACTGGGAACATTCGCAGCCCTCCCTGGAGACGTCAAGGATCTTCTTCATGCAAAGCAGATTCTCTACTGCTAGAAATGAGATGGGGTGAGGAACCTGTGGCCCTTGAGTGGCTGGCACTACAAATCCCATCAGCGCCAGCCAGCATGGCCAGGGATGATGGGAGCTGGAGTCCAACAGCATCTGCAGCGCGTGCGTCACACCTGACCCCAGTGGGGGGAGCAGTAATCTACTGCCCTTTTGGCCCCCTTCTTCCTATTTCCTACCTTTATCCTGCACATGCTGGCCTCAATCTTCAGTTGCTCCACCATCTTCCGGGCCTGCCCAATACTCATAGTGCTGTTTACTGGAGTTTCGCCCTTCATGAGGATTCTGCGACAGAAATCATGGAGCAAAAGATACTATAAAAACACGGTGTCACTGTGGACCCTATTTTAGGTGAGGTTTTTTATATATAAAAAAGAGGACTGGTCAAATATATGAAGGAAACGAGGACTCTCAAGGGCTATTTAGTAGCTAAATGGAACCTGCATGTTCAGAGGCACTCTGGATACCAGGTTATGGGACCAAATAACAGCAGGAGGCCATTGCCTGAATGGGCTGTGTATATACCATACATTAGAAACACATGTCTTCCCCAAAGAATCATGGGAATTGTAGTTTACCTCTCACAGAGCTACAATTCCTAGCATCCTTAATGAACTACAGTACAGTGGTACCTTGGGTTAAGTACTTAATTCGTTCTGGAGGTCCGTTCTTAACCTGAAGCACCACTTTAGCTAAAGGGGCCTCCTGCTGCTGCTTCGCCGCTGGAGCACAATTTCTGTTCTCATCCTGAAGCAAAGTTCTTAACCTGAGGTACTATTTCTGGGTTAGCGGAGTCTGTAACCTGAAGCGTATGTAACCTGAGGTACCACTGTACCTAGGATTCTTTTGGGGGGAGGGGAGGGGGAAAATATTATAAATGTATGGTGTGTATGCTGCCCTGCCCCTGCTTGGTAGCTTCCTGGCATCATTTGGAGAAACAGGATCCTGACCCGGATGAAATTTTGGTCCAGTCTAACCCAAAGCGCTATCTCTATCCCCCCCTCCCCCACTTTTTTTGCGTCTTGATTGGTCACAACTTAATCTGGAATGAGCTGGGGCTGTAAAGCGGCCGACAATTTTTTGTCATTTTTTAAATAAAGGATTCTTTTAGCCAACCCTTCAGTGAACATTGTCAGGCCAGCCTGCAACATGCATGATAAACTGCAAGTACAAAATACAGAGTTGCGTGGAAATTAACACCTGAACAGAGCAACAGCATAAGAATGGAACACAACAGGTTGAAAACATCACACCATAAATTTAGGGGGCATTTTGAGACACTCTCTGTTTTTGGGCAAGATTAGTTCACATTACAGCAAATCCAGGTTGTGTACTTATAGATGATTTGGGAGATCTTGGGCAATAAGCCCACTTCCAGAAAAGAACAGCCTTTTTGTGATAACGAAAGGAATGGGAAAACACACTGGAATAAGTAGAATGACACTTGCTTTGAGGCAACATCGTCTAATCTCCCCACTGATGAGTGAATGCTTGTTAAATAGCATATATCATCTCTTCTCCCTGCAAAGCAGTTTAGGAAGAAACCTCAGTAAACAGGCCGTCTGGAAGGGCCCCTACGTTACCTGCTAAAATCCTGTGCAAATAAACATTTATTTGCCTGGCAGTAGAATAACATGAAAGACCACATCTACACCGTTAATTTAAAGCACTCTAATACCCCTTTAAACATCCATGGCTTTCCCAAAAGAATCATGGGAACTGTAGCTTGTTGAAGGTGCTGATGGTTGTTAGGAGACTCAATTATCCTCATGGAGCTACAATTCTCAGAGTAGTGTTACAATCAATCTAGGGCTGCCATTCGTCCAGATTTTCTCATACTTTTTTTTTGCCAATTTTTAAAATTGATTTTCCAAATTTCAACCCAATCTTCACTGATTATTACAAATCAAAACCAAATTTATGAATTTTTAATTAAATGATTTCCCACTCGCCGTTGTTGATGCGACCTTAGCATCTAATATTACTGCGTTAACACTTTTACATTATCTCCAGTTACAATCCATTACCCAAAATTATCCATTAATTGTTAACTGTACTCTTAGCTGTTTCCATTCGTGTTGAAGAAGAAGAAGAAGAAGAAGAAGAAGAAGAAGAAGAAGAAGAAGAGTAGTTTGGATTTGATATCCCGCTTTATCACTACCCTAAGGAGTCTCAAAGCGGCTCACATTCTCCTTTCCCTTCCTCCCCCACAACAAACACCCTGTGAGGTGAGTGGGGCTGAGAGACTTCAGAAAAGTGTGACTGGCCCAAGGTCACCCAGCAGCTGCATGTGGAGGAGCAGAGATGCGAACCCAGTTCACCAGATTACGAGACTACCGCTCTTAACCACTACATCACACTGGCCCAGTATCTAGAGCATTTACATACTTTTGTAAAACTTCAGGTGAGCATATAATACTGTACTTCTTTTCCTTCCATTCCTGTCCATTCTGTGCATGACAGTTCTGTATATGACGATCTTCATTGGCCTTATCCTCTGCCATTTATATCAAACGGATTTTCCCGGACATTACCATGATTTAAAAGGCGGAATTGACGTCTGGGAGGGATTTCTGAAAGGTGGCGCTTTGTTCTGGATCTTAGGCAAGGCTTTTACCTTTGGAAATGTGGCAACCCTAACCAGCGAACTCTGAGAATTACAGTTCTAGGAAGGGAACAAGGGTGTCTCCTAACAAAATTCAGCACCCCTGAACAAATTGCAGCTCACAGATGAGGTGCCACAGCTAAGGAGGCCCACCCTTAAATTGCCACCCACCTAATTTCCAATTAATCTTTTTATAATCCAGAGGAATTATATACTCTACAGTACACCACCTGTACAGTACACCACAGGTTTTCCTCCTGTGAGTGCTTGTTAAATACAGGGTTGGCAGGGGAGAGTTTGAAATGCAAACACTTTGAACAATGGAACTTATTGACGTTGCTCAATCTAGCACAGTATGTCTACACTGACTGGCAGTGGATTTCCAGGGTTTCTGGTAAGGGGCGGTCCCAGCCCGAGCTGGAGATGCTGATCAGGGAATCTGGGATTTTATGCACATGCAAAGCAGATGTTGTGCCACTGGGAGCATGATTGGGAAATCGGCAAGATACAGTGGTGATGTTGCCATGAAAGTGGTGCATCAGGTTAACCTTGATAAAGGCTGGAGCAGTGTTGCAAACTCCTGGCACTTGACCAGTCCCTGTCAAGGCTTCTTTTAAACAAGAAGCTGTTAGCTTGAACCTGGACCTGTTTTCAAGGTCAAAGCTTCAAGGGGAACTAACTGCCCTCCAGACTTTTTTTTTTGGACTCCAATGCCCATCAGCCCCAGCCAACATGGCCAATGGACAGGGATGATGGGAGTTGTAGTCCAGCAACATTTTGTTTCTTCCTTTATAAACCACACTTTCATATAAAATATCACCAGGCAGCATACAGACAAAAAACACACAGTATTGCAATGACAATATCAAAGGTTGGGGTGTTTCCCATCAACTTTTGACACTGTTAACCAAATGGCAGCTCCCAGGATTCTTTGGGGGGAGCTGTGTCTGCAGTGGTATAAAAGCGCTATAAATATATAGTGTGGACGGGGGTCTGAGTCAAATCGGAGGTCTGTAAAAGTGTTGTCAACCCTGGCTGGCAGCAACTTCTTAGGCCCAGACAGGGACTGTTCCCATCCCAGCTAAAGACAATGGGGACTGATGGAGTTCTAGCAATAACCTAGGCCTGGCCTGAGGAAGAGAGGTACAGCCCTCAGGCTAAGGAGTCTTGATTTAAGCCAAGACCTAAAACCAGGAATCTGGTGGTTGTATTTTTAATGGCCTGAGGACAAGAAGGAAAGCACAGGCTGTCTCTGGGAGTAATGCAACAGTACTTTCCCTCACCGATCCCAAAAATATAGGGGAGAAAATTCAGGCCTTGGGGTTTGCTTTCCTGGTGTTCAACAGCCCTGGTAGCCAACCAATGCATTTATTTTTCCTTTTCTTAAAAAGGTTTTGCAGTCTGCCAAATGAAGTGACTGCAGAGGGCATTGCAAGGGGGTTGTTGAGATAGGAAACACAAGGACCCCTGCTAGTGGTAAGGTGGATTGTAAAGCCAACAGGATGTTCTCCAGACTTTGTAGTCAGACTATAGGTCCCATCAGCCCCAGCCAGCATGGCCAGTGGACAAGGATGATGGGAGCTGTAGTCCAGTACCTTCTGGAGGGCATCACATCAGCTCATCCTGAGAGGAAATCCATTAAACCAGATATGGGAAACCTGTTGCCCTCAAGAAGTTCCTGGACTTCAACTCACATAAACTCTGAACATTGGCCATGCTAGCTGGGGCTTATGAGAGTTGTAGTCCAAAAACAGCCAGAGTCCCAAGTCTGGGAAACACTAACCTAAGCCATCCACTCCAGGATAGCATTCCATTCAGTCACACGTGTCCTCAATTTAAGATATTTCCTTTGGGGCATCAGCCTATATGCCAAGTATACAGTAGGTGTCAAGGCGTATTGGGGACAGGTCATAGCTCAGTTGCAAGCCCCTGTTTTGCATGCAGAAGGAACCAGGTTCAGTATCCAGCATCTCCACCCATGCCTGAAATCCTGGAGTGCCGCTGCCAGTCAGTGTAGACAATACTGAAGAAGATGGACCAGTGATCTGACATGATATATGGCAGCTTCCTACGTTCCTTAATGTATTAAAATGAAGGTTCATAGCTCAAGTTGGGCCATAGCTTCAGTGCCCTGCCTGAAACCCTGGAGAGCTACTGCCAGTCAGAGTAGACAGTACTGAGCCAGATGGAACAATGGTTTGACTTGGTATAAGGCGGTTTCCTATATTCCTGCAGTGAATGAAAGCTATATGAGGGTCAAATTTCCCCACATTAGTTTTTTTTCCCTTTCAAGACAAAGAAGCTCCCCCCATTATCTCACTTCCTCCCTTTACAGCCCACCTGTAATGGAAATGAGAACAAATACTCACCCCATGAGCTCTACCCAATCCTTTATTATTATTTTTAAAAATTGCTGCCCCACCCTCACCTCTTTCCTTCCTTTTTCTTTTCTTATTAGATGCAAAAAAATAAAAGCGAGGGGTGGGGAGTGCAGAAAAGCTATATCAGGCAGGGAGATGTTATGAAGCATGAACAAATGGCAGTTCCAAAGGCTGGCATCAGAATTCAAGCCCCCCCACTATGATTTCACATTTGTGTTGGTTCCCGCACCCTTGGCATAGCTGTGAGGAAGGAATCTCTGCCCAGAATCCCTTTCCTCTATTTCTATCTGCTTCTCCTCCACTCCCCACCCCCAACCCAAGCAATCCAAGAAACGTAGACCATGGAAACACAAAGCTACGGCAGCTACTCACACCCTCCTTCTTTTGTCTACCCTCTTGCCACATTTTATTTATATAGAAAAGCATTTATAGACTAGCAGTTCCCACAAGGCAGTGTGCCACACAATACATACAATAAGAAAATCTATCACACTGTCAGAATAGTGCGAAATGGTCATTCAAATCCCTGGCTGGTTAGAAAAAAAAATACATTAAACATTTGCCCATCAACATTAGGTCTCTGCCCGGGAGAGGTTCCATATGCCAGACATCCAAATCTTCCCTCCCTGCATGCGAGGATCCGCCTTCCACCCCCCACCTCAAAGTTGATGGAGATTTTCCCCAATACAGACCTTTATTTTGGATCCCTGTTGGGAATGAAGAGATGGGGGTGTAAATGTGGGTGCTTGTTGTTGATTTTTCTCAGCCTTGGGTGTGTTCAGATGATCTGGCGTAGAGAGGAAGACTCTGGTCCTCTCTCCCCACCTGGACTTGAGGGTGGGGGGGGGTAGAGGAAAGGGCGTGGGTGTTTTCCACAAGGCACCTTTCTGCTTCCTTCCCCCCACCAAAGCGGTGACTCCACCCTGGTGTCTCCCCAGTACTCTCCTCACCTCTTCCAGGATGGACCTTAATTAAATAGAACTGGTACCTAGAGGATGCTCCAACAAGCCACTTAAGGCTGGGGCTGAACCATCTCTGTGGCAGGGGTGGTGCTGGTTGTGGAGGTAAACCCCCCCACATGGGTTTCTCTAAAAAGACGACTGCTTTTCTGGAGTGGAAGGCTACAGCTGCTATGGAGGAAATTTAATTAAAGAGGAGAGGCATGAGGTTGTGTGGGGAAAGCACAGCTAAGGAGTGGGGGATGCTGGCCCACACACCCCTCATGTGCGTAGTGGTACAGGCGCATGGGAGCTGCAGTACGGTGTCAGCATCTCCCTTTCATTTGGAAATCTGACATCAATGCACACTGCCTACTTTTCTCCCCTCCTTCCAGGCTCTTCACCACCCCCCTTTCTAAATAGGCACAGCAGGTACACAAGCAGCTTCCACTCCCTGCAGTACCTTGAACTATGTGTGATGTGGGAGGCAGAAAGCTGAAGGAAAAAGAACGTTTTATTGTCTCCGTTTTCCACTCGGTGCCACATGACAAGCCTTCTTTGCCACTCCAAGGCCTCGCCTGCTCCTTCACATCAAGTGAAACTGCCGATTTCCATCTTCAGCTATTCGGAGGCCTAAATCCCTGCAATTTCCCCCAGTAGAAAGGGGACCTAGGCACATAACAGAAACCTATGAAGCTACACAGCAATGAGCCACATCACTGATCCCTCTAGCATGCAGCGGTATACACTCTCCAGTGTTTCGGACAGGGGTCTCTTCTCCCAGATGTTCTTGGAGACGCAGAAGATTGAATCTGGGACCTTCTGCATGCAAAGCAGGTGCTCTGCAACTGAGCTATAGCCCCAAGAGGGACCCTTTTCTTGGCTGTTTATTAACCTATCTTCCCTTCTGCTTTCCCTTCTTAGTGAGGGAGGAAACAACAGAAGAGGCCTGCTAGATCAGGCCAAAAGCCCATCTAGTCCAGCATCCTGTTCTTACAGGGGCCAACCCAATGCCTCTAGGAAGTCCAAAAGCAGGAATATATGCAAAGTTTCACAAACTAAGGTTTGCTGGATGTACAGCTCATCCCCCTGTAAAATAAGGGATATCTGTGTTAATTGTATTTTTATTTTTATACTCTTGTTATAATTTTTATTATATCAAATGTCTGGAATGGATTATTGAGGTCTCTGCCCCATGGGTGCTGCCAATAAGGAGCAGGGGGGGGCAGCAGCCCCATCAATCAACTAAATCAATTAAAAATACTTAACTGAGGTTCTGCGCCCACCCCCCAACATAAAGCCTGCCCCTCTAACATAAGTCCTGGCTACGTCCATGCTTTGCCCCCTTTTTGTCTTTGCTTTGATGTTTCATATCTCCTTCCTCTGATGACAGAAAAATGTTCTAAATACTGTATTAAAAAATAAACTGTCAGGAATGCCATGTACCATACTTTCTGCTTCCAATAAGATAAAGTTGCTCTCTGAAGATCATTTCAATGTTTAGTTATGAGGAAGCGTGTTACCATTAAAAGATGCCCAGCTAAATTTTTCTCGGTGTGTGGAATGTCGGCATTTTGAATGATAAAATGATGAACCAACACCAGTTGTGGGGGCCCGTCCACCGACTGCTTTCCAATTTCCTGTATTTCATCAAAAAGTAGATTCCAGGGTGTACAAACCTGCAGGCAGGTCCATCACACGTGCGAATACGTGCCTAACTTAGCACAGCCTCTCCAGCACCTTGGTGATATTTCAACATTCATCCTAGACAACTGTACTGGGGCATTTAGGACAGGCATAGGCAAACTCAGCCCTCCAGATGTTTTGGGACTACAACTCCCATCATCCCTGACCACTGGTCCTGTTAGCTAGGGATGATGGGAGTTGTGGTCCCAAAAACATCTGGAGGGCTGAATTTGCCTATGCCTGATTTAGGAGCTCAAAGCAGCTCACACTATTCTGCCCTCTCCCCATTCTATCCTCACAGCAATCCTGTGAGGAGGACTGGCCAAAGGCCACCCAGTTAACTGAGTGGAGATTTGAACCCCAAGCTTCCTCCCCCCCCCGCCCCCCCACCATTGTCCTTGGCAGAGGATGGGAAGAGGCCTGGTTCCCCTCCTCCTCCTCCTCCTCCTCCTCCTGCACTGCTGATGCAGTCGCCATGGAAACGGGAGGCAGGCGGGCAGCATCAGCATCCTTCTCCCCACGTGACTGGAAGATGCTCGCAGCAGGAGCGTTTAAAAAAAAGAGAGAGGCCCGCCTCCTCCTCTTCCCTCTCCCTCCCCGCCCGGAGGATCGGCAAGGGCGGGGCCAAACCCGGAAGAGGCAGGACCAGAGCCAGTTTTTGGAGAGGCAGAAGAAATAAGAAGAGGAGGGGGAGCGAGGGGAGGAGGAGCTGCAGCCTCAAGCCGGCGCTGGAAACAACTAACTAAGGTGGTTTAATTCTCACCCCCCTTCTCCAAGTGTAGCTGGGACCAGAAGTCCAGGTGTATAATTATCTGTCCCCGCATATGTGACCGGGACCCAGGCGTTCGGGTATCTACTTTTCTTCCTCCCCCCCTACATCTGTGGCTAGAACCCAGGCGTCCGGGTGTCTAATTATCCGCGCCTCCTCTTTCGTTTTGGTTGGGACACAGGGGTCCAGGGGTCTAATTATCTCCCCACCCACCTAGTTGTGTGTAAGTAGCTTTCTGACCTCCTTTACCCACTTCGGCTGCTGTGTTTGGAACCCAGGTCCCCTTCCTTACACACGCACACCTGCTTTCGAATGAAACCTCGGGGTGCATGGCTTACTTCTCCTCAACCTGTCGTCCGTCAAATATTTAGGCAGTGGGAACTCTCCCCTCCCCCTCCTCCCCGCAAAAAACAATATGGGATGCAATTCAGAAGTGCAGAAACTTGCCTTAATCCCCTTGTTTCTGGTGCATATTTAAATCAATACCCCCTCCCCACATACAAAATGCCTTCTTTTTCACTATCGGTTTTATTGGCTGGGAAGTGCTAGAAGGTCTTGCCTTTGCTACCCTAAGCTGTGACCTGGTGTGTTAAGTATCTTTTTTAAAAAACAAGAAGATGATTTAGCTAGAATTGAAACTGGGCTAATTTTTTGCCTGGAGTAAACCCATTGAAATCCATGTGCTTAACTTGGTCATGTGCACTCATTTCGGTGTGGCTACTCTGAGTAGGACTAATATTGGATGGGACCAGATGTTGGGTGTTGGTGTGTGATATAGTGTGCACCTAGTTGGGAAAAGCGCGCACCTTGGGTGGTTTCAAAAGAGGGTTATCAGGGCTATCGCAATGTTCATGTGCTGCCTCCACTGTCTTCAAATACCAGTTGCTGGGAGTCGCTGTTGAACTCGGGTCCTGCCTGCAAGCTTCCCACTGGGGCACCTGGTTGGCTGCTGTGAGTAGAAGATGCCGGACTAGTTGGGCTTTTGGCTTGATTCAGCAGGGTTCCTCTTCTGTTCTTTTGCTTATCAAAATACCTTAATTGGAGCTTAGTCTGTATAGCTGAAACTCTGGAACTGGGAGAGATACCGGTATATCTATCTAGTAACTAGATAGATAGGAGCAGAATGAAGTGGATCAGTGAGGGTTTCTGATTCTCAGTAGTTTAATAGCAAGTTTTATGTATATCTGAACCTTGGTGTTCCCCAAATATTAATGGGACTTTATATACTTGAGTGCTGTGACAAAGCTGCTGTTTAAAACCCCCGGTATAGAAATTATCTGTCACTACTGGCCTCTGTTTATCTTTCAACCTCCACGTTCCTTACTTGTATAAATGTGAGTACTGCAATAATTACCGTAGTTGTCTTTGATAAAGTCTTTCTGATCTTTTTTGTGCTACTGGTATCTTCAGAGATCTGGATTATTTAGGGAAAGACTTGTTTGTTAAAAAAAAATTTAGCGTGTGATCTTGACTGTGCAATGAATGTTTCATATCTATAGGGAGGCTATAATTATAGTGTGCGTGCTGGCTTCCTGATTAGGATTTCTATATTCTATTAGGAAATGTGCCCTGTAACCTGCTAAGGACTGCGTTCTGGTTGTACTTGTATATTGGTGATTTCTTCACCATTCCTGGGTGTTGCTTTGACTATAATTTGGAAGAACAGCAGGTAGAAAAATAAATTTGATTGTGGCTGGCTGGCTGCGTTTTAAAGTTTTGTGTTGGAATCCTTGGTCCAGAATAACGTAAATATAATTTGTTTCTGAATATGCTGGTTATCCCAATGGTGTTGCTTACTGGGGTGCAGTAGCTAACGACCTCAAGCTCCAGAACCAGCACTTTATATCCAGTTCTTACTCAACTCTCCAAGCAGCTATTTGCACCTGACTCTATTTGATAGATCAAAGAGTAGCAGTAAGGGAAATAAGTAGCTCATAGAAGCTGAAAGTTTGGGCTTTACTGCCTTAGAAGCTTGCCCTTTTTTCTTTAGCCACCTCCTTCTCTTTAAGTTCTGTAAACACTGGTTCTGTTCTGCATTGAGGTCTAGTTCTCACTGAAATGTCGGCTTGTGTCTGAGCTGTCGCTCTTCATCCTGCAGTAGGCAGCTTCCTTTTGAATGTATATCCCTGCATGTAGAAAGTTATCATGTTAAGGAAATAGTTTTACCTCAGCTTTCTAGTTTTCTGTGTGCAGGGATATTTTACTTTTGGGAAGAGTATGGGCCTTTTTCTTTGCATGCGGTTGGGGGTAGTCTGAAGTCGTGCAACCCTGATATATACCGTATTTTTCGCTCTATAAGACGCACCTAGTTTTTGGAGGAGGAAAACAAGAAAAAAAATAATCTGAATCTCAGAAGCCAGAACAGCAAGAGGGATCGCTGTGCAGTGAAAGCAGCAATTCCTCTTGCTGTTCTGGCTTCTGGGATAGCGGCGCAGCCTGCATTCGCTCCATAAGACGCACACACATTTCCCCTTACTTTTTAGGAGGGAAAAAGTGAGTCTTATTGAGCAAAAAATACGGTAATTTTTGAAGAATTAGGTCAGGACATGGAAAGCATTGAAACAGAATTGTAGAGTTGGACCGGACTACAAGGCCCATCTATCCAACCCACTGCAATACAATGGTACCTCGGGTTACAAACTTAATTCATTCCTGAAGTCCGTTCTTAACCCGAAACGTTCTTAACCCGAGGCACCCATTCCCTACATAGGCCTCCCGCGGCCCCGGAAGCGGATTACGTTCATATCCCGGGGCAAAGTTCGCAACCCGGAGCACCTACTTCTGGGTTTGCGGAGTTTGTAACCCAAAGCGTTCATAAGTATGACGGTTCGTAACCCGAGGTACCGCTGTACAGGAATCTTTTGCCCAATGTGGGGCTTGAACCCACGACCCTGAAATGCTCTACCCACTACCAAATGCCTCATGCTCTACCAAATGAGCTGGCGGTTCCCTCACTGTGAGAAGTGAAGTTACAGAGAAGCAGGCAGAGGGCCTTCTCAGTAGTTGCACCCTTCCATCTTATGTCAAACAAAAAAACAACTATATGACTTTTAGGGAAGTTTTTAATATTTGATGTTTTATTATGCTTTTATATGTGCTGGAAGCTGCCCAGGGTGGCTGGGGAAACCCAGCCAGATGGGCAGGGTATAAATAATAAACATTATTATTATTTGCAATAAATCTCTGCTATGCAGTGATGAAGGTAAGTGGTGGGCAAGGGATCAGAGATGCTGGTGTCCATTGTGATTATTGCTGTGACCTGCAATTGAAAAACAAGACACGTTTATGAAATAATAATTAGTCCAGAGGAGGAATTCAGGTGTTCCAATTCCTACATCCCATCCCTTTTCCCTGTTTGCTGTCTACGCCTTTGGTCTCTCCCAGAAGTTTGATACTCCTTGCTTGACCTTCTACATTTCCTCTGGATCCTCTAACTCTCTCCATCAACAGGCTCCTTCCCTCTTCTGTTCACGCTTCTTTAAAATTCACCCCAATTCTGTTCCCCGCAAAATCTGGTTTCTCTGTGCTGAGATTTTCTCTGACCTTGGATTTGTCATCTTTATTTCCCCTTTCTCCAGGCACCTTCCCGCCCATGATGGCGCTGAGCCTGCCGAGTTCCTGATTCCCACGAGGACGGTGTGCTGTGTTAGGCAGCCCCACCATCCGCCATGTGCTGGAGTCACTGACCCCCAGGCCGCCCCGTCTTTCTCATGGATATAAAGAGCCTGCAGAAAGCCAAGCGACGCAAACAGGGCAGCATGCGAAGCAGGAGCCAGAATCTATTCCCTGAGTAGGAGGCCTGGTTGCCATCCAGCTGGGAACAAGGGGAAACTTTTTACTATTATTATTTTTACTAGCCGCCTCATTGCCTGAGGATCTGCTGTTACATTCCTGGTTTTTCTCCCAGTTGCCGTTGAAGGCATCGAAGCTGCTCCGTGCATTGACTCCTGCCGGTTTGACGACTTCGTTCCGCTGGATCCCTCTCTGTTGCCTTCTCCTCCCGGCGCCATGGCGGGCAGCACCGGACCCTTCCTGCCATGGGCGCAGGAAGTGGCGATGCTGTTGATGCTCCGTGTGCGCCGGACCGTCCTGCAGACGGCCATTTTGCTCTGCGTCTTGTTGCTTCTCCTCTGGATCTCAGTCTTCCTCTATGGCAGCTTCTACTACTCCTATATGCCTACGGTCAGCTACGTCAGCCCCGTCCACTACAAGTTCAGGTCAGTTTTGAGTTGGTTTCCGTGTAGTGGTTAAGAGCTGTGGACTCATAATCTGGTGAACTGGGTTCGCTTCCCTGCTCCTCCACATGCAGCTGCTGGGTGACCTTGGGCTAGTCACACTTCTCTGAAGTCTCTCAGCCCCACTCACCTCACAGAGTGTTTGTTGTGGGGGAGGAAGGGAAAGGAGAATGTTAGCCGCTTTGAGACTCCTTCGGGTAGTGATAAAGCGGGATATCAAATCCAAATCTTCTTCTTCTTCTTCCATTGCAGTCCTCTTTTGGGCCCTCCACCAAGTTAGGTGGGGTGGGGGTCTTTTCTGTGGTGGCACCTCGGCTCCAGAACAGCCTTCCTGAGAAGCTCCTCCTGCCACCATCGCTGGTGTCTTTCAAGTGCCAGGCTACAACTGTCTTAGTTTACCTGAGCTTTTTAACTAAGTGTAACTTTTATGCAAGGCGTTGTTTACCAGGTGGAAGAAATCATAAAAATAGACATTTAGCTGACCCTTTAAAATTCATGCAAGGGTAAACAAGTTGGCTCTGAAGTGAGGTCCAGCACCAAGAGCCTTCTGGCGGTTCCCTCACTGCGAGAAGCCAAGTTACAGGGAACCAGGCAGAGGGCCTTCTCAGTAGTGGCGCCCGCCCTGTGGAACGCCCTCCCACCAGATGTCAAAGAGAACAACAACTACCAAACTTTTAGAAGACATCTGAAGGCAGCCCTGTTTAGGGAAGCTTTTAATGTTTGATGTATTTTAATATTTGGCTGGAAGCCGCCCAGAGTGGCTGGGGAAGCCCAGCCAGATGGGTGGGGTATAAATAATATATTATTATTATATATTTATTTATAAGCCGCTGCTGTTGGATGATGTGCACACAATATGTCATAGCAGTAGACTTGCTCTAGTGCAATGGTTTTCAATCAGGGTGCCGTGGCACCTTGGGGTGCCTTGAATGGTGGTCAGGTGTGCCAGGGGCAGCACTGGCCTCTGTCCCTCTTTCCTTCCCTCCCTCCCTCTGATGCTCTCTCACATCTCTACCTCCAGAGGCTTGTTCAGCTGTTTGTTGCAGCAGCCCTGGCTACAAGCTCCGCAGGCGAATGGTGCCTCTGGGGCCGGCTGAGGGGTGTTGGTTACCGGGAGGTCAGTGGCCTCGGAGTAAGTAAGCGAGTGGGCAAGGATTCCTGAGGAGAGGGGAGAGGGGAGAGGAGGTTGAGGGAACCCTCCACAAGGGAGGGTGTCCACAGAAAGGGTGAGGGCTCATGGCTCAGCAGGCAAGGGTCAACATAACTGAGCTCCTGAGACTCGGGGCGCATTTCCCCAAAGGAGAGCCACAGAAAGAATATACAGTGGTACCTCGGGTTACATACGCTTCAGGTTACAGACTCCGTTAACCCAGAAATAGTGCTGCAGGTTAAGAACTTTGCTTCAGGATGAGAACAGAAATCGGGCTCCGGTGGCGCGGCAGCAGCAGGAGGCCCCATTAGCTAAAGTGGTGCTTCAGGCTAAGAACAGTTTCAGGTTAAGAACAGACCTCCACAACGAATTAAGTACTTAACCTGAGGTACCACTGTACATGGTCAAGGGAGCCATGGACTCAAAAAGGTTGAAAACCTCTGCTCTAGTATATCAGTTTCCAGAAGAGTAGCTCTATTCGTCTTTGCTGCAAAAGACTAAAGGCAAATCTTAGGAACACAGGAAGATGGGCTCATTTGAGGCAAGGTTGAAGAACGCTGGTTTGCTTCATCAGATGATGGTGCTACTTCCTCCCAAACTTTTTGGCATCAGTGTTGCTGGGGTTGGTTTTTCTCCTCCTCCCTTTGATCTTATACACACACCCCCCCCGAATTTTTTATCTTGCTTTTGGTGTGTGTGTGTGTGTATTTGCTTGCCCTGCGAGGAAGCCACCCACCGTTCTACCGCAAGGTGCTGTTTTGGGTGTGGACCTGCCCTTCTGCTCCATCTCTGCCCCAGGTGCTCCAGTCACACCTGAGGCAGTGGCACAGCCAAAAGCAGAGGCTGAGCTAGGAGGCTGAGTCGACTCGGTGACTCATGGTGAGGCACAGCAACAGGCTTTTCTGTGGCTGGGAACTAATTCTCTCAGCAAACAGTTCGGTTTTCAAACTATCCTCCCCATCTCGGCCTGCAAGCTTATATGGGTGCAGAGATTGGGGATCGCAGGAGTCAAGATCTGGATGGGGGAGGGAGAGAGCAGTTCATAAGAAGTTGCCTTGCACCATGTCAAACCATTGGTTCACCTAGACTCTGGCTGGCAGCAGCACTCCAGGATTTTAGACAGGAAGTCTTTTCCTCAGCCGTACCTGAGACCTTCTGCATGCAAAGCCGGTGCTTTACTGCTGAGCTGCAACCCTTTCACTAAACACACCTTGAGGGGCCCCAGTTCTCAGGTGGTTTACCATTGCCTGGGGTTGTGTATCTCCCAAATTCAGTGGGGGGACGGGACTTCTGTAACTGTGGCTTAGCACAAAAAAGAAGCCCCGAACAAAAAAAGCTAGGATATCTGGGCAAAAAAGTAGGCCAGCAGCTTTTTGCCTTGATACGCTATTTCGTTGTTGCAGGGATTTTGTTCAGTGTGAAGTAGCAGAACCCAGGCACAGATTTAGGCCCCTGGTGACAATGAAGCCAAGAGTCCGGCTGAGGTGAAGGCAAGGGCCTTAGCTCATCAACAGAGCGTCTCCTTTGTGTGCAGAAGGTCCCGGGTTCAAGCCCGGCATCTACCAGCGGGGCTTGGAATGCCCCCTGCCCCGCCTGAAACATTGGAGAGCTGCTGCCAGTCAGTGTAGACAGCACTGAGGTAAATGGACCTGACTTGGTCTGACTTGGTATAATATAGCTTCTATGTGGGGTGTCCCTACGAGAAAAAGTTCCAAAGCTTTTGCAGCTTTTTAGCTCAGAAAAATGTAAGAAGGGGAAGGTCAAAAAAATGATGTTTGAAAAACTGGACAGACATGCTTTTTTGCTCTCCCTCCACCTTGGATATTAGAACTCTTATGTTGTTGCTTTCTGTTTTGAATTTCTTCCCACAAGTCATACCAAAACAATTTACAGTATAGTATCATACATAAACCAGTTACATACATAAAGGTAAAGGGACCCCTGACCATTAGGTCCAGTCGTGGCCGACTCTGGGGTTGCAGCGCTCATCTCGCTTTATTGGCCGATGGAGCCAGCGTACAGCTTCCGGGTCATGTGGCCAGCATGTGGCGAACCAGAGCAGTGCACGGAAACTCCGTTTACCTTCCCGCCAGAGCGGTACCTATTTATCTACTTGCACTGGCGTGCTTTTGAACTGCTAGGTTGGCAGGAGCAGGGACTGAGCAACGGGAGCTCACCCTGTCGCGGGGATTCGAACCGCCGACCTTCTGATCGGCAAATCCTAGGCTCTGTGGTTTAACCCACAGCGCCACCTGCGTCCCTAGTTACATACATAAACAGCAGTTGATTGCAGATATATAAAAAAACAATTAAAAATAAATATAAACGTGATACAGCACATACATAAAATCATTTCAGATCAGAGACAGATTCCAACTGTTGCCCCATCTACTCAGTTGGCAGGAGATTAAGGGGCTGACCAAAGGAAGTACTAACTCCACACATTGTGTATATATATTTGTGGAATTTGCTGCATCAGGATTCCTGGGGTGGCCTCTCGCTTAGACAGCTTTGAAAAGGGATTAGGGGGAAAAATGAATGGGGTTGGGGGGTGAGGAGAGTTCTGTTAAGGGCCAGCAGTTGTGGTCCCTAAGTGGATCTTCCATGTCAGGAGCAAAATTCCTCCGAGTAGCAGTTGCCAGAGAGCAGCCGTGAGAGAGGGCTGTTAGCTTTCTTCCCTCCCAGAGACGCTGTTGCTGTTTTGATTATTAACATTAACTTTACCACCCGCTCTTCACCCCCAGGTCCCAAAGTGGGCTACAACAATTTAAAATCCGTAAGTAAAAATAAAAAAAACACTACATTCACAAAAACAGGGCGAGGCCTGGAAACAGACATCCCAGGTGTCAAAGGCCCAGGGCAAAGAGCTGCGTCTTCAGCATTCGCCAAAAGCTGTACAGGGAAGAAGCCAGGCGCACCTCTGTTGGAAGGGAATGCCGCAACTTAGGGGCTGCCACAGAGAAGGCCCTGTCCCAGGCGACCCAAACTTCTTAGGGAGGTGGAATTATCAGAAGGGCCTAGTCTGCCGATCTTAACACCCAGGAGAATCTGTAGGGAAGGAGGCTGTCTCTCAGATACTTGGGGCCAAAGTCATGCAGGGCTGTTTAAACACTAGCATGAGCACCTAGATCCGGAAATTGACTGGGGGCTAGTGTTGCTGTTTTAGAACAGGGGTTATAGCTAAAGGAGCTCCATCCAGAAACCTGGTCTTCGTTTGGCAGGTCTCTCAAGTTCTGAATGTGACCTTGTTCGGGATCTTTTGTCTCTCCCCCCCAGGACTGACTGTGGCCAAATTGGATCAGAACTGTGCTCTTTTCCAGTTGCCAACGTTTCTTTCATCAAGGACAGCCGGGACCGGGTAAGTTTCTGGCTTCACTGGCCATTGATGTGTTTGGCACTAAGGCTGACATGACAGGTTCATCCGCTGTTGTCTTGAATCAAACAGTGGAGATGTGGTCAAGGGAGTTGTGAAGAGCTCAAGCAACATTTCCCCCCCATCCCGCAGTCTGGCTAACTTCTTAACTGGAGATCAGCACCTGAGAATTGCTGGTTAAATTGGGAACTTGACAATTTGATTTGATCAGTTAAATAATTTCAACAATTTATACACTGCTTAATCCCAGTCATGACAATTGCATATGGTGCCTTGAGCCCTTTGGAGGGAAGTACATTTTTTTAAGACTTATGCGTTCCATGGTATAGCAAAATCCCACAAATTCCCTTTCCCAGAGCTTGCAAGAAACTGTCTGCTCAGAACCGTTGGTTGGTGAATAACCCCTGAGCCGGATAATGTTTTAACATTTGTTTATACTGCTTGCTATAATAAAAAAATCTCAGTCGTTTTCATTTTAAAAATAGAAGTAAAAACTGTAATATTCATTGAAGTGTCCTAAAAACTAGATAAAAAGAGAACAAGGCTATATCACAGATGAGACTGAGCTGTCTACAAAATGGAGGTGAGACCCTCCTTTTACCAAAAAACTCATTTCCAAAGCTCTGAAGTGTCTTTCATCACAGTCCTAATTAATTCTTATTGGGGCACAAGTTCCCTGGGAGCAGATTCTAAGCTCTGCCAGTGTCCCAGAAGATGTGCCAGGTTTCTTTTCAGAAGTAATTTCATCACCTGCACCCCAGACAATGGTACTCCTGGAAGGCATGGGATAATTTCTTTCAGCAAACTGTCTCTAGTTTATAAGTGAACCTTAATTATAGCATGCAGTAGACCTTGGGTGCTTGGGCAGAAATGCCCAGTTCAGCATATTTCGGAAGGGCTTCTAGCTCAGTGGCAGAGCACACACTTAGCTCTCAAAACGTGCCGGGTTCTAGTCCCTGCCGATTGACATTAGGCAAATGCCATCACTGTCCTCTTTTTGTTTATTTATATTTAATTTTATAATTTTTGTTGAAAAATGAAAAGTTCAAAATTACAAGTGTACCGAGTGGACGCAAAAGAAGAAGAAACAAGGAACAGTACCCATGTGGAAAACAAAATGGGGGAAAATCACTGTCCTCTTTTTAGATGCCGGCTGAAAACTTCCTTCTGTTTCAGTAGGCCTATCCAGACATTTAAATGTCTTAAACATGTCTTTATTATGAACTGTATTTTTTTATTATTATTATTATTATTATTATTATTATTATTATTATTACAGAAGAGTTTGCCATCATGGGCTCTTCTGTGAGGAAGGCAGGATATATTTATTTAATAAGTAAATAAAATGGATTGTGGATATAATGCAAAAGGATATAAATCCAGGTCCATGGTCCGTGTTCCAGACAAGTTAGGACACTCTTATTGTTCCCATTTTACAGATAAAAAGACTGAGAGAACAGCACCTAGCCAGAAGCCTGAGATGAGATCTGGGCCTGGGCCAGAGACTTGTGCTCTTGGCTGCGATGCTACACCCATTATCTGCGGCCTCGCAATTAAATCTATAAAGAATTAGCGCCCCATAAAAATAAGATTATACCAGCCCACGGGTGCCTAGCCTAAAAAAGAGAGGAGCGGATTGAAATTTTCTCTAAGGCTATCCTGCCTAGTCATCGCAAGGAAGCAGAGAAGGTGCATAGCTCATTGGCAGACAATCTGCTTTGCATGCAAAAGGTCCCCCGTTCAATCCCTGGCATCTCCTAGTAGGGCTGAGATGGGGGCTTCCTGCTCTAAAACCATGCAGAACTGCTGCCGGTCAGTGTAGACAACACTGCGCTAGAAGGACCAATGGTCTGACTCGGTCTAAGGCAGCTTTCTATGTCTGTATTCCTTTCGAAGGGAAAAGAAGACTGCTGCTGCACTTAAGTTGAGTGCAAAGCCAGCCTTAATGGTTTTAAGATGTTATTTAATGAAGGACCCTAGAATTCCACTGATTAAATGTGAGGGTGTAAGGGTGTGTCTGTGTGTGTTGATGTTTCTCTATCGCCTTCTCTGCCCTCAGGTCCTCATGTACGGCCAACCGTACCGCATCTCGCTGGAATTGGAGCTGCCAGAGTCGCCGGTCAACCAGAACCTGGGGATGTTCATGGTGGTCATTTCGTGTTACACCAAAGGTGGCCATATCATCTCCTCTTCGGCCAGATCAGTACGTCCAGGGTTTGCGGGGGAACTGCGTGGGTGGAGGGGGAGCGGCTGAGTGGTGGTTTCTCCCCAGTGACCTTTGGCTGGAGTGATGACAAGAGAACTGGCCTTTTCTGCAGTATTCCCCCTCCCCGTTAATGGAACCCCTCTCCCAGGAAGCCTGCCCGGAGCCAGCCTTGCCATAATTTCAGCAACGGGCAGGTGTGTTTTTGTTTTCCCAGGCTTTGGGCAGCACCGGTGATACATACTTGAGGGTATAGGTAAAGGTAAAGGTACCCCTGCCCGAACGGGCCAGTCTTGACAGACTCTAGGGTTGTGCGCTCATCTCACTTAAGAGGCCGGGAGCCAGTGCTGTCTGCAGACACTTCCGGGTCACGTGGCCAGCGTGACGAAGCTGCTCCGGCGAACCGGCACCAGCACACGGAACGCCGTTTACCTTCCCGCTAGAAAGCGGTACCTGTTTATCTACTTGCACTTAAGGCTGCTTTTGAACTGCTAGGTGTGCAGGAGCTGGGACCGAACAACGGGAGCTCACCCCGCCGCGGGGATTCGAACCACCGACCATGCGATCGGCAAGTCCTAGGCGCTGAGGTTTTACCCACAGCGCCACCCGCGTCCCTTGAGGGTATAGGGCAGTATAAAATTATTATTATTATTATAAATTTAAAGCATTGCTTTTGTTTTTACTGTTTATGTACAGATTTTATGGTATTTTTTAGTCTGTTAATAATAATAATAATAATTTTTATTTATACCCCGCCCTCCCCAGCCAAGGCCGGGCTCAGGGCGGCTAACAAGCAATAATAAAAACAAGTTGAATGATTACAACTTAAAAACAAAATTAAAATACAACATTAAAATATTGAAACATTAAAATATTAAAATGCAGCCTCATCGCAGGAGGAGAAAGGAAAAGAAAAAAGAAAGGGAGGGAGGGAATCAAATTGGCTCCAAGCCAAAGGCCAGGCGGAACAACTCTGTCTTACAGGCCCTGCGGAAAGAAATCAGATCCTGCAGGGCCCTGGTCTCATGAGGCAGAGCGTTCCACCAGGCCGGAGCCAGTGTTGAAAAGGCCCTGGCTCTGGTTGAGGCTAATCTAACCTCCTTAGGCCCGGGACCACTAGGGTGTTGCTATTTATGGACCTTGAGGCTCTCCGTGGGGCATACCAGGTATCCATGCGGTCATGTTACAATTTGTTGTAAATTGCTTTGTGCCCTTTTTGGTGCAAAGCAATGTTCAACTTTAATAACCCTAAACATGACACAACCAGCGCTGCATTTTTGTTTTTATTTTAGGAACAAACATACCTGCATCTAACTATGTATGCAAAGAGCTTGGACTGCTGTGTCCATTCAACCTTAGCTTCTCTCCCCTTCCCCATGCTGGCTGGGGCTGATGGGAGTTGTAGTTCAAAACATCTGGAAAGCTCCAGGTTGTGTTTGTTGGGAGCAAAATGCTAGACCTGACTGCCTGACCCCTCGCTTCATGATTCTTTTTAAATATATATATTTTAACTTGAAAATTTATAATAACACAAAGAGAATATTCAAGCAAACCAGCAAGGACGAGCCATGGACAATATAAATTTGACAACAGCAACAAAACAAAAGCCTGCAAGCTGTGTGTGTATCAACAGTCAAGGATCAAGTCAATTGACAAAAGCATGTTAAAGACCATACCACCAACCCTCCAGAAAGAAAAACTGAATAGTAGGTTGCTGAACCGCTCTTGGGCAAGAATTACTAAAGGGAATAAAAGGCAGTCAGTCATCATAGAATTTATCTTTGTTAAACTCGCCCCTTGTTACTTCAGTGTTTCCTTAACTTTCCACACTTTATCACACCAGCGCTGCATATTTTAATTGACAGCCACTTTACCACAAAAGTGTACAGTTTCTATTCCATCAGCCGCCAAAAGATGAAGGGTCAGTGGTTTAAATATTATATTGGCTCCTCAAATCAATGAGAGTGGAGCCAATTCTGCCTCTTTCTCACACTTGATCCTTAATAATGTCAGCAATTCAGTTACAGTGGTACCTCAGGTTAAGTACTTAATTCGTTCCGGAGGTCCGTTCTTAACCTGAAACTGTTCTTAACCTGAAACACCACTTTAGCTAATGGGGCCTCCTGCTGCTGCCACGCCGCCGGAGCCTGATTTCTGTTCTCATCCTGAAGCAAAGTTCTTAACCTGAAGCACTATTTCTGGGTTAGCGGAGTCTGTAAGCTGAAGCTTTTGTAACCTGAGGTACCACTGTATTCTATTTCAATGTTAATATTATATTAAGTAATGGAAACAAAGCAGCCAAGGTACCACCCTTGAAAAGCCGTCCAGTGAACCTGATTTACTGGAGCAGCTGGAGAAGGGCTTCTGAAGATGAGGGAATAGCACAATTCAAAGCACATTTCCGTTGTATTGGTGATGGATCCAGGCCATCTTCTCACATACGAACCTCTCCAAATGTAAGATCTTTGGAGGGGGCAGGGGGGGGCTGTAATCTTTATAGAAAACAACAGCCGATTGCACAGCACATGGTCAATAGCCAAAGTGAAAGGAAAGCTTATTGATTCGTTCTCTGTCTCTGCCTGTTTTGTCTCCCAAGAGGCTTCCCCATCCCTTGGGCCTGTAGTCCCAAGTGCAGAGCTTACACTGCTTGGTTGGCTATCATCCAAAAAGCTTTCTTTTCACTTTTGGAACACACTATCTACAGCTTTTAAGGCAAGATGGGTAGATTTTATGAGGGGCAACAGCTAAGGCTAGATTAAAATATTGCGCCATGTTGCAAGCAGCCACGCTCAACAACTTTTTTCCCCCACCACTTAAGTCTTGGAATGTGAAATAGACTGTGATGCAGAGGAACCTATGAATATCATTGGCTAGATGAGCGCTGGGGACACTGTGGCCTTGCAGATGTTGTTGGACTCCAGCGCCCATCACCTCTGTCCATCGGTCATGCTGGCTGGGGCTGATGGGAACTGAAGTCCTGCAGTACTATTGAACTACAACTCCCACCATCCCTGATGGGAGCTGGAATCCAATATCTGGTGGGGCACAAAGTCCCCACTTCTGTACTAAATAAAATAAGGTTGCTTGACTTACATTTTGGGAACAGAGATTGGAAATGAGCGTTCTGTAGTGTGGGCAGGTGTCCATGCGGTCATTTTTTTATTTTTATTTTACCATTGAACTATTCCTAGGCTTGGAAGAAGCTGCCATACCAGGTGGGATACAAAACCTTTATAAAAATCCACCCTGCACCCATCGTGGTGCACCTCCAGCGCATTAGCTTTTTTAAAATAAGAAAAAGATAGTTGGCAACCTCAGGGGTGTTTAAGGTAAAGGTAAAGGGACCCCTGACCATTAGGTCCAGTCGCGGACGACTCTGGGGTTGCGGCGCTCATCTCGCTTTGTAGACTGAGGGAGCCGGTGTTTGTCCGCAGATAGCTTCCGGGTCATGTGGCCTGCATGACTAATCCACTTCTGGGGAACCAGAGCAGCACATGGAAACGCCGTTTACCTTCCCACCGGAGCGGTACCTATTTATCTACTTGCACTTTGACGTGCTTTCGAACTGCTAGGTTGGCAAGAGCAGGGACCGAGCAACGGGAGCTCACCCCGTCGCGGGGATTTGAACCGCTGACCTTCTGATCAGCAAGCCCTAGGCTCTGTGCACCACAGCGCACCCTCTTAAATGTTGCCCTCTTGTGGGATACTCCATTCCATTCCTCTCCCAACAGCCGGTCAGCATTCTGTGGCCATTCTCACTCTTCACTGGGCTGTTTTGGGGGAACTCCCTCCAGTCCCCTCTAATTTTTCTTTTGCTTTGCACTCCCTTAACGGTGACCCAGTGACCAAGCCTGCGCTCTCCCTCTCTCCTGACTAGGCAATGCTACACTACCGCTCGAGCCTGCTGCAAATGCTGGACACCTTTGCCTTTGCCAGCTTGTTCTTGGCTGGTTTCACAGAACAGAAGCAGATGCTGGACGTGGAGCTGTACTCAGACTACAAGGAAGACTCGGTGAGGGGATGGCATTGGTCTTCTCCTTGATTTCCTGCTTCCTCTAGGGAAGACTGTCACTTCCTGTTTCCCATCTCCTGGCCAGTCCTTCATACCTGACAATATTTTTCTCCCACCACCTGCTGGGGTAGTTTGCCAACCTTTGGTCCCCACCCTGCACTCAGCTCTCACACTGTGGCTCCTACAAGCTGGCATCCTTGCTCTGGGTTAGTTACCGTATTTTTCGCTTTATAGGACGCACTTTTCCCCCTCCAAAAATTAAGGGGAAATGTGTGTGCGTCCTATGGAGCGAATGCAGGCTCCTTGGCTTCAGTGATAGCAACGTGAAGCCTCCGAAGCGCAGAGGGAGAGCTCCCCCCGCGCTCCGGAGGCTTTGCGTTGCTTTCGCTGAAGCCTGGAGAGCGAGAGGGGTCAGTGCGCACCAACCCCTCTCGCTCTCCAGGCTTCAGGCATAGCCACCTGAAGCCTTTGGAGCGCAGCGGGACCTCGCGTTGCGCTCCAAAGGCTTCGGGTTCCTTTCGCTGAAGCCGGGAGAGCAAGACTCTCCTGGCTTCAGCAGAGAGTGAGAGCTGCTTAGCGCCCCTTCAGTGAAGCGGGAGAAGAAATGGAAGGGGCTCCGTTTCTCCTGCCGCTTCGCTGAAGGGGCGCTGAGCAGAGAGGGGGGGAAATTTTTTTCCCCTGTTCTCCCCCTCCTATGGTCCGGTGCGTCCTATAGAGCGAAAAATACGGTAGATCTCACACGATCTTGTGGAATAATCTGACTTCCTGTGAGAATTTGCTAGTGCATCCCCACAAGTTAATTGCACAAGTTAAATGCATATAAGACCTTCCTTGGGGAGGGAGGGATGATCTCTTTGCATTTTGGGTAGGCACAGGTCTTTGCTGTTACACTGACACACAAAAGATGAATCTGTGACCTTGGCTTCTCTTTCTGCTTGTAGTACACACCAACAGTCGGTGCCGTGATTGAAATCCAGACCACAAAGATCCAGATTTATGGCGCTCAGCTGCGCATTCATGCCCATTTCACTGGACTGCGGTGAGGACTGTTGTTTATTATCTATATTAGCGTTTTGTAGATTTCTTCAACATGTAAAAATACAATGGACTTGAAGTAGAAGTCATTCACAGTTCTACTGCAAGGCAAAGGTGATTCACAGTTCATTTCACTCGGCAATTGTGGTAACTCCTTCCTTGAGTAGTATGGAAAGTTTTGAACTAATTCAGTGAACTTCATTAAGCCAAACTAGTTCATTCTAAGCACGGAGAAAAAAGGACAGGCTTGTTTGGGCCTCTGTCCACAGCACACTCCTGGGAGCAAATTGCAGAAGGGACAGTTGCAAAATCAATTTTTAAAAACCACAGAAAAACTATTTTTTTTAAATGTATTTATACGTCAGCCTTTTCCCTACTTGGAATTAATGGCCATTTACAGCATTTAAAAACAACCGTATAAAATACAAAGCAATACAAACAACACTAGATAAAAATGATAATTAAAATATATCAGAGCACAGGTGGAACCAGCAATTGAAACCCAGTTTGCCCTGACAGCAGCCCAGTGACTGACACCTGCTTCTTGGTTTCCAAAGGCCTGTGTTGAATGGGAAGGATAAAAGAGAGGGAATCAGTCTAGCCTCTCTTGCGGGGGGAATTCCACAATGTGAACAATGCACCTCTTAACACCTTCCCCTTCCTTTCTGCTCTTGTCTCCCATAGATATCTGCTCTACAACTTCCCGGTGACGTCCGCCATCTTGGGTGTGGCCAGCAACTTCACCTTCCTGAGCGTCATCGTCCTCTTCAGCTACTTGCAGTGGATCTGGGGCAGCGTGTGGCCCAGAGAGTCCTTATCGATGCAGGTGAGAGACGGTGCCAAGGATTGGGGGTGAACTGCATTTTGTAACTTGTCACGGTCCTGGTTGCTTGGCCCAAAAGGAGACATGGTTGGAGCAAGCCCACCTCACCTTTTCTTAAGTCATACAAATGAACCACTATTGCCACATATTGCTTAATATACCAACCTGTACTACTACTACTACTACTACTACTACTACTACTATTAATTTATTACTTATACCCCGCCCATCTGGCCGGGCCACCCCAGCCACTCTGGGCAGCTCCCAACAGAATACAGTTGTACCTCGGTTTACAAACTTAATCCATTCTGAAAGTCCGTTCTTAAACTGAAACCATTCTTAAACTGAGGTGCGCTTTCCCTAATGAGGCCTCCTGCCGCCGGTGTCCTTCCACCATTCGGATTCCGTTCTTAGACTGAGGTAAAGTTTGCAAACTGGGACACTACTTCCGGTTTTGCGGAGTTCGTTAACCGAATCGTTCGTAAACAGGGCTGTTCTTAAACCGAGGTACCACTGTATTAAAAACACGATAAAACATCAAACATTAGAAACTTCCCTGAAGTGGTTTATCTCCTTGACATCTGATGGGAGGGCGTTCCACAGGGCGGGTGCCACTACCAAGAAGGCCCTCTGCCTGGCTCCTTGTAACTTCACTTCTCGCGGTGAGGGAACCACCAGAAGATCCTTGGAGCCGGACCTCAGGCTGAATGATGGGAGTAGAGATTGCTTAATATACCAACCTGTACAAATATAACCAGCACAGTATACACTTCCTTCCACCCCTCAGCTGAGTCTCAGTAAAAGAAATCTAAAACTTGGGAGTGTTCAGTTGCCAACAAAATTCTGATTTCCGTCCTGTCTTTTTTCTCTCTTCCCCACCCCATCCCCGGGTAGTTATCTGGCCGGGAAAGATCCGGAATGCTTCAACATTCAGAAGACGTCCGCCGACGGATTGTGGTCCCTAAAGAAGGTACCGTGGAATTGGGAGTCAATTTCTTTTAGGTCTGTTTTGGTGGCACCTTCCCAGGTATGGAGCTTTCCCTTATCCAGTTGTTGCTGGACTCCCAACTCCATCCGCCCCAGGCAGAATGGCCTAATGGTCAGAGATCACAGGAGTTGTAGTCCGGCAACATCTAGAGGCCCCTGCACCGGCTACTCCTGTCTTAGGCCACATTCACACCATATATTTAAAGCTCTATGGTATCACTTTAAATAGTCATGGCTTCCCCCAGAGAATTATGGGAGCTGCAGTTTAAGGGTGCTGAAAGTTGTTAAGAGAGTTTTGTTTTCCCCACAGAGCAACTATTCCCCCAGTGGTTCAACCGTCAACCCCTCTTCACAGGGAACTCTGGGAATTGTAGCTCTGTGAGGGGAATAGGTGTCTCCTAACAACTCTCAGCACCTTTAACAAACTACAGTTCCCAGAATTATTTGGGGGAAGCCACCCACCAGTGTTTAAAGTGATATCATAGTGCTTTGAACGTATGAGAATCATCAGCTGCTGATGTTTTCACGTTCTTCTGTTTTCTGGTGAAGACTTTTTGTTTTCCCCTCTCTGAAATTTATTTTTGCTTTCACACTTCATTAAACAGAACAAAGCAAACTTCAGCGAGTGCATTGCAAATTTCAGAGTACAACGAATCTTCGTTTCCTTTCAACTATATATATATATATATAGCAGCTGAGTCCAGCGTTCCTCACATTTGGTTTATTCATTAGAATGACACCTCTCTCTCAAAAGAACTTTGGGATGTTGGCATTCTAAAAATCGCCCTTCTTTTCAGTGCCATTTTAATAACTCTTTAGCATCTTGTATATTAACATTTCAGGCTCTTTTTTATGGCATTTGGGATATGTCTGCCCTTTACAAAGTTGTTTGTTTTTTTTAAATTATCTGGGGTTGGGCTGTGGCATCATGCCTGCTGTTTGTTTAAATCTCTGCTCTGGTTCTTGCCTTGTGTTTTTGTTGGATTTTAGAGAGGGTTTTAGTTTTGTTTTGGCATAGCATGGATTTTGTTTCAAAATTGTTTTGACTTCCTTATGTGGGCATCTGCCCTGAGGACTGCAGGGAAAGTGATAAATAAAAGGGGCTAAGTTCTGAGCTTTACCTGAGGGTGCAAGGCTGCAGGGCCCAGGTTAGTAATGGTTGAAAACCCATTATCTCCTCTTATTATTAATTTGTTTAGCAGCATTTTTTCAAAACAGAAGTCAAAACAGCCACTGGCATTTCAGGGTAGCGCTCGACAAAGCGTTGGGTTGCATCCAGCTGACGTTCTACTCAAAAGTAGACCCACTGAAATGAATGCGCCCAAAGTTGGCCATGTCCATTGATTTCACTGGGACTGGTCAGAACAGGACTAACACTGGATATGACCCACCATTCCTGGCAAGATTGAAATGGTTAGCTGTGAGGCTATGCGACTGTTTTTCAGGTAATAATAATAATAATAATAATTTATTATTTATACCCCACCCATCTGGCTGAGTTTCCCCAGCCACTCTGGGCTGCTTCCAATCAAGTGTTAAAAACAATACAGCATTAAATATTAAAAACTTCCCTAAACAGGTACTCTTTTTAAATGTTTTAAATGTGTTTTTATTTCATTTCTAATTGTTTCACTACTTTGCTTGCTCACCAGGGTTCCTCTTTGGGAGGAAGGGCAGGATAGAAGTTTGAGCAAAAGCAGCGGTAACAATACAACAAATAAAATTATTTTGAACTCTTTTTTTGGTTGCCTTTCTTCTGCAGGCTCTGAGGAAATAGAGGCTGCCTCACGTCAACCAGAGGATGTGGGGGCTGATGAAGAGGAGGACGAATTGTCAAGAGCAGGTCTGCACTTTTTTTAGATGCTCTTTCGCCTTTTGGACAATCCCTTTAAATATATATACAGTTGCTCTTCTGGATCAGACCAAAGGGCTAGATGGATTAGGAGTTTGTTGCCCACAGTGGCTGGCCAGCTGTCTTGGAGGGGCTAACTTGCTGCTTTCCCCCACTTCCCTTCTAATGCCCACTGCCTTGAACTCCAAGGTGGTTTTGCTTGGCTGCTGGAATGTGTCTTTGAACTCTAATGACGCCTCTCACTTGCCCGGTTGGAATCTATACAGTCATACCTCGGGTTGAAGTTGCTTCAGGTTGAACACTTTCGGGTTGCGCTCCGCGGCGACCCGGAAGTAACGGAATGCGTTACTTCCGGGTTTTGCCGCTCACGCATGCGCAGATGGTCAAATTGATGTCACGCACGTGTGCGGAAGCGGCGAATCGTGACCCGCGCATGCACAGATACGGGTTGCGTACGCTTTAGGATGCGAACGGGGCTCCAGAACGGATCGTGTTCGTATGCAGAGGTACCACTGTACAGTCGTATATCCATTTGACTTCCGAAACGTTCGACTTCCAAAGCACGGCTTCTGATTGGCTGCTGAAAGCTCCTGCAGCCAATTGGAAGCCCCGTCGGACATTTGGCTTCCAAAAGAACATTCAAAAACCGGAGCAATCGCTTCCAGTTTTCGATTGTTCAGGAGCCGGAACGTTTGACTCCCAAGGCATTCGGGAGCCGAGGTACGACTGTACAGGGAACCGGGCCTGTGCAGAGTGGGGGGCAGCTGTACACTTGCTCCGGGCCTTAGAGGGCTAAGCTGGGCAGGGGGGCCTCTAGGGGCCTGCCAGACTTTACGTTGTCATGCCAAGAATGCCATGGGCCTCTCAGCAGACTGGGGACTTCCGTCCCGGGCCTCAGACAAGCTCTGCACAGGCCTGCAGGGAATGCTGGTGATTTAATGGGATGGAATGGAGTAATCGGGAAAGAGGCTAGCTAGATCCTTGAACAGGAACATTGCAATATTTTTTGTTTCCGGCTCCACTCATCTAATTCTCGTTTTCAAACCCGTGTGCTTATGATGCTGTACATGGTCTAAAGGTAGATAAAAATGACCTTTTTAAAAAAAGAAAGAAAGAAAGAAAATATTTATTTGATCAAAAAGATATAATTGATTAGCAAATAAAGATAAAACAATGTGGTTGTTTGAAATTAAACACACACAAAGCAATAAACAATTAAGGATACTAGAGGACAAACAAAATAATTCCTTTTCAACTAATGACAACTACTGGTAATTATTTTGTTAGGATAGCAGTGTTCAAATGCCTCTGGCAAAATATGCTATTACTCAGAATTTGTTTCAGTTTCAGGTGTGAATTATGGTAAGACCTTGAGGACAACATCTTGATATTTATTTTTTTAAAACATGTTATTATTATTTTTTAAAAGTGCATGTTACTACACGTCCAGTATCAATTATAACGATCATACTTTTTCTCACGGATTGTGAACGCAACAGTTGACATCTGCTTAAACCACACTTTCTTCCAAGTAGTTTCACATACACCCACACCCCCTCCCAATGCATGGTGAAATCTCGCTTAGTAATTAATTCAGTATATTTATTAGTGGCATTATTTGTATTCAGGTGCCTCAAAGCAATTTGCACGCACACAATGAAATAACATTAAAATCAGATAAAAACAGCAGCAAACTGTTTAAGATACTCATCTGAAAATATATTTTAAAGGGACAAGCCCTACCCACCCCACTGAGTTGGCGAGATGTGGCTACTCTCTGTTCCCTTCCATGCATGATGTATGTCATTATGACATTAACGTTCTTCAGAAATTAACCTCTGGACCAATTTCTCAACATAACTTGTATCTGGATCTTGTTTTCACCCCATCTGGACAGGCACTGCGCCAGCTGCCTTAAGATTTCGTAATTATATACAACATGAAATGGCCCTGTCTTTGGTTTTTATCTTGAACCCACTGAAAATAAATTGGGTAATCTTGTATTGTAGTGTGTGAAGGGCGAAACCTCCTCTCCTGCAGCCCATCCCTGGGTCTCTGTTCAAAGTTCATGGTTTTAAAAGCCTTGGACGTGCCCCTTCACCTGCTGGCAAGTTGCAAGGTCCCAGTTGTGTAAGCTGTCCATACACACACACGCAGAGTGAGAGTTGTCTTTCTTTGTACCTTCTTCAGCTTTATGATATCCAGAGCCAAATCTTAAAACCCTTTTTAAAAATAGGTTTTTGTTAGCTTTTTGCACAAAATTTGACATTGTTAATTTCACTGTCAGTTTAATAATTTCTTACGTTTGGACTTCCTGTCCTTACATCCATAATGTCCCTGTTGCGTTCCTTTTATCTGCTGCCATAACTGCCATTTATTTTCTGTTGTATGACAACTCATTTATTCTAAATAATTTTAAATTTCAAATTTGAACTAAATTTTAAATTCCGGTCTGTTTGCTATAATGCAGGGACAGGGAATCATTTTTTGTCCCCAGAGCCGCATTGCCTTCTGGGAGCTACATGGCAGTGGTGGGAGGGGCAGCAAATTTAAATGTTCACCTTTGTGCGGTGGGCTGGTTTCTATATGCATTCATGCAACCCCCCTCTATCTCCATCTGGACAAGCAAGAGGCATTACTGGAGTTCAAGGACCCGTTCCAGACAGGCAGAAAATACTGAAGGAGGGTGCGAAGTGAGGCTGGCAAGGCAGGTGGCCTCAGGATTGTGGCCTGAGGCTCCCCACCTCTTCTGTACAGTGGTACCTCGGGTTAAGGACAATTCGTTCCGGAGGTCCATTCTTAACCTGAAACTGTTCTTAACCTGAAGCACCACTTTAGCTGATGGGGCCTCCCACTGCTGCTTCGCCGCCGTAGCACAATTTCTGTTCTCCTCCTGAAGCAAAGTTCTTAACCTGAGGTAATATTTCTGGGTTAGCGGAGTCTGTAACCTGAAGCTTAGGTAACCTGAAGTGTATGTAGCCTGAGGTACCACTGTAATGGGTTGAATGAGGGCCAATAAGCCAAGATTTGATACTCCGCTCTACAGAATTCCCTGCGGGTTGTTGGTTCTCATGTCTAGGCATGAGGCAAACAACTTACTCTTTTAAATGAATTGTGTCACCCTGTTCTTGGAGTCAAATGGTACAGGTCAGGTTGTAAATAATGATTTTAAAAATCTAAAGGTGCTGAAAAAGATGACAAAGGAGGTGACAAAAAAAATGTCTCTGGGGAAGGGCCAGAACATTTGTTCTGCTTGCAGAAGATCCCAGCTTCAATGCCTGGCATCTTAGCCATAGCTCAGCTGGTTACAGCATGGTCTGATGACACCGAGGTTATAATAATAATAATAATAATAATAATAATTTATTATTTATACCCCGCCCATCTGGCTGGGTTTCCCACAAAACACTAAAATACAATAACCTATTAAACATTAAAAGCTTCCCTAAACAGGGCTGCCTTCAGATGTCTTCTAAAAGTTTGGTAGTTATTTTTCTCCTTGACATCTGATGGGAGGGAGTTCCACAGGGCGGGTGCCACTACCGATAAGACCCTCTGCCTGGTTCCCTGTAACTGGGCTTCTCGCAGCGAGGGAACCGCCAGAAGGCCCTCGGCGCTGGACCTCAGTGTCCGGGCAGAACGATGGGGGTGGAGACACGGTTTGCGGGTTCGATCCCCGTCTGGGACAGCTGCGTATTCCTGCATTGCAGGCGGTTGGACTAGATGATCCTCAGGGTCCCTTCCAACTCTGATTCTATGATCTCCAGACAGGCTGGGAACGACTCCCTTTCTGAAAGCAGCCCTGGGGAGCCCCTGCCAGTCAGTGTAGACGGTGCTGAGCAAGATGGACCAGTAGACCCACTCTGTGTTGGGCAGGTTTTCTATGAGGGCGTTCCACGAATGGGGTATTCTGCCATGATTTCCATGCCATCTTAGACACTCCCTCTTTTCAACACACGATTTCCAGCCTACAGGCCTGGCTTGATTTTCTTCCTCTTGCTTCTGCAACAGTTGCTGAGATGCAGGCCCAAAAGAGCAATCTGGAGAAACCTGATTCTGGGACAAGGTCCAGTCTGGACAATGGGATGAGCGAAGGTAGGTGGCATGTCCTGGTCCTCACCTGAGTTTCCTCCACCCCCCTCCTGGATCCATGTTTTGCATGCAGTGTATAACAATAAACAAGGAGACTGCAGAGCTAAAGGGACACACACATATCTACTTATGCATGCTTTCTTGGGTGGGGAAGTGTGTAAATAAACCTCTTAACTGTTGTTAAGGTGGCATATAGCCTGCTATACAAAGGTAAGCATAGCATAAGACTCTCCTTCCTTGGAGGTTTTTAAGCAGAGGTTGGATGGCTTAAGGCAGGGGTCAACAAACTTTTTCAGCAGGGGGCCGGTTCACTGTCCCTCAGACCTTGTGGGGGGCCGGACCATATTTTTTGGGGGGAAATGAACGAATTCCTATGTCCCACAAATAACCCAGAGATTACATTTACTCATGTAAAAACACGCTGATTCCTGGACCGTCCACAGGCTGGATTTAGAAGGCGATTGGGCCGGAGTCTGCAGTAGGGCTGAGCGATAGCTGGTTTTCAACATCGTGGTATATCACCAGCTAAACATCGCAATATACTGATACATCACAATGTCTGAAATAAGGATGGAGCTACATGGGGGCACTGGCAACTTCACAGTTTTTCTTCCATTATGATTTTTGCCGGTACCTGCTCCTCTGATTTGCTGCCCCCTGCAGGAGAGAGCTGAGCCTGCAGAGTTAACATAGGCTGGGTTCACGGTTTTTCACACATTGTGATTTTTGCATAGCAAATTCACGATTCACGATATATTGTCAGGTCAAAAATTATGAAACCAATATAACGATACGGACTTTCAAACCAGTTTTGTATAGCGATATATCACCTGGCCCTAGTCTGCAGCATCTGTTTAAGGTCACAACCGGAAAATTTCACGGGGGCAGTGGTGCCAGTGGTTCTTTTATATTGTCTTGCAGAGCAGTCCTAAGGTGGAAAAGAGTCCTAGAAATGCTGTTGATATTGATTTCATTCTAATCATGTTGCTTTTAAAATTATTCTTATATTGTTATTACTAGTATTAGTGTTATTAATACCAATAAGATTAAAAATTAATGCTGCGGTGTTACATTTAGATTAAGTTAACAGTCAATAGCTGAAACTGAGCTGTGAGCCCCAAAAGCATGCCTCCCGCCCTCCTGTTTGAAATGCCTGGATAACAGAGGTGTCTCTCCAACATGTGAATACTGATTTATCTCCCATTTGCTTATTCATTCGCAGAGACGGAATTTGAGTCTGTGGACAATTCCACGCTGCTTGCTGAGGCCAACTTCCCAGCCCCTTCCCGGGAGGGGGACCCCTCAAGCCTGCTGCCCCCGGGGGCCAGGACCCTCACGCCAGGCTCAGAGATCCGGCAGAGAAGTACTTGCTCCAGTTCCTGAAAAGGGGGCGGTCGGGTTTGTTTGCGGCCGGACGAGCCCCTCCTCAGCCTTTTGCACTGCTCCCAATAGCTTGCACCCACCACAGGCCTTGCTCTCCAAAGGGAGCCTCTGCTCCCAGCTTGTGTTTACATTCCAGCTCCTTTTTCTCTCCCCCACCCCCTACTCCTCACCCAGAGACACTGTAACTTAAAATAAAGATTTACCTGCTAACGAATTAGTTGCCAGTGTATTGCAAAAACTCTGTGCTGGAGAAAAGCCATGCCGTGAATTCTTGTGTACTGGGAGGTGGGTTTGGGGTTTCTTAAGCCATGTACACCCTGGACTAGATTAGAAGCCTAGGATGAGTCTTAGGACCTCTCCACCCTTCCGTTTGTGTGTGATTTCTAGGTCTGTGATTTGTAGGCACAGGTAGCTGAGATTCCAGCATTGCAGGAGTTTGGACTAGATGACCCTTGGGTCCCTCCCAACTCTATAATTCTGCGATTTAGGGATGCGGGTGGCGCTGTGGTCCAAACCACTGAGCCTCTTGGGCTTGCTGATAGGAAGGTCAGCGGTTCGAATCCCCGCGATGGGGTGAGTTCCCGTTGTTCGGTCCCAGCTCCCGCCAACCTAGCAGTTCAAAAGCATGCCAGCACAAGTAGGTACCGCTGCAGCGGGAAGGTAAATGGCATTTCTGTGCGCTCTGGCACTCGTCACGGTCCTCTGTGTGCCAGTAGCGGTTTAGTCATGCTGGCTACATGACCTGGAAAGCTGTCTGTGGACAAACGCCAGTTCCTTCGGCCTGAAAGCGAGATGAGCGCCGCAACCCCATAGTCCCCTTTGACTGGGCTTAACCGTCCAGGGGTCCTTTACCTTTTTACCTTTTTTTAATTCTACAATTTATTAATTTTGTCCCAGAGCTTTTCCTGGGAAAACTTGCTGTTTACCACTGATTCGGACGTCAATCAGGTTTTCCGTAGATCAATGTTTGTTCTGATTCAGTAGGAAAACCACAGGGTTGAAAAAATACCTGCTCAGATCATGCACCCAGTGCCTCGATTCTGCAGCACAAACAGAAGAGTCGATGAGCCCTTAGGCCTCGTCTCCACTATGCACTTAGAGCAGTATCATTCCACTTTAAATAGTGCTGGAGTTGTGGTCAACATCGGAGTGCACTACCTTGGCTTCCCTGGGAAAGGGGTTCAGGGGGGCCGAGCAGAGGGGGCGGAAGAAGCTTCAGCCTCCTCAATATTGGTGTGCAGGGGGGCGAGACATCCATCCCCTGCCATTGTCAGGCAAGTGCCTGGAAGCTGGACAGGGGCTGAGACAAGGCGAAGCTTTTTTGTCCCACACGTACTTTTGAGGAACACCAGAAAGCTTTTCCAGAAGGCGCTCTCTGCCAGGGATGCACAGGGTGGAGCATCTTTGCCTGTGTGTCCCTTTCCAAAAGGGCTGGGGGGTGAGTGGGTGGGCCAAGTCTGCCTGTCTGCACTGGGGTGTGTGTCGCACGTGTGGCATTGTGCATGCACATCGAGGGGCCCCCAATGTCGGGTGCAACTCAGCACGCCTGTAGGGGTTGCACATTCAGTTTCCAGAATAAATCACGCAGGCTGAGAGGCAAGGCACTTCTGTCTGCACGGGGTTTATAGAGGAATGTCTCCTTTTTCCTGATGCAGAATCTGAGTTGCCTGATAGATGGGCTTCACCACCACCACCCTGCATGAAACGCACCCAGGAAGTTGCCTTGCCTCAACACTCATGTTCCTTTGGCTGTTTGAGCTGCCACTTTCTCAATTAATAGGGTTTTCCGATAATCATTGCAGCCAGAGCAGGGTCCCACCCAACCTGACGTCTTTCAGTTAGCAAAGATCCAATGTTCATCTGGCCTGTCTTGGCTGGGAAGGAGGGCTTGTCTGCATTCCAGAGACAGCTAGTAACTCTCGCCTCAAATTCCAGCCCAGTGGTAGTGGGGATGACCCTTATTGCTCCACACGCCAGCTGGAAGGATGTGTTCACCTTGTAGTGCAGGGCGTGCACACTGCTTGCTTGCAGCGAGGACTAACATAGGTCACATGTTGTTTGCCAAACTCCCATGGTGCTTTGCTGGCACTCCTAACCAAGCTCAGTGGTGTTGCGAAGGGCTGTGTGAAATGCTTTGCTGAAACTTGAGTTTGTTGTGGTGGTACCCGTCTGTCCCTCCTGGATTGCTTTGGAAACGTGGGCAAGATAGGGGGCCACTAGGGGGCGCATTGGAAGATGGCCGACAATAGCACCACAGTTCAAGAAGGACACTGACAAACTGGAACGTGTCCAGAGGAGGGCAACCAAATTGGTCAAAGGCCTGGAAACGATGCCTTATGAGGAACGGCTAAGGGAGCTGGGCATGTTTAGCCTGGAGAAGAGGAGGTTAAGGGGTGATATGATAGCCATGTTCAAATATATAAAAGGATGTCACATAGAGGAGGGAGAAAGGTTGTTTTCTGCTGCTCCAGAGAAGCGGACACGGAGCAATGGATCCAAACTACAAGAAAGAAGATTCCACCTAAACATTAGGAAGAACTTCCTGACAGTAAGAGCTGTTCGACAGTGGAATTTGCTGCCAAGGAGTGTGGTGGAGTCTCCTTCTGGAGGTCTTTAAGCAGAGGCTTGACAACCATATGTCAGGAGTGCTCTGATGGTGTTTCCTGCTTGGCAGGGGGTTGGACTCGATGGCCCTTGTGGTCTCTTCCAACTCTGATTCTATGATTCTATGATTCTAATACCATCTCTCCGACCCACACGGGGTAATTAAGAGGCTGTTATGGGAGTAGGCAGCCTCCCTTGTTGCCCCAAGGAAATGGGGAACACTGCCCTTGCCTGCTGTGCCCATAAATCACCCCCTAATTCGAAAGAAGGGGTGAGGGCCCTAGGCAGAATGCCCCCGTGTGGACATCGGCTCTCCTGGACGCTGTCTCTGATCGCGCACTAGTTGCAGCAATTTGGAATAATTAATTACAAAAGAAGCAAATGCACATATTTCAAGTGAAGAAGGGAGTGAAGTCTGCTAATTTAAGTGACCTCTGCGAAAGAAGACGACGGGCTGGAGAAACAGGAATATTTTACGATGAAGATACACCAAAGACGGGGTATGTTGACAACGGGGCTGAATGGAGGGGGAAAACCTTTTTACTTTCCTTCTATGTGATTTACAAGAACCCCTCCTCATTAGAACCGTCGGTTGAACTGACCCAAGCAGGATGATTAAGGTCTGTGTGGAGATAAACTTTAACCAAAAGTATGCTTTATGGAGACCGAGAAGCAATAAGAGCTTTTGGGAATGGCGCAGCAATGAATTCGGAGTCGCCATCTTGCCAAAGGATTTACAGCCAGGAGGAAGAACGGATTTGTTTTCAGACTGCATTCCTAGTGAATCTCCTCAGAGGTTTTGAGAAAGGAGGCAGATTGGTGAAGATTAATGACGCTAAGACTGTTTAGATGTATGGAAGTGATGTTATACGGAAAACGTCTGGATATGGCTACTGGATAAAAAAAAAATATCCACGCAGGATTACAAACTGTTCTAACCAGCTTGCGGAGACTATCAGAGGTCACAAAGAGAAAGGAAAAATATATGAAAATAACAACAAGAGATGTGGAAAAATAATAAGAAAGGACTGGATAGTACTGTGAACACCATAAGGTTAGATTTGTGTACATTAAAACAGCAGTAAGAAGCAAGAAGTTGATTGGATCCCTTCGGAACTTGAAATATGGGTACCCCCAACAAAAATTTAAAATTCGGCTGTGTAATTTGGAATTTATGTAATTTGGTTTGATTTGATGTGATTGGTTGGTTAATAAAAAATTATTCTTAAAAAAAAAAAGGAAACGTGGGCAGGATAGGGGATGAAATACTTTTTTGGGGGTAGGCCTTATAGTCTGAAGCAGGAGTGGGGAAACTCACAGCCCTCCAGTTGTTGCTGAAAAGAAATCCAGTTTTCCTCAGTAACTGTGACCAGTCCAATCCCCTTTCAAATCTGCTGGAAATTAGGTGAGCATTTGCTCCTCACTCAAGGCAGAACTGCCAACCTAGCAGTTCGAAAGCACGTCAAAGTGCATGTATATAAATAGGTACCGCTCCGGCGGGAACGTAAACGGCGTTTCCATGCACTGCTCTGGTTCGCCATAAGCGGCTTAGTCATGCTGGCCACATGACCCGGAAGCTGTACGCCGGCTCCCTTGGCCAATAAAGCGAGATGAGCGCTGCAACCCCAGAGTCGGGCACGACTGGACCTAATGGTCAGGGGTCCCTTTACCTTTACCAAGGCAGATGATTACATAGAAAGTAGGGCTGGGCGGTGTCAGGTTTTCAACATTGCAATGTATCACCAGCCAAACATCGCAATCTGGCGATACATCCTTCCACCTGGCACTTTTCTGAGGGGTGAGCAGCCGCTCGCCCCTCAACGGAGAAGTTTAAAGGAGCCCCCACCCTACCTCTGGCCCACACGCCTGTATCAATTTTGTATTGGTGAAATCCTTGATATTTGTGCATGTTCACGTCCTTCTAGATTAAGTGGAGCAGGGATTCACGGCAGGACAACAAAAATGGATTTTGAGAGCCCATGGGCTCACTAAGAGAGACTTAAACTTGCAGCCTGGAAGGAGAAAATACCCACTATCTAATGCTCAGTGGGCTGAGTATTAATGTTACATGTTGAACGCACTATTTATAAATGCCGACTTCGCTTGGATAGCTGATTCCACATTTGGATGGCATATGTTGAGCTGTATGTGCAAATGTTGAGTGGTATACAAATTTAATTAATAATAATAATAAAGGTGGATGGACTGGTGATGCATATTGTATCCTGCAGCTTCCGGCAAGTTGTAGGAGGTGAAGAGTTGCCCTTACGCTTGGATCCTCCTTGCAGGCTTTCCATAGGCATCTGGCTGGACAGGATCCTGGATGATCCAATGTACAGGTGTCTCCCACTTACATTCTGTTTTGGTCCCCCCCCCCCCTCAAATTATTCATTTTATAACACAATTAAACAACACAAACACACACACACACACACAAATACAAACAAATTCTTGTCTTATCCTTATTTTTTCTAAACATTGTTAGGTGGGCTTCCCCAAGTCCCCCCTATCTGATTTTCATTTTACCTCATCTTTAGCAGTTTACATATATCATAATTTTTAACCAATTTTTTTTATCACGCTCACTTTTACCATAAAAATCTTCACATTTTA